TTGAGAAAACTAGAAACACTTTTGGTTTCCAGATCAGACAACCCGCTGTAAGAGCCAGTTTACCTGGGACCAGGTTACCTGGGACGTTGAGCTCCTGAGCAGCTGGATCAGTATCAGCGTTGGTCAGTTTGTAGCTCAAAGTTTCTACATGAGTGACGTTATATTTGTGGGCGCTGCGGCTCATCCACGGGCGGCGTGATTAAAAATAAACCTCATGATTAACAGTGGATGGGTGAAATAAAATATAATATATATATTAATTACATAAAAAAATATGTATAACATGTCGTTGTGAACTAATAAACGTTACACGTCACACGTTACAGCGTCATCACTCTGGGAAACAATGATAACGTGTGATCGGGTCTGATTTATGCGTACATGCAGATTCAGATGACATCAGAGCCGATCCGTTCATCACCAGCGTGCGTGGTGTAAATCTCATCACACACGCTACAGTCTGACTGTATAAGCAGTCGACGTGTGTGTGTGTGTGTGTGTGTGTGTGTGTGTGTGTGTGTGTGTGTGTGTGTGTGTGTGTGTGTGTGTGTGTGTGTGTGTGTGTGTCTACAGTGCACGTGCAGCCGTTGTCAGAGTACATCGGACCCTTTGAGCTCCTCCCGTCCATCCCACTTTCACATGGTACATTCCAGAGTTCACTGACCTCTCTGACCTCCCGACCACCAGGTCTCGGAGGGTGAGCAGGATCTTGGGGCGGGGTCATCTGAGGTCATCTGACTCATCCTGCCAATAACAGTGGTGCTAATGAAGACTCGCTCTGCTGCATCAGTTTACCTCACTGCAGCAAATTGCTTTTCAGCCACAGGTGGGTGGGACACATGCACATTCTTCTCACAGAGAATGGCAAACCCCCCCCACCCCACCCCCACCCCCTGCTGGGTGCTGCAAAGGTCAGTGAGAGTGACCTGCAACCACAGCGCAGCTACAAGAATGGCAGTTATTTCACTGCGCTGAGCTCAGAGAAAGCTGTTTGTCCGTCTGCGGAGACACGTATCAGACTCTTCAGATGGGAAAACAGAGACTGCAGACACGCACTGAACACAACAGGAGGGTTTACATTTGCGGAGGAGTTCCCGGCAGAGGGCGTGGTTAGGCCACGGCAGCTTTTCCAGAACCATCAGGTCTGAGAATTTGTTTCCAGCCTCGGCCCCGGCGGCTCGGGTTACTGAGGCGCTCTGAGAATCTGAGGCGTGGGGTGAAACCCCTCAGCAATACTGCACCCTTTGTGTCACTGCCTCAAGCCCCTCAGCAGGTGGAACAGCTGAGAGGAGGAGCAGAGGAGGGCAACTGCTGCCTCACCACCAACATGGGATCATTCGAGACATTCATGCAGAGACTCATGGGAACAGCAGCAGAGCACAGAGTCAAATATGGCTTCAGCCAGAGGAGGCAAACAGGAATCAGCCTTGTTTGGCGAATGGCAAGTGTTTTAACTCGACTTCAAAGAGTCAGTTCTTTAAAATTACACTAAAAACTTTAGGTATTGTCATCCATGTTCCCGGGCTGAGGCCTGGGTGATACCTCGGGCCACATCTCTGTCCAATCACGTAACGAGTCATCATCATCATCACTGAAGAAATACTTGTTTTTCTGAAGCAGACGGAGAGTGTGTCCTGCTCTCTCTCTCTCTTCAACCACAGCTGCTAAGCTAACTGCTAACTGCTAACTGCTGCATCGCCCCCACGTGTTTGGGGCCTCAGGTCTGTTCAGACTGTCCTGGGGTCATGGGCGTAGGTTTGGATACGGACAGTGGCGACATGTCCCTACACCAATATTTTAGTGAACTTGTTTATGCTGTGTCACCAAGACAACCGATTTAGGGGCATGCTAGCATTTCATTGGCTGATAGGGCGGGGCCTATCTGGAGGCACGTCATGAACAAATACCACTCTTACTGCCAAACACCCTAACCCACCAAATCATCAGTGTCGGATATAGAAAATGTAGTATTTCAGATGACTCACTTTCCTCTACCGCCTGAATTACACAGCACACATAATCTACGGTTGTCCGAGCCAACAGCTGTAGATATCACGCCACCGAAAAAAGAGACGTCAGGAGCTTTTTCCTCATCCAGCAGCCGCGTTGAATTAAATAAAACCTGCTAGCGAGCTAACGTCACCATTAGCAGCATTTTACTGCTGCAGCTGGTCAAATGTGGAAACAAGGGGGAGAGGGAAACTGCAGCACTGGGAGGTCTGCTGAATATAAACATGTCGATGTGGGATATTGTTTTTCTTTCTCTTTTCTGTTTTATTAAAATCTTCTACATTAATAAAGCATTCAGTTGACAGAGTTAAAGCGTCCCTCTTTGTTTTGGAGCGGTCGTTGTGTTGAGACCAAACCTACGCCTTCACCTTCAAATCAGGTGGTGTTGAAAAGATGAACGATAATGCAGCGATCTCTGGGACAGGTGACGTGCTGGATGAGTTGGATGTGTGAGGATTTTCTTTTCCACTTTTTACAGTTTGTTTTTGATCGGATTGATTTGAGGTTTTTTAACTTTTTTTAGTCTTAGCTGTTGAACTGTGGATAGACTTCATTACAGTGTAGGGATGGGGCTAAGAGGCCGTCGTTGTGGACCAGTGAGCACAAGAACTTCTGAATGAGGCCAGAACTACATTTATAATGTTATGAATAATAGAAATTACCTTTATGAGGTCAGAACCCAGCACAATCAGAGATCTGAGAGCAGCTGTGAGTAAGAAATGAAACCAAATTTCTTCTTTTTTAAAATTTTTGTTGGTATCTGAATCATGATGAGATGACGGCAGTGAAATCTCCAGAAAAACACATTTTAAAAAATTTCTCCTGCGAGTCAGAGCAGCAGAGAGGGGCATTTCCCACAAGTATTTACCACCCTAACCAGCGCTGGGTGAATGTCTTCACTTTAATGGGAGCAGCTCAGCAGGTCGGGCTCGATGCCACATCACACGGCCACAACAAACACAAAGCCATGACAGCAGCTGTTTTAAAGTCCTCCACCAGATTCCATCTGTTGACTTGGAGTGAGACTCGAGACGTGGGTTAATATCTAAAAAAAAAAAAAAAAAAAAAAAATCTCATTGTTTGTTTTAAGCTAATTGAGCAGCATATGGTTTTATTGGTTGGAGTGGATGAGACTCGGTGCCAACAGCTGCCACCAGATGTAATATTTCTAGGAAGACTAATTCACAAAGAGAGCAGCCGCAGACAAGAGCCGGCCATGAAATCTGCTCCCCACAGGAACTGACAATAAAAACTACAAACTGTAGAAAGCTGGACTCAACAACTCGACATTTTTTCAGTGCCTGGTCCTTCTGAAAAAGCATTTCTTACCAGCCTGCAAAGATGATTTATATGATATAGTTAATCAACTCTGGTCCTCCCTCTGTCCTCCATGAGACCATCAGAGGTCGGCTGCAGATCAGTGCGACTTATGGACCACGGATGATTCTCTTCAGTGCTTTCAAGTCACTTTTAATTAATGAATCCACCAGAGAATGACAACTGCTGTATGGATATAGTGTATTTTAGCTTCTTTTAGTTGGTTAATTGTTGAGACGCAGAGTGAACCCTGACCTCCACATTCTTACTTTTCACGCTGCTACATCACTGGTGTATTAATAGAGCTGTACACAGATGGGTTGTGTCAGCCTCGCTCCCAGTTTGACCATTATACACAACACCTAGAGGGTCTTTATGTTCTACAGTTTCAAATCACGAGGATTTAATATTTGTAAAATTTTCCAAGAACATTGCAAAGTTATTTTTATGTGCTTGACATCATCTTAAAAGTTGGGGGAAGAGACACTAATGTCCACGTGCAGAGAGCCACACAGCCAGGGTGTAAACACTGGGGGAGCAACATTCACTGAACTGAATGGCAGCCATCTTGGTACATAGCATCTATTTCTCTTAATGCATGCATAACTACAAGCTACATGAAGTGGATATTACTTCCTGTGCTAACACTGAACATTGGCATTAAATAAATTAAAGCTCCTCCAGTGTAAAGGTCTGTGTCCATGTGTAGTGTGATTATAGATCAGGTCTAGCTTCTATATTAATACTGTGAAAGTATCAAAGCCTCAGTCCACAGAGAAATGCACACAGCCTGTATTCAGAAACTGAGCCTTAAAACCAGCCGTCAGGACTTCTGGAACTTTGTGATGTCACAACAAAGCAGTCACCAAGCCCCGCCCACCTGGACCCACCATCCAAACCTTGCAGGATTTGGTTTCTCTGAGTGTTTTTACCTGAAATCTGCTTTATTTTTATTGGATCACTCAGAAAACAGTCAGCCAATCAGAGGAGAGGCTCAGAGCCTCCTCTCTTCTGATTGGCTCACCGACCTGTTGTTACTAGAGCTCCAGAGAGAAGCCTGAGAGAGGAGATGTAAAACTACACTGAGATGGTTTTTATATCTTCTTATGGATCAACACTTCAAATAAAACACAGAAGAAGAAGAAAATATGAAGCTTTAAACTTTCTTGTTGACCCACAAAGTCTATTGCTACTGATAAAACGATCAGAAGAATTTAGCACTTATTGTTCAAACCAGGCAGGAAACAGTCCATAGATAGGTAATGATACAATAAGGCATGCCAACCCTTGCCCTGCCCGAAGCCCCCTCCCATGTCACAGTGGTATGCAAACAGCTGCCCAGCGATGACACTGCACATACAGGCCTGTGTGGAGCTGCCAGCCTGGGGGGCGGGGGGGGGGACATTTAAACTTTAAAGGGCCAAACTGGACAGCTGGGTGTGTCCACGCTGTGTGGGAGTGTGTATGTGTGCAGTATATGCATCTACTCACTGGTCACATACAACGAGGACTAAGGGACCTGAGGACATCCACTCTCCTGTGTCTCATTTTCAGTCATTTTCGTGCTTCGTTAGATCGTTGCGACTGACTCAGACTGACGCCTGCGGGATACTTCCTCATCGAGCCGTCGACGTTTCTGTTGGGAGTTGCGTCTGAGCTGCTGTCCCTCCACCATGGGTGCCTTTATTGCCAAGATGCTGCTTCCTACGGTCAGCAGCGTGGTGTTCCTGCCTGCGGCCAGCGTGGCCGCCAAGAGGGGCTTCCACATGGAGGCCATGGTCTACTTCTTCACCATGTTCTTCAGTGCGGTGAGAGCGCTGACTCGTCATGTGACTGTGGAGCTTTCAGTGAGATCCTGCTGATTGGAGATTTCTATTTGCTCACCAGCGAAGCGTTTAATCGATATTAGTATCATGAAAGTTGTAGGACGTCGAGGATCCAATCAGTGGCATTTTATCTAAAAGGATCTGTTTAAAATATTTATGATACCAATTATAAATAAGCTCATTCCTAAGAGCTGCATAACCTCAGATTTCCAGATAATGCATTACTCATTCACTGTATTTCTAAATGTCTATCTGCTGGTTTTATATATTATTATTTTAGATCAAATAAAAAATTGCTAGAAGCTTAACAATTCCAGACATTTCATCAACTTACAACTGAATTTAATGTGGACATTATTTGCTATTAAACCCAGTTTACAAGTTATATTTAATTCCTATTTACTTTAATAAAATTAATTGCCAATTTCAGCTTTGATAAACTACAATGAGCTTTATTAAATACCACTCGGTAATTTCTCCTGGTTTGTTTTCTCTCAGGTTTTAACTTGAGACCATCTCAGATACTGTGAGTGTGTATTGTGTACTGTGTATTGTGTGTGTGTGTGTGTGTGACTAACCCTAACCCTGTGTGTGTCCCTGTAGATCTACCACGCCTGTGATGGACCGGGCCTCTCCATCCTGTGTTTCATGAGGTACGACATCCTGGAGTACTTCAGTGTTTACGGCACGGCTCTGTCCATGTGGGTCACACTCATCGGTGAGTCTGAGCGTACGGTCTGACGCGCTCTTCATGCAGCAACACAGCCATGTGTTTTGCGATTTGACCAGGTAGCGGTTGCAGCAGGTACAGGGACGTTTAAAGTCTCTGCATGTTTCAGTTTCCGTAATCATGACGTGAGCCTGAGAAAGACACTAAGAGCTGAACCTGCCCGACTTTCCACTTGTCTTCACTCCACTTGTATTTTTTTAATATATTTGTGTATTGTGTATTTTATTTGTGTAAATAAATTCAAGCAGGAAGCACTAGAGTTAAAGAAAAGGTTATTAATTAGGATTCAACTGCACAAGGTTAAAAAGAAGCAGCTCCGCCTGCAACAGTTGTTCATAACATGTGTTGTGTCTTTGAGTTCTGCTCACATGTGTACACTGTTATTCTCTCATATGAACACACACACACACACACACACACACACACACACACACACACACACACACTCCCTCCCATCTAAGCCCCTGAGGTTTCGGGCTTTAAATCACGTGCTGCGGAGGCCTGAAGGCGCCGACAGCTGACGGCTGACCCAGGCCTTTTAATTCCACACACTCTGTTCCACTCCATGTTTTTCACTCTGCTGCTGAAAAGTCACGCGCAGAACGTGTCTCCTCGTCGCAGCTCTGGGCGACTTCGATGAACCGCAGCGCTCCAGTATAACCATGTTCGGGGTGTTGACCATCGCCGTGAGGATCTACCAGGATCGCTGGGGCTACGGGATCTACTCCGGTCCCATCGGATCAGCTGTCTTCATCATCACCGTCAAATGGGTGAGTGGCAGCCATGATGGGTCATGGTGATGTGGTAAACAGAGTGTATCTCCATCTCCTTCATCCATCTTCTTCTTCATGATCTACACCTTTGTGAATTTTACTTTCTCCTTTTTATCCTCCTTCTTCCTTCATTATTTTTCCTTCTGTTTTCAGCTCATCTTTCTTCTTCTGACCCCTCTCTGTCCTCTTTCCATCAAATCAATCAATCAATCAATCAATCACTCTAATGAACTGTGATTCTCCTGTTGCAGCTGCAGAAGATGAAGCAGCTGAGGGCGGTGTATCCAGAGAAGGCGGTGTACACGCAGCAGGTCGGTCCGGGCTGCTGCTTCGGCGCTCTCGCTCTGATGCTGCGTTTCTACTTTGAGGTGATTTTCATCAAAATAAAAACGAATTCAAATATCATTATTTACCCGGTTGTTTCTAATTATCATTAATAAATGAGCAGGTCATCATAAACAGGATGTGGTGTGCTCTGTTCGCTGCAGGAGTGGGACTACGCCTACGTCCACAGCTTCTACCACCTGTCTCTGGCCGTGTCCTTCGTCCTGCTGCTGCCGAAGAAGAACCGCTACGCAGGGACGGGAACCAACGCGGTGAAGCTCAGCTGCTTCGCTCTCTGCTGCTGCGTAAGTCGGATTTATTCACTCCGAACAAGACGGTGAGGCGGGAGTGGACAGGTCACATGTGACGGCTGGATAGATTTAGAGCAGCGGGCTGCGGAGACGAGATGGAAAGTAAAAGTTATTTAAGGCTGAACCTGTAATAAAGCACTGACCCCGTTCTCTGTTGTTCCCTCTCCAGAGCATGTCCCCCGGTTCCTCTAAAGCCAAGACAGACAAGCCAAAGAAGAAGTCTCGGACCGTGTGGACAGTCCCCACCGAGAAGCCGTGGACTCGAGGCTGCAGCACCCCCACCCTGCCTCTTTACAACCCCCCACCCTCCACACCCGTCAAAGGCACCAGCATCAGCAAGCTCAAAGAGATGAACGGCTGGAAGTGAACCCCCAAAAAGTCACCCCCGTCAGTCTGCTGAAGCGGGAGGACTTCATCCTGGAGAACAGGCACAGATAGTGGTTGGCTGTGAGCGGGAAATGGGAAAATCACCAAACAACTGTCAGCCGAACGCTGATAAACTCGTATGTGGCTGGTAAGTTAATCTACTTCAGCAGGAAACCAACCATCATGTGGACGTTCCTTTCTACTCCAAAACATCATTTTTGGCTGGTAGAATATTTAAGGTCAGCAGCGACTTTAGGAATCCGCCGGCCGCCGCAGCCAGCAGGTGAAGAGACTCGAGAACCCTGATGTGGTTCTTAAAAACTGTGAGGGGGCGAGAGCAGGAGGCGAGTCGGGCCTCGGGTGCCCTCAAAGACCCGATAAGAACACAGCTGTCTGAGGCCGAGGACAGGCAGCGTGCTCCGAGAGCAGAACACACACAGCACGGACAGGGAGACGGTGGCTGAGACAAGCCAGTAAAACTGACTGGAAAATTTATGAGAAGAACAAACAGGCAGATGGTTTATCTCTCCAAAATATATAAATTGTCTTTAGAAATGTTCCTCAGGGGAGACCCTTCGTCTGCTTGCCTCTGTCTGTCCCCCCCCTCCTCTTTCTCTTTCCCGTCTCTCTCAGGGAAAGGAACCACGCGGCTGAATTCGCTTATGAGAATTACAAGACTGTAAAGCACATTTTTACCGTCTTTAATACGAGCTCGAGGCGCCAAATGTGTCATGTGGAGCATCAGACGCTGGAGCGGCGGCCCAGACGTCGGTCTGTAACCCGACTGAAGCATCTCGATGTGTTTCTGGATCAACAGGTGGACTCCTCTGTCTGTTAACTCTGGTTCACTGACCCAGCAGCTTTGGCAGGATTTCAGTCCCTGATGTGCTTTGTTCAGACTGTGTAACGTTTCTTTTGTTAATATATTGTTATTTATTGCAGCACAGATTATTGTATATTCACAGTGTGTGTTTGTTTTTAATCATTTTGTAATGTTTCACAAATAAAATGAAATGCCGTGGCCCCGTGTTGAGCTGCTCTTCAGGGACACTGTATGTATGTGAACTGGATGTGGATGTGGACTTTGCAGAAGCCGACCATTGACAAAAACCCTGACTGGCACATACTTCAAGGCCCACTCCAGTCTAGCAACACTAATCCAATTCCAAACCCACGTATCCCATTCCTCTCTCCCTTCAGGAGGACACGGGGTTGTGCGTCCACGCACGTCACCTGCCCCGAACACTACCCAAAGACTATAAACATGTTCTGCGTATCTTAGACAAAACAGTCTCCGGCCAAAACGTGAATGAACCTCCCCTCCACCCGGGAATGTTTTGAGCTGGGGCCAAGCCGCCAGCTCCCGTGCCCAGAGAAAGGTGTTTTTGTCTGGACTCAGAAACCTGGCTGGCTGGGCCACCGGCACCTCCCAGCTGGCTGCACCTCTCGGCCCTGACAGGACGGTAACTCGAGCCTTTTATTGCACAAGTGTGAAACACTTTTCAGCTCCTTTACGACCACTGTCTCTCCCGCACCACTCTGCTGAGGGGCCGAAGCCCACACACATTCAGGACTGGATTACTAGACTTGTGAAGACTTTCTCCCGTCTGTAACCTGCGGCCTTTACAGTACACTTAAAATCTGATCCGTACTGAATCCTCATCTGGACCCTAGATTCAAGTATGAACCTGAACAGAGCCGCTGTGAAAACCAGTTCTCAGGATCAACCGACCTTTATGATCACATGTGGTCCTCATAAGAACAGAAACACACACACACACACACGTGTCTGAGGGCCTGAACCCTTCTTGTATTGGGCGTCCGCACCGATAGTGTCAACACAATAAGCGCTGATTGACAGTCCTCCGTGGTCGTCTGCACCCACATTCCACGGCGGCGTGGAATTTCAGCGGGTATCGAAATATAATAAAGAAAAATACATCTGAGCAAATAAAAAAATATGACGTCTAGACCAGAAAAGAACACGTCCTCCAATATTCCACATGTGGTGGCCTGTTCGAGAAAAGGTAAGGAGAAAATCTGCTGTATCGATTTTCATTAGAGTCAATTAAGCACCAAAGTGCACGGCGAGAAGTGACTGCGACAGACTCTGGTATGTTTGGTATGTTTGTGCTCTCGGCTATGTGCTGCGGAGACTTTCTATGGTGAGACGGCAGCGTCCGTGTGCCACAGGTCCTTTCCCTGTGCGTCAGCTGTTGCCACAGCTGTTGTTCACGCTGCGAGGTCAGCTGCCTCTCACAGAGCACCACATCTCGTCTCCACCGCTGCTGCGGATCACCGGTGACACCGCACTTCAGCTGAGCAGAGCTGTGAGGATCAGTTTGGGGTCAGTGGAGAGGAATCATATAAAACATTACCCATTGTTCAATTAGAAGTCCGTGTGTTTAGATTTCTGTGGTTTCATGCACGTCTGACATGAAGACTTAGTCCTTAACCAGTGTCACCATCATCAGCACATTCAACAGCGAGTCTATCCTCGTCAGTGGAGGTTTAGTCTTGGCCTTGAGAAGAGTGGTTTCATAATCTTAACTCAAGGTCCAGGTCCCTGGAACCAGCGAGAGCTCTGAGTGGAGTCGCTGCTCCTTCACATCAAAAGCCTCCCGGGTGTCGTCCTTCTTGTAGGTTCTCCGGGCGCGAGCAGAGACCCCGGGGTAGACCCAGAACTCGCCGGAGGGATCACATATCCCATCTGGCCTGGGAAGGGCTCAGGAGCAGCTGGACGGAGGGACGTCTGGAATACGCTGGTTAGCCGACCCGACCTCTGATAAGCAGAGGAAAAAAGATGGATGGATGGATGGAACTCAAGGTTCACTTCCTTTTCCTTGTCTGAGCTTTCAACCACATCTCTGTGGACGTGTAAGGAGACGTCCCGCAGCTCTTTGTTTGTTTAACACCAGGCAGACCACAGTGGTAAAAGCTTCTGAGAGGTCTCGCTGTACATCTTCATCATCAACATATCTTGACTCGTCATCACCCTCCGCATCCACACACACCTTCCCAGTGCTGAATCAGTCCATGACTTTTGTAACTCTTCCGAAACAGACGATCGAACACACATGGTGGTTTGACACAGGGATGTTCCGGGTGTGCAAAACGCACCCTACGAGTAAGTTCGAGGTGGATCAGATCCTCAGATGGTTTGAGTTACAGCTCTGATACAACAACCTGCTGCACCTCATCGATCAATGATGACGCCATCTTGTTTAACGTCGTTTTACACCGGTACGCAACCACACATCTGGTCTGAGGGTCCAACTGTGTCATAACACCATCTCAGGTCAGACACCGCTCAGCTTCAGAGAACAGCAACTATCATTATTATGGATGGGGATTTTATTAATGTTTATGAACATAGTGTTTGCTACTCAAGAGAAAAAGACAGTGACTTAAAGAAAGAGAAAAACATGAAGAGATATGGACAGAGAGAGAGAGGGAGAGAGAGAGGAAGAGGACAAAAGAGGAGAGCTTTAGTGAAACTGTGAGAAAGTAAAACTGAAACTAATCTGGTTTTCCTGTTTGATTCTGAGGTTCAGCAGCGAACAGTGACCAGCAGCAGCTCAAGTTCTCTCAGTTTATCTCCAGTGTGAAAAGAGTTTAAGGTCATAAGCACAATAATTCAAGTGGTTGGTACAAAGAACCTGAGCGAATCAGTTCAGCTGCAATGATACAGATGAAAATCCGTGGCTGGACATTTTCATGTCATGACAAACTATATACAACAAGATGTTACCAGTCAAACAGCAGTGGAGCCTCTTCAGAAACGTCACCAAACTAAAACTGTGACTCTGCTGCCACCTGCTGGACGACAGCGCAGAACAGCATCCTGATTAAAAGGACAATACCACACTGTTTTACCAAAGTCTTTCCCCTGTTTTAACTTCAAACCACATGTTTGAGTTAAAGAATCATAGCTGTAGTTATTTATGTTTAAGGGCTCAGTTATTTACCACAGTTGCTTGTTTACATTCATTTGTATTTCTGACACATACTGGGTGAAATAAAACCTGTTTGTTTGAAACGTAAACCTGCGCTCGCTCGTCTTCTGACTGCTTGTTCTCTAACAGGTTCTCATGTGATGAGGTCTGATGTTGTTCTGATGAGTGAAACGTGTCCTGCTCATGTAAATACACTGTGAGAGACGACTAGACATTTTTAAGAACTGATTTTCTCTGGTAATTTTCTCTGAATAAGGGGACATGGGCATGAAAAATCATAGTCCGACTTCTGTGATGATCATTTAGGATTTTCCCATCATTTATTTATTTATTTGGATCCCCGTTAGCCACCAAGCTAGCAGCTAGTCCTGGGGTCTGCTCGGTACCTGCAGGAGGCTCTTCACCATGATCTCCATCTCCTGTTGGTTCATACACAACCTCAGCTCCTCCCCTGCCTCAGGTGGGGCTTCTGATTGGCTCGCCGTGCTCTGATTGGTCAGAGTCATCTGTTGGAGCTTCTCACTCAGTCTGCGAACACATTACAACACAAGACACACTTATAGTAAGTTTCCTCCATTCAGCTTCTCAGTTGAAACCAGCTGGAAACGTGGTTGCGCAATTTCGTTTTAACATGTTAAACTTGCAGCACATCTGTCCTAAAACATCTGTCTGCTGCACCACAGTCGGTCCAGCTGTGTCCCAGGCTTCAGGTGGGTGCTGACCTTTGTGGCTCAGAGCAGGAAGTGCAGGTCTGGATGGTGTCCATCAGCTGATCTCTGACGGCTTGTCCTCCTGGACTGGACAAAACATCAGAGACGCTGCAGCCAGGGAACAGACTCATGAGCATGGGCGGCAGCTGGACACACACACACACACACACACACACACACACACACACACACACAATTTACGACTATTTACTTATTATTTACTATTTATTTTAGTTATATTTATGGAAAGGTTGCACGAAGAAGCTCCGACCTCCTCGTTGGTGGGATCCAGGATCAGAACACAGATCAGGTCCTGTCGGGCTCCCTTCAGGTTCTGGAGCTTCCTGAAGGCCTTCGATCTCTTCTCGTAGTACTGAGCAGCTGAAGGGTCGTACTGGACGGCCAGAGAAAACATGTCAGCTGCCTCCTGGAAATGCCTGCACACACACACACACACACACACACACACACACACACACACACACACACAATTTTAGGACGTTTCTCTTTAGGTTTCTCTGCGTGGATGTGTCTATGTGTGTGTTAGTGTGTGTTAGTGTGGTTCTGACCCGCCCTGGAAGCAGAAGGAGCCCAGTGTGTTGTGGAGGACAGCGAGGCGCAGCCGGACAGCAGGGTCGCCAGGTCTCATCATCTCCTCAGCCTGCTGGTAGTCGACCAGAGCGTAACACCAGTCACCCTGCTTAAAGAAACAGTCTGACACACACACACACACACACACACACACACACACACACACACACACACTAAATAAATATATCTTTCCAACATAATTCAGCTCTTAGTTTCACACTGTTCTGTAATTTCATAGGTTTGGACCAACAGTCCAAACACAAAGATATTCAGTTTACAGTTTTATCAAAAGGTGAAAATCAGTAAATCATTAGATATGAGAAGCTAGAACTCGTTAATGATCAATCTTTTATCAAAAATGTAGTTCATTTTCCGTCTGTCAACGAACCGATAAACCGACAAACAACAAAAACTTAAATCCAAAATAAATGTAATGAATGATTTATTATATCCAGACGGACGGAATCTCTTCACACTGTGCATCAGGTTTGTCTGCTCTCAGCTCTGATTGACCGTTTCAGTGGCTCACCTCAAAGATTTTAGACAAGAGTCTTTTACGTCACTATCTCCCGCAGCATGAGGAAACACAGTGGAGACAGTTGTTTGAACTGGGTGTCTGTTATGACTCAGGGAACTCAAGTCACTAACACAAAGTTAGTTTGGTTCAAAAAAATAAACCTGCAATTCTCACGTATGACCATAGGTGTCGCCAAAGATTACGAAACAGAGATCCTCCAGACTGCTGCTTTATTAAAACGTTCACCTCACCTGGTCGGTCATTTTCAGGATGTAACAACAACAAAGACAAACTTCACAAACGTCACACTAGACGCTCTGTCTTTTCTATGAACAGGAAGTGGCAGAATTCAGTTTGAAAAGGACGATGAGTGAGTTCTTGTTGATCCACAGTGAAGACTCAGTGATTCTCTGAACGATTTCCTGAACAAAATGACTGTGTGTGTGTGTGTGCACAGAAAAGAGAGAGAGAGAGAGACACACACACACACACACAGAGACCAGCTGTCCATCGCCTCACCTCCTCGGTTCAGGTACAGGCCTGCCTGGCTCTTCTCCTCCTCGATGGCCTTGTTGAGGAGCAGAGTGGCTTCGGCGTACTGCCCTCTGCTGAAGCACTGAACGGCAAAGTCATTGTAGGTGAGAACCAGCTGAAACTCCACCTGCTCTTCGAAGGAGCCTCGCTCGTCCCTCTTGTCCCTGGCCGCCTCCGCCTGACCTTTGACACCCTTCTCCGCCTCCCCCCTCTCCTCCCCCTCCCCTCCTTCCCCCCCGTCGTTCAGCTCCACAGCCTGGATCAGATCCTCGATGGCGGCTGTGAAGTCTTTGAGACGTCGGTAGAGAATCCCTCTGATGGAACAGGATGAGACAGTAGATCTTTCATGGGAATCTTAATGGGAACATTTTTAATTTTGGTAATTAAAAACTGATTGATTGATTGATTGATTGATTGATTGATTGATTCTTTGGTGATTCTTGTGGTTAGTAACAAAGAAAAACAACCATCTGGTGGTTACAGTCAAACAAACATCAGACATCTGGACATCAGTAAGTAACTTTAAACTTATTATACTAGATAATGAGCTGATTATCTTTCAAGTAATCAATGAATTAATTATTGATGAAAAAAGGTTTATTAGTTGTGACTCTTTGCAGACACATGACGAGACAGTGCAGGAAAACCGCGCAGGTCCTCCCTCGAACTGGAAGGTTTCTTAGTTGAAGCTTGAGTGTCTGATCTGGGTCGGACTCACCTGAACAGGTAGAGGCGTGCGTCCCGGGGGCAGTTCTCCAGAGCGATGTTGATCATGCAGAGGGCTTCAGGCAGCTCGCCGCTCACAGCTCTGTCCACAGACTTCTGTCTGGCCTGTTCACCGGCTCGCTGCAGCTGCTGCAGCAGAGCTCCGGCCGCGGGACACGACGGGTTCAACGCCAGCGCCGACGTCACGTCTCGATAACATTGTGACACCTGGAGAGAAAATGACACTTTAATAACAGACGTGACGTTTGTGGCGTCCTCAAATCTGATTTTGTAAAGTCTGACTCTCCAGGGTCATGACAGTCACTGAAAGACAGAACATAAAAATAGAAACAAACGTATTTGTGTTTCACAAAACAATTCAAGTGCTTGAAGGTATTAAGACAAAATATAAAAAAAACACTGGATAAATGAAAAAAACACTTTAATATGATTTAAAAAACTAAAAAAATTAAATATAACTACATTTTTTTATTTAATTAATTAAGGAATAATTTTAAGATTTAAAAAAAAATTAAATAAAAAATAATACATTAAATAATACATTAAAAACAAAACAAATGAATTCAATTAATGAAATAAAAATTTTTAAAAATAATTTAAAAATAAATAAATAAATATTTAATTAATTAATTAAATAATTAGTTAAAAGTTGTCCGTCTGTTAAAAGCTTTAGTGATGTCCCTCACTTGTACGTCACTTTGGAAAATAATGAGAACTGCGTAAATGAGTTTAATCTTGACATCGTAAACATTTTGTTTTTCTTTTTCTGCATCTTTTTTTTTACCAGCAGGAGAAACTAAATATTATCTCGATCCAAAACACTCATTCTAATCCTGTTGAGCTGCTTGATTCTGAGGTGTACAGTGTATCTTCTGCTGGTTGGAGGTGTCTGAAGTAAGTGAGAGGTCCCTGCAGCTGTAACCTGGTGGAGCTGCTGGTGCAGTCGGGCTCTGAGGATGTAAAGGTCAGAGGTGGGACCGTCTGACACCATCCAGTCGTTGACCAGCTGCAGACAGTCGGTGAGGTGACCTGCAGCTGTCAGACAGGCCAGGCTGGGATACAAGGCAGACAATACATTAATGAACAAGGTGTGTGGGTTAGAAACAAAATGACAACCATAAAAAACAAACTGCAGAATGTAAATATCACGTCTGAATGTTTGGCTGCTCTGCACACGGACTGTCCACGGTGAGAAAGCTGCTGTAATTCAGATCCATGTATCTATGCTCAAATATCTTACAACATATATAGTGTAAATCTGACATCATGTATCTACTGGTGGTGAAAAGCAGAGTCATTTTCTGAGACGAGTGTTAGTTAGTAAACCTGATCAAAAGTGCACAGCTTTAATCTAGATCTGACCTTCTGACTGCGTAGACCCTGCAGCCGGGCTTCACCTCAGCAGCTTTAGTGAACGCCTCCAGAGCCTCCAGGAAAAGGCGTCGGTCAAACAAACACTGGCCCTGAGGACAACAGGAGACAGAAAGATCATCAGGAACTTATTTAATGTTCAGGAATTTACCTGAGACTTCTCAAACTGCACACATGGTGATATGGTGTTCTACTGAATCACAGAAACATGTTTTCACATCTGTTGTCATGGTTTACAGTTACAGTTTTAACCACCTCTGATTTTCTTCTTCTTCTGTTGTGTTTTTCACTCTAAGTTGCTGAACAGAGACTCTAACCTGGAGGTAGTAGATGAAGGCCAGGCGGTCTCTGAAGGCTCCGGGCTCCAGGAGCCAGGCCTTCTTATAACAGGCTGCTGCGGACTGGAAGTCACACAGCTGCAGGTAGGCCTCCGCCTGACTCACATACAGCTGAGTCTGAAACACACAAGGGCAGCGAGTGTCACACTGAGACACACAAACCTAGTGGAAAATCCTATCCTAGTTTTTACACAGGTGACTGTGTCTCAGATCGTCCAGCACCTGTTCAGGCTGCAGTGTGATGGCTCTGGAGAAGCAGATTACCGCCTTCTCATACTGGAACTTTCCCATCGCCTCTTTTCCATTTGTGTAGCTGCAAAGAAAATAAAAGTGTTATTCAACCCTGAAAAGGCATCAGCTGAATTTCATGTTGCAGCTTTACATACATTTTCAGCAAAGATCTCTCATGTTTGGTTTGCTGATATTTGTAACACAGATATGATCTTTGCTTCTCTTTCAGAAAACATCACATTTAAGCAAAATACCACCAGATCAATTCTAAACACATAGCTGTACGATGTGTTTTTCTCTCATTTCATTCATGATTCTCACTGCTCTGCAGCCTTGCTCTGGATGATGAGGCTCCCCTGAAGGTCTGGTCTGTGAGGGCGTTTCTCTCCTGGTGCCAGAAAGATTTTACTGGAGCCAAAAAGCTGCTTGAAGGAGCTTTTTCTCCTGGCCTCATCCAGCTCCTCTTCTGACACCGCAGTGGGAAACAAACTCTGCTCCTCTGCCTGCTGGATTTAATATCAAAGATTTACTACCAAATACCAAAACATGTCAGTTTCCCTGAGGGACGCCACCTAACAAAAGAAGGAGGATTAGACTGACAATCAAACATGTCCCTTTGATTGGATGAAACAAACCATTTTTATTATGTTCGTTTTGTTTTTTTATGTTTGTTATGACATTAGTAAGGTAACATTCAGCATCAGTTCCAATTTGAGAATTTATTAGTCTTTTAGATTTAAAAATAATAACAATAATAATAATAATAATGAAGTAATGATAATACAACTACATTTTTAAAACCCTTGGAGAAAAAAAACGTTAAATTGAAATAAATTCATAAGGATTGTGGCTAAAAAGATAACAATCTCTCTTTACCGTTTTTTTCAAGGTAAACAAATTTATTTGTCACATACACGCTTTACAAGACAATTACAGTGAAAAATGTTTCACCTATAATAAAATTATTATTATATTAATAATAACTTATATTACTGTATTTTGTACTGTTTTATCTTAACTGGTGTTAGCTTGTAAACTAACTACAGAACTAAAAGCTTTACAAGTTTAACTGTTAGCTACTGGTTTTCAACAAACGTTTGTTTACCGTCTGGTCTTTTCTCTCCACGGAAGTGTCCATTGTATTCGTAAAACTGCTGAGCAACTTCTGCTCTTTTTCTTTTCACTTCGTTAGCATTTTTAGAACTTTGCACAATGTTAATTGTGATGTGTGGATGTCACCATGGAAACCTAGACACCCCTTGAAACAAAGAGTTTCTACGTTGACTGAGAGACTTCCCTCCCGTCACTTCCGGCTCCGCTTCAATCCCGCCAGGATAAAGTCAAATCGTGTAATATTTACTGTCCACAGCTGTTGTGGTGAAGTGTTGCACTTTTAATGGAGACTTTAAAAATATGTTAATGAATTATCTCTATGATTCTGGTCATACAGTTACGTTTATTACTTGAAATGTCTTCAGTTTGGGGAAACGCTACTGACGTTAACTTCCGGTTCAGCAGCTAAGCTAAAACCCCAGTCACAATAGCGACCGATTATACGTTTTTGCATCTCTTATTGTTGTAAAATGGTATTAGAAATCCCAGCTAAAATTTAACAATGTTTCAAAATTGTGAAAGATTTGTGAACTGCTGAAAACAGAGAAAATATTTTTGAAATCTACACCTGGTCTAATGTGGTCGAGATGATCAAAAAGCAGTGAAACACCGGTTTTTTCTGTTTTCACAAACGGAATAAAGGTTTGCCTGAAAATGTGTTTCAAACTGTATGAAGACTTACCTTTTTACAACTATAAGTGGATGAAAATGATGACGAATCAAACTTTCAATGTCATTTAAGTTTCCCTCAACTAACCGGAAGCTACGTGAAGACTTTTATTTTGAAAACGGCCAACCAGGAAACAGGAGGCACACTCAGTGATCAGCTGACTGAAATGTTGACAAAGCAAGTTGACCGCCGGTTAAGGAAGCAAAACCCCTTGTGAGTTAGACTCGTACGTTTCAGGCTGCTGGTCAGATCGTAAAGACTGAAATGTCCCATGTTTTCTTCGTGGCTTCCGGTGTTACTGTAGAGTTCCCGCGTCCTCCTGTGGTTCTGCACAGCTGCCACTTTGTGCAGCAGCTTCTGTCGATCTTCCTCGGGGAGATTTGTCTAACCCGTGATCCATGTAAAAGGTGAAGAGGAGAGAGGAGGTAAACACCGGGGAACGTCGCTGCTGCTGTCGGTCGCTATGGACATCCAGAACGAGAGGAGACGGCTGCTGGATGCGGAGGGTGGAGATGAGGATCCTACAGGACTCATGTCTGAGCAGGATGCTTATCTGAGGTCAGTCCTCAGAAACAAAGGTGGATTGTTAAAGGGCCATTCCACATGATTTGTTCCCACTCTGAATGCAAATCAATTAGTAGACTCTTGAACCTGGTCGATTAAAGTCAACATCAAGGCTGCATTCATTGTAATCTCATATATATTATCATGTGCAGGTAATTAGTCGACACAACACAGCTGCTGTACCATGCAGCAAAGATGTCACTCCTTCATGGTGATTTATTACACACATCAAACCTTAAAAATGTCAGATTATAGTGAGTTCTGTCACATAAACAGTTCAAATCCAAATTTTCCAGGTAACAGTGATAAAAAGAAGCTGGACTCAAGCATATTTTGCTCAATAAATGACTTAATCATGACAGTTAATTTTGTCTTACTTAACTAATTCATTAGTTGTCAATAAAACTTTTTGTTTTTGTTTTTTCATGCACAGCAGAAAGGAACTGAGGCCAGTGTCGCCTGGAACAGCTGGGAAATATATATCAACAATCTATAAATATACAACCTGCATTAGAAATGTTCAGCATAAAGGGAGAGTTTGTGTTATGGAGCTAAAACTTGAAAACACACAGGGACAGTCCTTTAAATGCTGAGTAGTCACACACTCCAAATACTGATTTTTCTACCACATTTATCAGTGTGTTGATGAAGACACTGCCAAAACAATATGGATTAAACTGTGTTTATTAATAAGTCATGTTACTTTATTAAAGTCCGATTTACTTTGATAAAACCACACTTGACTGTTTATTACATGCTTTTAATTATTAAAAACTCCATTTTCTAAATGTCAGATTGTAGAGAACCTGCAGCGTCAGTACCTGAGTCACTTTATGTAAGCAGCTGTGATTGTGCATGACACAGTGCCCTTTGACCTTTACCCCCCTGCATTCTGTTCCTCTTTCTCTCCGCAGCAAAGTGAAGAACAGGAAGTTGTACCTGGCGGCGTTTGCATCTGTTCTGGGTCCCATGAGCTTCGGCTTCGTGCTGGGCTACAGCTCTCCCGCCATCCCCGAGCTCACCAAGATCGCCGACCCGCGGCTGCGTCTGGACGACGTCCAGGCCTCCTGGTTTGGGGTACGATGCCGACTGTGATGATTTAATATCACATGCCTCAAAACAAAGCAGCGTTCAGACAGAGGGTTGTTACCTTTATCAGCAGTTTTATGTCATCACATGCTCCACACACGGCAGGCTGGATTCACTTGAGTTCAGGACAGTGTAAAGACACAGAAACCAGCTCCAGTAGAAACAGAAGTCAAATGTAATAAAAATGAAAGATTTGGTTTAAGTTAAAAAATAGTTACTTATGTCTGAAGCTAAATATGGATTACTTCCTGAAAATGTGCAGAAATGAATGAAACCCTGAGCTCTGTGGATGATTATGTCAGTAATGTTAAAGTCAATATACATTTAATTGGGGGACTCATTAAGAAAGTACATGTGTTTAGCTAAATTCAGGGTTTTAAATGCAAATTGAACAACTGGAAAACTTCCAGTGGTTTGTTTCTCTCAGGTGAATCATAGGTACAAAAGGTTAACTATAAAAAAAACAATAAAAACTAGAACCGAATCACAGACTTTCAAATTAAACTTTGTACTTTGCCTGACGTGAGTGAACAACTTCCAGTTTCTGTCTCGTTGTTTTGAATTCACTACTGCTCTAACTGGCTACATCTCCATGCCAACAGTGGTGGAGGCTCATGGGAATTGTAGGCTTTGGAGCCTTTTACAATGCCAGACTTTGTGTAAAAAAAAAAAAACAAAACAACATGATAGAAATAATTAAATGTGGAGGTCACGACATGAACCAGATTCTTCCATCATCAAGGAGAATATTTCTGTGAAATGGGAATTTACAACAGAGAAAAATACTTTATATCATTTCAAGTAGCATTAGTACTACTGCTGCTGATACACAGAAACCCTTGGGCCATGTCCAGGAGCACTGGTTGGTTTCTGTGTCGGGACGAAGGTGCAGTTGCTCCCTCGTCCCCATATCAAGTTAATCTGATCTTAATGTTCTCGTATTTTTAGACGTTTGTTCATCTGTGTGTGACAGTGATGTTTTGAAGTTATAAACTGAAATGATCTTCATAGATGAACATGGCTGAAAGGTTTAGGTAGAAGAGCTAGTCAGTAAAAAAAGTCCAGATTTGAAGAAAAGGTCAATAATTCACGGTTCCTGTTCTTACTTTTAAATAACTTTGAATATTAAAAATGTGGAATAGAAAGTGACGTTGCCTCCTGCGGCTGTGTGTTGTGATTTTCAGTCCATAGTGACGCTGGGGGCGGCGGCGGGCGGCCTGCTGGGCGGTTGGATGGTGGACAAGATCGGCAGGAAGCTCAGTCTGATGTTCTGCTCGCTGCCGTTCGTCTTCGGCTTCACCGTCATCATCGCGGCGCAGAACGTGTGGATGCTTTACCTCGGCAGGGTGCTCACCGGCCTCGCCAGCGGCGTCACGTCGCTGGTCGTCCCGGTAAGACGTTGGTCACCCTCTCTCAGTCCTTTCAGTGACCACAGTCTGTTTCACAGGAATATTGACATTTTCAAGCTGATGTTTGAAGAAAAAGAAAAATTCTCTTCATGATTTTTTCAGTTGATTATAATCAGTTTAATTCAGTTGTTATTAATAAAGAAAAACATTCCAAACATCCTCCGGTTTTAGCTTCTCACATGTAAGAATTTTGTGTGTAAACTGAAAACATTTGAGTTTCAGGACATAATGTTCGGTGCCGGTAACTCTTTTCTTTGCTTTTATTCACCAAACAATGAATCAGTTAATCAGTAAATAGGGAATGTAAATCAACATTTTTAAATAAGTAATTAACCTGTAATTCCAATGGACAAAAGATTATGTTTCCATAAATAAAAGCCTCGACTAAACCACCTGAACCATCATGAGAGTGACTGTGATGTGGTGGTTTGTTCCTGCTGTGTAACGTTTGCTTCTTCCCTCCTCACACAGCTCTACATCTCTGAGATGGCACACGAGCGGGTCCGTGGGACACTGGGCTCCTGTGTGCAGCTGATGGTGGTGCTAGGCATCATGGGAGTTTATCTCGCAGGTATGTAAGCTCAGAGTTAGGCGAGTGTGGCGTCCTTAAATTTAAATCTCATTACACCTGTAGGTATTAAGACAAGATATAAAAATAACACAAGATAATATAAAAAGACACAGGATTTTAAAATTTAATTAATTAAAAAATGATTCAAAACATAAAAAAAAACATTTATTTACAAACCTAAAACATATTTAAAATAGATTAATAAAATAAAAGTTTAAAAAATAATAAAAATGTAAATAAAAATAAAATAAAAAATTGAAAAATTAAAGAAATAATTAATTAATTTAATGCAATCAATTAAATAAATAAAAAAAGATTTTAAAAAAAATTAATTGAAAGTAAAAGAAAGAAATCTCTCTCCCTCACCTGTAAGTCACTTTGGATAAAAGCGTCTGCCACATGAGTAAATGTAAATGTAAATGTAAATACAAGATAAACATAATTTAAAATAGAATACAGCAGATGAAACGACAGTGTGACAGTGTTAGACAAATTGAACTGAAGGAGATTTGGTAGCAAACAGAAACGTTTGAAGTCCTGATGTAAAAGACCAGAAGAAGATTGTTCAGGTATGTGAAGATAAAACAGATCAGACCTGATCATGAAAAGTTCCTCGAGGTAAACGTCACAGAGTCACTGTCCTCTATGATGTAACTTTTATTTTACAACATCCACCACTACAGCAGTAAAGCAGAGTGTCTTCTTATCTAAACTGTCTGGTAATCATCTGTATTGATCCGCTGTGTGACACTGTCAAACGTCCTGTGACAGCTCTGGATCAAAGGTTGTGAAGAAGAGATGACCGCAACCTGGCCGTCATGTGATGTGGTCAGATTCCTCCGCCGCCTCTTCGACAGCAGCCTGAGTGAAAATAGCTGCTTCTCGCTAACCTTGTTAACTGCATGCCATTTAGGTTTTCTGGCGGGTCACGTGACGTAGGTTGTCTCGTGGTGTTAAGGCACCATGGCACTGCAGTAGTGAATCACTCCATTCAGTTGTTGGTAGATATGGAGCTTGAATTGTGTTAAAAGTCTGTCAAAGGTCGTTGAAGCAAATTATGATATAAAACTATGAGGTTAAAGAATTAGGTGTTTAATCAATTAGTCAATTGACAGAAAAATAATCAGCAACTTTCTCCCGTGTTTTATTTGAAGTGTTGATCCATAAGAAGATATATTTAAACCATCTCAGTGTAGTTTTACATCTCCTCTCTCAGGCTTCTCTCTGGAGCTCTAGTAACAACAGGTCGGTGAGCCAATCAGAAGAGAGGAGGCTCTGAGCCTCTCTTCTGATTGGCTGACTGTTTTCTGAGTGATCCAATAAAAATAAAGCAGATTTCAGGTAAAAACACTCAGAGAAACCAAATCCTGCAAGGTTTGGATGGTGGGTCCAGGTGGGCGGGGCTTGGTGACTGCTTTGTTGTGACATCACAAAGTTCCAGAAGTCCTGACGGCTGGTTTTAAGGCTCAGTTTCTGAATACAGGCTGTGTGCATTTCTCTGTGGACTGAGGCTTTGATACTTTCACAGTATCGATACAGAACCTAGACCTGATCTATAATCAAAGAAGACAAACAGTGAAATACATGTTTGTTACTGTGCATCATTTGGGTGAAATGGCCCTTTAATATTTGATCTTAATGGCGAAATGAAAAAAGCATCACGTTACCAAATATATGATTTCATGAAGTAAAGATCTGTTTATAGTTTAAGACATTTTTAACTTTGTGTCTCAGTCACAATGAAGAGAAGTGAATCAGGAAGTGGAATAACTTAGAATGAGGAAATATGCTCCAGGTAATCTGATTTTCAGAGGAGAAATTGTTTAATAGCTTGCAAGCTAAACCCCCACCTCTTCACAAACGAGCTGCTGTTCAGCACAGAGGTGAACACTGTAGAAAATCCGCGGAACCGTCTGATCATCAGAAAAAATATTTTTAGACTCGGCAGATGAAGACGTTCGTGAGGAGACGAGGACTCGACAAGGCTCCTCTCTGTCCTGCAGCGTTCAGCCGCTCATCAGATGAACTTTCCAGAAACTCCTCCGAGGTGACTGAGATCATGGAGATAAAGAAGAAACGAGTAAAAGAGTATATACACCACAGCTGTTGTGTCACCATCTGGACATTACTTACATCTTCGTCCTTTTATTATGGAGACAAACTAAATTTAAAGGGAAAAAAGTTACTTTCAAAAGGTCAGGAACAGCAGCAAGTAGACAGATCCCTCTCAGGCTGTTAGAGGATCTATAATCATTCGCTTGGTTTGGATCTAACTGATATTTTCAGGCGCGTATCTGTACGTTATGCATATGTGCACGTGACGGGACGCATTCCAGACAGAGCCGATCTATTTTACATATTTGCATGAATCTGATTAATTCATAAACAATAATTAATACACGGAAATGTGTTTTAAAAAAGAATAGTGATTCCCATAGTGAGGCTACATTATTGAATGTGTGGTCAGACACCACCTGTCATGGCTGCACAGGCCACCAGGGGGCCTCGGACCACAGGTTGAAAACCCCCAGTACAGACAGTCCATAAGAGGGACAGTGAACCGTGTTGCTGTTTTGTTTTTGTTGTGGTTTTTGTGTCAATATCTGAATGTGATTCAAATGCTGCTGTGTGATGGATGATTGACAGACTGAAGTTAATTCTTTCCCAAACAGAGCTGAAATATTAATCAATTAATCGATTATTAAGTCGACAGAAATGAATTCTGCAGCAAATTTGAGTTTTTTTTTTTCAACAAAAAAATGACAAAAACTCTTTGGCTCCAGCTGTTTAAGATGTCTTCTGGGTCTTTTTCCCTTTTTTCATACATTTTATTGATCAAATGACTAATCAGTTAATCAGTGACAGTCATTGTTAGTTGCAGGTCCAGGTCTGAGCATTAAAGCAGCAGTTGTGTGATCTTTGATCTGCGTCCTGCAGGTCTCTTCCTGGACTGGCGCTGGCTGGCGATCTGCAGCTCCATCCCGCCGACGCTGCTGATGGTCTGCATGTGCTTCATGCCGGAGACGCCTCGCTTCCTGCTGTCGCAGGGCAAGAGGCGGGAGGCCGAGGAGGCGCTGCGCTTCCTGCGAGGACCGGACGCCCCCGTCGAATGGGAGTGCGCTCGCATCGAGGACGCCTGTGAGGAGCAGGTGAGTCTGCGGTTGGTTGGTCGGTTGGCTGTGAGGCAGTGGGCGGTGTCACCGCAGTAGATGCTGCAGAAACCAGGAACTGAAATCAACCAGAAGATCCAGAATAAGACCGAAGATAATCCGACCTTCCTCTTCACTGTTGCTGCCGCTGGTGAAATGTTGACGTAAAAACCAAAAGTCAGGTCAAAGGATGGGACTGGTCTGCAGACAGGGAAACGTCTCCCTGACTGTATCTGATGACCACAGCCTCTGTTTCTCTCAGGGCTCCAGTTTCCAGTTGTCCGACCTGAAGGACCCCGGCGTCTACAAGCCCCTGGTGATCGGCATCATGCTGATGATCTTTCAGCAGATGACGGGGATCAACGCCATCATGTTCTACGCTGAGAACATATTTGAACAAGCACATTTTAAGGTGAGGAGGGGGGAGGACGGGCTTTAAAATGTTTTTTGCCCTGTGGAAATTAAAGGAGCAGCGTGTGGGATTCAGTGGCATCTAGTGGCGAGTTTGTAGATTGCAACCGAACGAATACCCCTCCCCCCACCCCTCCCTTTTCCCAGCATGTCGAGGAACCTACGAAAGGTCCTCTCTAGAGCCAGAACTTGGTTTGTCCACTCTGGGCTACTGTAGAAACATTCGGCAAAAAAACACAACAATTCTCAGTCTCAGGTGATTAAACACTAATAAAAACTTAATTATGAATATTATATTTCTGCTGATAGATCAAACTAAATCCTTCACTCTGGCCCTTTAACACAGGCGCCTCCTCTCCAGGACTGTCAGCTCTATCTTTGTTCTCTCACTTTTATCTGGAATTCTGTTCTGGAGTGATGAAATATTTTAGGATATAAAAAAATATGTTTTATATGTTTTTACTATAAATATAAACAATAAAATATGATACATAAAGATGTGTTTTTTTTAAATGTTCAGTATTGTGTCTTGTTGAAATGATCAATGTGGGTGTGTTGTTGTTGTTGTTGATGATGATGATGTTGTTGTTGTTGTTGTTGTTGTTGTTCAGGAGAGCGACCTGGCCTCGGTGATCGTGGGTCTGATTCAGGTCGTCTTCACAGCTGTAGCGGCGCTGATCATGGACAAGGCCGGAAGGAAAGTCCTCCTCATCATTTCAGGTATTTTCAGTCACATTAGTATTTTAAACAAGTTTTATTTACTTTTTTTTTAACTATAAAGTGAAAGAATCAAACAACTGGCGGCTCCTCGTCTGTCAGCTGTTGACTCTGCACATCAGGATGAGGCCCAGACTTTTGTGCAAACAAACTACATTCAGTGCAAACGGCTGTAAAAACCGTAAGAGGAATAAAATCAGTTCAGCTCGTCTTTGTTTGTTCTCCCATTAATAATCAAGGCGTTGCCATGGCGATCAGCACGACAGCCTTCGGGGTTTACTTCTACCTGATGTCGCAACTTCACAGCACCGCCCCGCCGGGTGAAGAGCCCCACGCTGACCTGGCCTGGCTGGCCTTGGCCAGCATGGCCGTCTTCATCACAGGTGAGATGGAGGGGTCACGCGCCAGAATCTAATCCAGCTGTGAACGTTCAGGTAGAGGCAAAATGATGCTTCCAGATGTGCAGTGAAATAATCGTGTTTCCAAATGAGCTCAACAACAATACACCAGAAAGATGCTGAGCCTTCCTCACTCCCCCCCCCCCCCCCCCCCCCCCCCCCCCCCCCCCCCCCCCCCCCCCCCCCCTCCTCTTCCTCCTCCTCCTCCTCTGTCCGTCCCTTTCTCCTGCATGTTTCATCTGCTGTGTGACCGTGTTCAGAGCTGATGATTTTGCCTCTGATTCACTTTGTGTCTGGGTGATTCACAGAGCTAAATCTGCAAAGCCTCTAAACCCCCAAGAGGACTAAATAACTTTGACAAATGTAGGGCGACCACGCTGCTGATGCTCATCGTCATGAATATATGGATTGTGAGTGTCGGTGTGGTCCTCAGGTTTCGCTCTGGGCTGGGGTCCGATCCCGTGGCTGATCATGTCGGAGGTTTTCCCCGTCAAAGTGAGAGGGTTTGCCAGCGCCGTCTGCGTCCTGACCAACTGGAGCATGGCGTTCCTCGTCACCAAAACCTTCCAGGACATGATGGTAAGTGCTCAACACCACGCTGATACGGGAGGTTTGTTGAGAATGAAGATTGAATTTGTTTTCTTTGTCTTATTTGCTTGTTTTTCTTCTATTGTTGTAGATTTTCTTTCTATTTTTCCTCGTAATCATGAGAAAGTTGTCACTTATCTCATCAGCTCAACATGATATGACAACTCATGGAGTATTAATTATGATATCAGAAATAAAGAAAGTTAAAAAAAAAAATCTACTTATGGGGCGTCGAGTGGCGCAGTGGGTCGAGCAGGCGCCTCATGTGCAGAGGCCACAGTCCTCACTGCAGTCGGCCCCAGTTCGAATCCCGCATGGGACGGCCCTTTACTGCGTGTCATTCCCCCTCTCTCTGCCTCCTCATCTCCTGTCTCTCTCTACTGTGCTGTCATAAAGGCATAAAAAATCTACTTATATCAGAGATCTTCACCATGATCTTGAGAAACATTAAGCACATGTCCAGCTCTGTCAGTGTCCATACAGCTTTGATTTGAATTTGGGCTGAATCAGTCTAAATGATCAATTAATTGATTGAAGAATAAAGAATCAGCAACAGTTTTTACAGTAATTCATTTAGTCGTTTAAGTCATTTATCATCAGAAAAGAAACCTTCAGATCCAGGACTGCTGATCCGACAAAACAATATATTATTATTATATTTTACAGCCTAAATAATTGAGTGAAAAACAAGAAATGATTTGAGGATTAATAAATAATCCTTAGTCGCAGCCGTCTCAGATGAACAGAGTGTGTGTGAGTGTATGTGTTTCAGTATCTGTTGTGAAACCGTGAGACCTTCCTCTGTGACTTCTTGCAGACCGCTCTAACCAGCGCCGGGACCTTCTGGTTGTTCGCCTGCACGTGCATCCTCAATGTCATCTTCACCATGGTCTGCATCCCAGAAACCAAAGGCAAGACACTGGAGCAAATCGAGGCCACGTTCAGAGGGACGTCAGGTCCATGAGAAACAGAAACAGTTGAAGCTAATGCAGATTAATACAACAGCACCGTCATGAAGGTTGTAGTGTCCCGTCAGAGACTGTTGATTCAGCTGTGTGATCATTTTGGAGGCTGGAGCTTGTGCTGTGCTGCGCCCCGAGGTCTTTCCAGTGTTTTGTCCGTCCCATTTACATCAAATTGGCAACTGGGCGTGAACCACCTGTGTTTGCAGGAAGTCTGTCCTAAACCCTTCAGCATAAAAGAATTTGATAATCAGACCATTAAATACAGTTTAAATCCTTTATGTTTAATATCAGCATCAAAATGAGGTCTCACTGTTGTAATTCATCTCCAAGTCCACACACTGAGATGAGCCAAGTTCTTCTGTGCAGGTGTAACATTTCCTCAGGTGTTGGACAGTTTTAATATATGCACTACAACGTTGCAGAACGACATAATACTGGAGTTCATGGACATAGAAAAGGTTTTACTGTATGTGCACAGAGGTCTCTGTTCTCTGGGGTCTCAATTATTTTCTATAACAGAGCAAGATTTAACTTTTTGAGGTTTGAAAACTCTTTAAAGGTAATTGTAAAAAGGTTAGGATTTCCATCTTTCAAAGAGAAAAGAAACTGCTCTAAGATTTAATTAATGGCATTATAATGGAATCTAATGGTGCAGAGCTTTTATTGTGAAAAAGATATTTCTCACTCATCTTCTCATATCAGTGTGTTGTAGTTCCAGTTCTCACGAGTTATAATTAAACACAACATCTGTCTTAATTCTTATGTATCATTATGTTGAGCTTGTTAATTCGGAGATCGTTTTCTACTCTTAAAATATGTTTGGACTTTTTTTTTTCCACTTAAATTCTCATTTGAAAACATGTTGCACAATGCTACGTCATGCAGAGAAGTGCAGGGGCCTCTAGAAACTATTTTGATTCAGTGCCAAACTAGAATTATAAGAATGATGTCAGTCATTGCTCCTCAAAGTGTCTTTGATGACTTCTGCAGAAACAAAACCAAATTTATTATAAATGTTGAGTTGATCATGAAGTGACAAGAGTCTGCTGTTTACACTGACTGAGCTGACTGTTAATTAAACTGTGCAGTTTACATCATCACAGATATGAGGTGAAATTAAACAGATTGTGATTTAAAAAAAAAAAAAAAAAATTTTAATACTGTCATTTATAGAATTTAAAACTGCCAGCTGTAAACTCTCTGTGGGAAGAATATGTTTTTGTAATAACTTCCTCTTCAGATTTTCTTGTAAAGAAAATGTTTATTATCTGACATGTACACACTTGGGATAGTGATGATATTTGATTTTATACTTAAGAAAAACTGACTTGTCTGTAGAAAACAGATCATCCAACTCTTTTTTTTTCTCTTTTTATTCATGATTTTATGGTGTTTGTTTTGTTATGAGTTCAGTGAAGCTATGAAATCGATAAACCACCCACTCTTTAACCCTTCTCCGGTGGCTGGATGGTTGTAATACATATAATTTACACATTCACTCTGTGTTCGGTCTGAGGCGGATCAAATGAAGCTCTTTGTCCCAGTTTCTCCACTGAGTTTTTGTTCATTATCCTGGGGTGAAACTGAATTGTACCACAAAACGGTGTCCGTGAATAAAATCACTGCTGTTTTGAACATATTGTGTTATGCAGTATCTATCTATCTATCTATCTATCTATCTATCTATCTATCTATCTATCTATCTATCTATCTATCTATACTTTTTTGCAGTTTGAATTCTGAGTTTGCGCACTACAAGTTATATGACTTTTCAAAATAAGAGCCCTGTCAAGTAAATATTCCGCCAACGTTACAAATTCGTTGATTTTTTTCCCTCAAGTTTACTTAATTACAGTAAATAAAATAAACTATTCATGAAAATGTGTGGTCGAATATTACCTTGTACTACACATTTAATAGGTCTGCACACTGCCGAATTATTGTGACAGCCGCCCTGCACGCTTTTCCTGTCCGCGGTCAAAAATAACGGAAACGCTTCCTGATTTGCCCGGTGTCACCTCGATCGTCGTCCGGGTGCGCCTCCGGTGTGCTGCCGCTGCCGCTCGGGCTCGGAGACTTGGGGATGCTGCTGCGGAGATGGAGTTGAACCACAAAAACAGCAAAGTGTCGGGCAGAGTTTGAGACAAAGGGAGGGGGGTTAGCGGTAGTTCTCCCGCTGAACTGACCGCTGGATGGGCTTTCGTTGAACATAAGACCGGTGGACGTTTTTAAAAATCGGCTTGAAAATGAAGCTGCTGAAGCCGAGCTGGGTGAGCCACAACGGTAAGCTTGTGCAGGAATCTGTTGGACCAAGTTGGGCTTTTGTTGTCGGAGGGGGGTGAATTGATAAGGAGGCATGATGGTGGTGGTGGTCGACACTTGTTTGACTTGTTTGTCAGTTAATAGTCGCTCACAAACCGGACTTATTTCAACAAGTGAACACACACACCTGGCGTTTTTTTTTAAATCACTAACACTATCACTCCTCTCTCTTCCAAATGTATTAATGTTTGCTAACCTTAGCTAGCTAGCTAGTTAGCCCCCCCCTCCCGGCTAGCTCGGATGCCCTGACGTTAGCTAACTTACCTGCCAAATGACCCAAGTCGAAGTTGCTTTTTGAAAGCGACTTATCGATTAAGACATTTACGACATTTTAGCGACATTTGAGCAAACTTGTGGTGTTTTGGTGACAGTTAAGAAGCTTGGCATGGAGCTAAAAAAAAAAAGTGTCTGTTGGTGAAATCTCTGAGCTGTCAGTTTGGAAAGTTAACCGTCAGAGAAATGGCCTGAGTTTAGGCTCCAGCTAACCACTATTGTCACAGATTTAAATAACTTGTTTTTAAGAGTAGACATTTAGTCTGTGAAGCATCATGTAAACTCTCAAATGTCCATCACAACATGCCAGAAAACCACAAGGGCAAGTGATAAGTCATTTTAATCTCGACCAACGGTCCATAACTGACATTATTTACAGTGATATGAAACGGAGACAGCAAGCAGATTCTTACAGTTTTAAATAATAATAAACTTTATTTGTGTTGCACCTTTCATACAGAAGATGCAGCTCAAAGTGTTTTACATAAAACAACAACAAAAAACATTGAAACAAATGAACTGGCTGCACACAAACAATAAAACAGACTAATATGAAAAACAAAGCTGCAACCAGCAGATGTAAGGTATTTTGTTGTTGTTGTTGTTCAATGATTCACAACTAATGCTCTTAAAGCAAATCAAGATTATCCTCATTATCAATTAATCGAAAACGGATTATATTCATGATTAGTTTTTTGAAAAAAAGTGAAAAATACCTGTTGTAATGTCCCAGAGCACGAGGTGACGTCTTCAAATGTCTTGTTTTGTACAGCTGACAGTCCATAATCCAAACACACAGTTTACTGTCACCCAGACAGAGAAAAGCATCAGATATTAATATCTGAACTTCTGGAACCAGCACGTTTGGCATTTTGTCTTAAAAGATTTACTGTAATGTTTGTTCATTATCAAACTAGTTGACAGTTGATTTGTCCGTCAATTGACCGATTAATTAATTGACTAATCAGTCAGTTGAAGTTGAAGCTGTGTATATTCGTATTATCAATTAATCCATCAATAATTTTTATAATAATAATTATCATCATATGAATAATTTCAACTATTAAAATGAAATCACGTGTAGAGATGAGTATAAACAAACACCAGCAGCTCTCACACTTTCCTAAACCACTGATCCCACAGCTTCAGCAGCAAATCAACCTGATAACTGGTTAATGAGTTGACTCGGCCTGTGATGTATGCTGCTTGTCGTCTCTGTGTTTTAACAGGAAGGTATTTTTATCTCTGTATTTTTACACCTTGCGTTCTCTTGAATGTTCTCCTCATATGTTCATTTTTAGGGGAAGGTAAATATAGGTTAGGTAAATATAAATAATATAGAAAACAACTGGTGTCGACATGTTTAAATATTGAACAGTTTAGAGGTATTACATAAAGACGGAGTCGGAGAATTAAATATATTATCTGAGTAATTTCAGAGGATTTTCACAAATAGGTCCTTTTACAGTAAAATCCCAGAATGCATGTTGAGCTAATCCACAGAACATGTTCTGACTCTGACTCTGGAAAATCACAGAAAAGTTCAGGAATTTTCCATCAGGTCAACAGTATGAAGCCTGGTTGAAAAAAAACCCTGAGGTCACTATTTTTGCTTCTGTCCTCAACTATTATACGTTATCTTTCTACAATATCAGTCTTGTGCACCTGTTAGTCTGTGTCTGCCCTGTGAATCTATTAAAACAGTGATTTGACTAATATCATTAAATGTTGACTTCTGTGTTTCACAGGCAAACCCATATTTTCAGTTGACATTCACCCTGATGGGACAAAATTTGCAACTGGCGGACAAGGTAAGACCGGGACTGTTGTTCACATCCTCTGTCACTGACGCTGCTTCACTGTTTCGGGATGTTGAGCTGAAGTGGACGTTTGTCATTAAGGATCCACACTTTATGTCCAGTGCTTGACTTTAATGCCTAAATACAGTTTCCTCGTCCGTCTCTCCACATGTGGGATTTTCAAATGAAAATGCCTTTCTCATTCTGTCATGAAACGAAAAGGCAAGGTTGTGTGGGTTGTGTGTGTTTTTTTTTTTTAATGTTGGATTTGTTTTCAGGAGAGGATTCTGGAAAGGTGATGATCTGGAACATGGCGCCGGTCCTCAGAGAGGAGGACGAGAAGAACGAGAATATTCCCAAAATGCTTTGCCAGATGGACAATCACCTAGGTAACCGGCTGTAACTGTGTTAGTTTTCCTGTTGAATGTAGAAATGTTTGGTTCGTTGATATATTTGATTAATTCACCTGCGTGAACAGTCCTCCAGGTATACCACAAGTAAGTAAATACAAATTAAATACACCCTTAGGGAAAAAAAATGTAATTGAGTCTCTGAAAACTGTAGAAGCTTGTGGCCTGTGTGATAAATAATCTCTTGTACAGTCTTTGTAACCACTCACTAAAAGTGCAGATAATTGTAGCTGTATTTATAAACTGCCCGTTCTAGTCCAAGTGCTTCTCAGTCTGAAGTTTACTGTAACTGAGAATTCACACCAGACGTGAGACATGAGCGGATCATACACACTCCTGAGGCGTCCATCTGTTCAGCTCTCACTGACCCCGCCCCCTGTCACGGTGTCACTGTCTTTATAACCTGCCGCCCTGTCAGCAGCACACACACAAACTGGCCACAGGCCGACTGATGAGATAAGACGTTGGTTTATTGAATGCATTATTTTCAGTGGCTGTTCATGCCCATAAACAGACTGGGAAGATGATAGTGAAACAGTTGAGACGATGACAAATAGACAGGGACTTGAGCAGCTTCTTATGGAGATGACATTTCACTGAGAGTCAAAGATAAAGAGTTTAGCAGCGCTGCTACCCACCGCTCCAATCTGATCTCAAACACACCAGGAATGATGTAACAAGGAGTGAGACAACTTTTATAACACATTACGTGTATTTCATTAATCTTAAAGATTTATATATTTTATAAATGGTGAATATTTAAACTCCTGTGTAAATCCTGCTTCACTGCTGTTTTTCTGTGAGCAGCAAACAGGCTCTTCTGCTTTTACAGACGCTGCAATTTATGTCATTTTTATTCACCAATGTTGAGCAGCTGAACAAGGTCAACAACTCCTGCTGCTACACGTACAGCTACTGTTTGTACCTGTGCTATGAATAGTAACAGTAGAGGTGTCCCAGCAGCGTACAGTCAGATTGTGATGAAGCAGCTTCTGATTTGAATCTTTTTCCACATTTTTATCCTCCAATACGTCCTGAGTGTCGAGCTGCGGGAGAGTGCATTTGTACTCGTGACAGTTCTCCCTAGAGACATATTCAAATAACTTTATCTGTTCTGCATTATTTATTAATATATATTATAACCAGAGTTAACACGAGGGTTTGTCTCTGCAGCTTGTGTCAACTGTGTGCGCTGGTCCAACAATGGGCTGTACCTGGCATCAGGAGGAGACGACAAGCTGGTCATGGTGTGGAGGAGAGCGGCGTATGTACACACACACACACACACACACGTGAAAATACAGATGATGCCTTTGCTGTTACAATGATGTCTTGATGATTTAAAAAAGGGATTTTATGTTGTTTGTTTTGACGTCAGTTTCTGGCAGAAGGTGTTTTCAGTTGAGATGAAATGTTTGAGGTTTGTGTGTTTTTGTGTTGAGCGGTCAGAGCTGCTGCTGACTGTGTGTTTCTCTGCAGCTTCATCGGCCCGAGCACCGTGTTCGGGTCGAGCAGTAAGCTGGCTAATGTGGAGCAGTGGAGGTGTGTCACCATCCTGAGGAATCACACTGGAGGTGACAACACACAAACACACAAAATACACATCTACAAAATGCACCAGAGAAAACTCTGATATAAAAAGTCAGAAAAGACACAGTCACGCAGATGTACACAGTGTCTAAACCAGTTTGTTTAAACCAGCAGCACACCTCTAGCCTCGGGCCCTGACTCCAGTGTGTGTGTTCTGTTTGTAGATGTGATGGACGTGGCGTGGTCGCCTCATGACATGTGGCTGGCCTCCTGCAGCGTCGACAATACCATCGTCATCTGGAATGCTCGCAAATTCCCAGGTAGGAGACTCACCTGACACCCAGACCCCCCCCCCCCCCCCCCCCCGGTCTGTTGCTTCAACGGCAAGAAAAAACAAAAACAACAACCAAAAAAAAGGTGGTTGAGTAAATGGAGGTGTCAGTCAGTCCAAACTGGCTCAACTAGAATGAGAACTAACAATGTCTCATTTCTTTACTCAGCTAATGAGCTGAATTTAAAGAAGCTACATTATCAAAAGAAAATAGGATAATAAACATGTGGGAAAATACTTAATCATTGTGCAGAGAGATTGATGAGATTGATAATAATCTCATGTTTGTGTGGTAAATATGTAACTACCTTCAGCAACCAGTTAGCTTAGCTTAGCTTACCATAAAGACTATTATTCTTTATACTCTCACCAGATGGAGCCAGAACATTTTTAAATCCTGCACATAAACAGCTTCAAGTTATTATAAAATGCTGAAAACGTGCACTGCTATTGCAACACGGCTGCGCCTAACAGTTATCGGCAGTTATTTTTCTCTATGAATTGATTATTTATTTGGTCCATGAAATTTCCTACAGCCCAAACTGGCGTCATCCAGTCATGTCATGCACACACTCTTAAACCTAAACATTCAGTTTACTCGCACATACTGTAAGACAAAGAAGCAGAAAATCTTCATATCTGAAGAATAATTTATGATTATGATTAATTCATTTTGTTTATGATTAACCACTTGATTATGCTAATATTATTATTTTTTATCTGAAGTTATCCCTTTACACTCTACATTCTTATGAAACCACTGTCCACTGTGAGCTGTGGATGGAGCAGGATTTCTTTCTTGGCAGCTCGTCACCCGAGTCGCCTCTTGTCTCCTTTATGTCTCCAGAGATGGTGACTTGTCTGCGAGGACACACTGGGCTGGTTAAAGGTCTGACGTGGGATCCAGTAGGGAAATACATCGCCTCCCAGGCCGACGACCACAGCCTCAAAGTGTGGAGGACGGTGGACTGGCAGATGGAGGCCAACATCACCAAACCCTTCAGCGAGGTACAAAGACACTGTAACTGTGTGATGGTGCCGAGGACGTAGTTGGTGCCGTATAAATGAAACTGAATCGAAGTGATGTCATTACATGTGCTCGTTATGTGTTTTCACTTATTTATTCAGGCGCTTCTTGTAAGTTTCTGCCACATCCACAGTTTCACTAAAGAGTGTTTGAATAATGTCTGTGTGTCTCAGTGCGGCGGGACGACCCACGTCCTGCGTCTGTCCTGGTCTCCGGACGGTCAGTATCTGGTGTCGGCTCACGCCATGAACAACTCGGGCCCCACAGCTCAGATCGTGGAGAGAGACGGCTGGAAGACCAACATGGACTTTGTGGGCCACCGTAAAGCCGTCACCGTGGTGGTAAGGGCGTTTTTAGCTGCACGTTTGTTCTTTCAAGATGTTCTCCACCATAAATCTACCTGCGCTCTGACGGATCTGGTTTCTGTCTCTGTAGAAATTCAACCCAAAGATCTTCAAGAAGAAGCAGAAGAACGGCAGCTCTCCTAAACCCAGCTGTCCGTACTGCTGCTGCGCTGTGGGCAGCAAAGACCGATCGCTCTCCGTCTGGGTCAGTTCTCTCCTCACTCTGTCCTGTAGCGCTGCTGCAGGTCCCTCTGTCAGGTTGCAGCTTTCATGGCTTCCTCTTGTTGTTCACGATGTTTGTGTCTGTTAGTTGTGTGAGATGATTCATCTCAGTAAATATAACTACTCTCTGATTTGTCTTTACCTCGTGGAGCCTGGAGAGTGATGAGTTTAATATTTGACCAGACAAAAAAAGGTGCAGGAGATTATGTCATTGTAATTACATAAAAAACATCTGACACCTGCTGATGTTTTTGGCTTTGTTGGTTTCAGTGAAGCCCACCCACCCATTATCAAATGAACAGCAGTTTTAATGTTGACAGTCAGACCAACCTCAGCATGTGACCCAACTAATGGTCTGTTGTTTCCCTCCAGCTGACCTCGCTGAAGCGCCCTCTGGTGGTCATTCATGATCTTTTCGATAAATCAATTATGGACATCTCCTGGTGAGTAAAGACAGCAGCTCAGCCTGTCGCAAACCCTTCACACTGACACCACACAAACATATTTCAAATGGTTTAAACGTCTCTTTCATAATCAGAAAGAAAATGGTTTTTGGCCAAAGGAGCGCAGGTGGTGACTCTGCCACGCTGTATACAGCTCTGTTCATTTATCCTCGGTTTGACACTGATGAACAGGGTCACTGGTGAAGTTGCACTCGTACACACTCATCTGAGTTTGATGTGTGTGTGTCAGGACTCTGACAGGTCTGGGGATGTTGGTGTGCTCGATGGACGGCACTGTGGCCTATCTGGACTTCTCGCTGGACGAGCTGGGAGACCCGCTGAGCGAGGAGGAGAAGGTAAGACGCATCATGTGCTCGCATCAGGCCGTGTGTTCACAGCACAATACATTCTGAGCAGAAGATTAGTAATATATCGCCACTCTTCTTCCCAGCAAGTCTGTTCTGATGAATGACGAACTTTCCTTGTTCAAACCCAGGTCCCCTGAGTCATGTGACTTGCCTTGAAGTTCAAAAAGAACATAACACACAAAAACCCTTCAAACCACAGAGATGTAACTGTAGATTAAAGAACCTGTTTATAATCAGCACCTTATCTTCTCCTTCAAACAGAGCTGAATTCGTGACGTAGCGTCTGTGTTAGCCTCAGTTCCTCTCGCTTCAGTGACTCAGTGCGTCTCTCATTCAGCTTTTCTGTCTGTCTGAACAGATGAGGCGGGTTCTTGTGGATTACTTTCCCTGTTCTGAGACAAATAACCGTCCGCTGCAGTATTTACCTTAAGTAATTAAAACCCTCATGATTTTAAGTTGAGCAACACTTAAAAACTAAAACCTACAGCGGTGCAGATACCTGCTTTCATCCATGTCCATAAAACTCACCAACACTGTTTCAGCTTTCTAGTCGTGACCTCTGTCGTCTAAAACCCTCTGCAGCGTTCAGTCCTGACCTGGACTCCCCTCCACTGGGGCGCTGTGGCGTTTAGCCCGATAACATCCAGGGCTTATGGGAAATGGTGTTCGTTAAAGGCTGCAAAAGCATGAATATTGAACATAAAACTATTCGATTGTTTGTCCTTATCGAGACACTCGAAGCGAGTTTAACAACAAACTGTTGAGAGTCTCTGTTCCAAGGCTGGATTTTTAGTTGTCAGTGAAGTTTAGTAAAGTAAATATGAGTTTTTCCAACTTCTGGAGCAGAAACTGGAAGTTCTGGTTTCACTTCAAGTCTCTATTTATTTCTTCATTAAATCCATTAAGAACCCAAATCAAACTTCTCTCTCCTCTGACGTACAGAACAGCATCCACCAGAACATCTACGGTAAGAGTCTGGCTATAACCAGCACCGAGGCTCAGCTCTCCACCACCATCATCGAGAACCCCGAGATGCTCAAATACCAGCAGGAGCGACAGAACTCGGCCCAGGCCAACTCAGGACCGGGCAACGCCGGGCCCGAGTCCTCCGCCCCCAAACTCAACAGCGTGATGAACGGAGAGTCTCTGGAGGACATCAGGAAGGTGGGAAACTGAAATGTTTCGTCCTACGAGCAACGCAACGTGTTCGCGGCTTTTTAACTTTCGGATCTTGACTTTCTTGGACGTATTATTTCGTCCTGTTGCAGAACCTTCTGAAGAAGCAAGTGGAGACGAGAACGGCGGACGGCAGAAGACGAATCACACCGCTGTGCATCGCTCAGCTGGACACGGGGTAAGAAAACATTTCACTGGTGGACAGAGCTGATACCTTCCTTTACAAGATGACTGAGTAGAAAATCACTGTCCCTCTTCCTCCGCAGGGATTTCTCTCCGGCTCTGTTCAACAGCGTTCCCATCCTGCCCTCGGGCTCCTCCATGTCCAGTCAGCTCACCCCTCAGCTCAGCTCCGACTCCAGCCCGGGACAGGCCTCCTCTCTGGGGCTGAGGCCCAGCCACGACCCCATGCTCACCTCACCTCCAGCCGGCAGCGCCGCCAAAGGCCTGGAAGACAACAAGGACGGGTACGAGACAGACCAGCTGGAGAGGAAGCGTTTACTTTGGTTTTTTATTGCTCTACCCAAATATTTCTCTCCCACCTCTCTGTCGTCCTTCCCTCGTCCTCCTCCTCCTTCATCTTCTCATTCCCTCCTTCTCTTTGTCTCATTTTCTGGTTTCCCTATATTCCAGAGTGAAATCCAGTCTGCTGCTCACTTCTGCCTCCAAGATCGAGCCAATGAAAGCTTTGGACTCCAGGTTCACAGAGAGGTCAAAGGCCACACCGGGTGTCACAGCCGCCATCTCCTCCACCGCGGGACTCACGCCTCTAGACAGGTCTCTGTATGAGTGAAGCAGTTTAGAAAAAATGGTAGAAATGTGAAGCAGAGCAAAGAAAAGAGAGGAAACTGTCCCTGAAACAAACTTTTCTGTCGCTCCAACAGGACAAAAGACGCCATCTCCTCCCTGAAAGACGTGAAATCCAAAGAAGAGACCAGCAGCGATAGCGAGGACAAGATGGCCGCCATCAACAAAAACCTGGCGTTTGGCAAGAGGAAACCGGAGCTGCTGATGGATGGAGGAGAGGTGGTGGAGAAGAGGAAGAAAGGACGACCCAGGAAAGAGAAGATGGCCGCTACCATCGCCCAACCCTTCACTCAGGTAGAGAGACGGAGGGAAAAGATAGAGATCCATTTATTCCTTTATAAAAATATTAATAAACATAAAAGGAATAATGTGTTTAGGTTGTGGAGACATGTATTAACTTTATTTAAAAAACTAAAAAACTGGCTTTAAATGAAATACCAACTAGTATTTCAAAAGTAAAGTAAGTAAAAGCTGCTTTTGTGCAGATGTCCTTGGAGTAGAAATGTGGCGCAGCGGAGGAAGATAAATGTGTGTGTTGTCCTCCCTCTTCCTGTCAGATAACTCCTCCAGCGGAGCGGGAGCCCAGCAGGGTGGCAGCTCCTCCAGCTCCCGTAGCTGTCCTCAAACTACCAACACCAAGTACGCAGAAGTCCTTCAGTCTGCAGGTAACACAGCGCCGCTCTGTGTGAGCTGTTGTGTGTGATTGTGTCCGCTGCCGGAGGATTCAATATTTGTGATCAACAGGAAAAACTGATTTATTTTTAGAAGCACTTTTATCTACAGTTTCCTGCAGGAAGTGGAACTGTTAGTGAAATTATACCTCTGTTACTGTTCTGTTTATCTCTTTATCTATTGAGCTATCTATTAGCTTTCTCCACCTGAACACAGAAAGTTTAAGGTTGGCAGTTTTTTCATTTGCAACCAAACTGAAGTGAAGTTTGTTTAGTTTATATATTTGCACAAATAACAAGTAACAAAAGAGATTTCACACATGATTAAGAGTAAAAATGAGTGTGTTTGAGATTTTTAAAAAGGACATCTTAACCAAAAAAAAATTCTGAAAATTAAAATTTATCAATAAAGAAAAAAAGAATAACTTTCAAATTTCAAATCTTCCACCTAAACTTACTTCATCTCTGACTTTTTCTGCACCTGAAAACAAACACACCTGATGTTGATTGGCTGATAATGATTGTACAGACCTTCACTCACACTGCTGCGTGTGTGTGTGTGTGTGTGTGTGTGCGTGCGTGCGTGTGAGTTGTGCGTGCGTGCGTGTGTGTTGTGTGTGTTGTGTGTGTTGTGCGTGCGTGCGTGTGTGTGTGTGCGCGTGTGTGTTGTGTGTGCGTGCGTGTGTTGTGTGTGTGTGTGTAGGTGAGCATGGAGCCGGCGGTGTTCCTGGAGGTGGAGAACGAGGTGTCGCTGGTGGCGGGTACGAAGCTCAGCCAGCTGCGATGCTCCAGAGACGGACGGGACTGGAACACGCTGCTGCCCAGCTCCGTGGTCACAGCTGCAGGGAGCAGGTGGGGGGCTCCGCCCACACGTCCGCTGTTTTCACACTGACTCACTTTGTGTTTTTACTTGAGCTGATTCACTCGCACTGTTGTGGGAAAATTCATAATTCAACTAGTTCATAACTTTGGATAAAAACATGAATCAAACACTAAATCGATTTTCCTGCTCTTCCTCTCCCTCAGTGACGTCCTCGCCGTCGCCTGCGAGGACAGGATGTTGTCGGTGTTTTCTTCCTGTGGGCGGCGGCTCCTTCCCGCCATCCAGCTGGGTACACCTGTGTCAGCGCTGCACTGCTCCGCCCACTTCGTCATGGCTCTGACTGCTGGAGCGACGCTCTCCGTCTGGTCAGAGCTCATCACTGCTGTTAGAGTCACATGATGATGTTTCCATTAACAGATGTATTGATTAATGATGTTTTGAGGTGGCGTTTAGGCTGTGACAGGTGTTTTTTTTTTCTTCTGTACCAGTTGTTAATAGACGGTTTGAATTTGAGGGTTTTGAGGGCAGAAGAGCAGGAATGATTTGTGATTGATCCGTTGTGTCTGTGTGTCTGTGCAGGGACGTTCAGAAACAGAAGGCTCTGGTGAAGAACGAGTCTCTTCTCACGATTTTATCTGGTGAGAAACCACAGATTGAGATGACACAGCAATCATACATGAAACACTGTGGGGAAAAAACACTTATCTGCTTTCCCTCCAAACTGAGAAGATGAAAATCAATCTCACATGAGATTTTTCTTCCTTTGCCTCAGTTTCACTGTGAGGGGAAATAGTTTATATAGACTGATCAGATGAAAGAAGATCGATCTCATCAACACATTAGAATTAGTTTTTTCAGTGTTTCATAGTTTATTAAACTGATGTTCACATGAGATGATGATCGATTGATGATGAAATACAACATTTATCACAATAAGCTTAGACGCCGTGGATATAATCTCTCTGCAGCAGCACGAGTCAAACATGCCTTTATGTTCTGTCTGTCTGATTCAACTGGGACTCGTGCTGCTGCGCTGAAAGTGAAGCATGTTGTTATGTGACCCGGCCGACCTGCTGCCATCACTGTGGCTGGGTGTTTATTCAGCCCGCCGTGTTAAATTGCCGTCAGATGGACGTAAAGGTGTTTGTCTGAAAGGAGCTCGTGTTGATTAGACAGAACCAGGCCGACCACATCCTGATATATCATCCTGACACTAATATCTGACTCATAGAAACGAAGCAAACGTATTTCCTGAAACTATTCCTTGAGAAATATATTTAACGCTCGATGTACCTGAATGTTCTTCTCAGGATTGTTCCCAGTACGCCGACTTAGATAATGTTTTATATCAGTGAGTCTGGAGAACCCAGTCGTTTCTCTCTGAGCAGCATTGTGTTTGTCCTCAGGTGCTGACACCACAGTATCTCAGTCTCTGCTGACTCAGCAGGGAGTTCCAGTCATCGGACTGTCCAACGGGAAGTCGTACTGCTTCAGCTCCTCGCTGGAGACGTGGTGAGACACCGGACACTTGACTGGTTTATGTGTTTGTCTGTTTGTTCGTTAGAATGGTTTGGTTGGTTTGTGTGAATAAGAGGAGTGATTGTGTTCCTGTCGGGTTTCTGTTTCCGTGAAATGAAAATTAAAAACAGACGAGTGTCAGATTCCTGCATCTGACTTTATACATTTTATTTTGAATTAAAACACTTAATTTATCTGAAACAAAATGAAAACAACGAGAAGATGTCGACCTTTGTGTGTTTATGTTTACTCTATTCTCAAAACGACATGACATGACATGACATGACATGACATGACATAGACCGTGACCCATCATTCACCCAATAAATAAACAAAATACAATGTACCTGTAACAGCTTCTACTAATATATTCAGAGTTAGTAAAAAGGACTTTTGTATGTTTTATATATTTTATTGCATTGGTTCATTGATTCCTTCTACAGTGAATGTGATAAACTGCCTCACATCCATCCAACACACTGTCTGACTGAGTCCCGTCCTCTGTCTGTCTCAGGACTCTGATCGCAGATAAAGGAGACTCTCTGGTCCAGTGTGCTGACTTCAGGAGCTGCCTAACTACCCATGATGCACCTGTGTCCTCAGGGCCGTTGGCTGTAATGCAGGGACGCAACCTCAAGTACGACAGCATTTAATTACTTACTCCGGATAAAGCGTAATGAAGAACACACTCGGCGCTCTTGATCTGATGTGAACAGAGTCTCGCACTTTTCAAACAAATACTGAAGTAACATGGTAATAAAATCTGTGTGTCGTCCCTGCAGTGCTGGTCGGCTGGCGTCCCGCCTCTCCTCCACCCCTCACCACCTGCAGCAGAGCATGACGTTGGCCTTCCTGGAGAATCAGCTGGCGTCCGCTCTGACTCTGCAGTCAGCGCAGGAGTATCGCTACTGGCTGCTCATCTACGCCCGCTTCCTCGTCAACGAAGGTACCGAGCCGTCACCGGCCAACGCCAACGATTTCACACTTTCTACAGACACAAGGACTGAAAACCTAAAAGTGTGTGTGTGTGTGTGTGTGTGTGTGTGTGTGTGTGTGTGTGTGTGTGTGTGGTGTGTGTGTGTGTTGTGTGTTGTGTGTGTGTGTGTGTGTGTGTGTGTGTTGTGTGTGGTGTGTGTGTGTGTGTGTGTGTGTTGTGTGTGGTGTGTGTGTTCCAGGCTCAGAGTTTCGTCTCAGAGAGCTCTGTAAGGAGCTGCTGGGTCCCGTCCACAAATCTGCGGCCACAGCCTGGGAGCCCACCACTCTGGTACGACAACACCACCCTGTAACTGACTCGCTGGAGTCACAGTTCAGTGACCTTTGTGATGTCACTCACATAGGAGCGCCAAAATAATTTTCCATATCTAATTTCCACCTGCGTAAGATGAGCTTCGCTTTAACTGACTGATGGTGTTGCAGCAGCACCATTACACAAATGAGTAAGATAAACGGAGAAAATTCAAAAAATAAATAATCAGAAATATATATATAAAAAGAAAAACAAGGATAGAATCAAAAACTATGACTAAACAAGAAGCAGATAAATTCAAAATTACACTTCAAAGAAAAAATCATACAGTAGAGACAGACAGTGATGTAAAGTGTCTTTAAGAATTATGTTAAACTCTTACATTTCACTGGTGCATCACATTGTGAACACTGTGGTCCTGTGTTGTCGTTGTTGCTCTGTCACCACGGCAACTGCCTCTGCTCACTGTTGGTTCTCTGTGTTCAGGGTCTTCGTAAGCGGGAGCTGCTGCGGGAGGTTTTACCCGTCATCGGTGAAAACCTGCGTTTCCAGAGACTGTTCACCGAATACCAGGATCAGCTGGAGCTGCTGCGCAACAAATAACACACACACACACACACACACTAAGACAGACAGACACACACACACACACTTGGACTCATCATGAAACCGGTTTGGTTCGTCCCAGCTCAGCTCAGCTCAGCTCGGTTGGGGTGAACTCTGACTGCTTTCATCAGCTTGGGAAGCTTGAAACGCTGACAAACACAGAACTTTACTCACAGCCAGTCCACAGCTCTTCAGGCACCGGGACTCTTCAGTGCCGTCGCTCACCGGGGACGAGTGGGTGCTTCGGGTTTTTTTTTTGTTTTGTTTTTTTTACTCAGTTTCACTTTGAACTGCCGTCTTTTGTCTTTTTTTTCCTGCTCAGTGTGTGTTTGTTCTGACCTATGCACCTCTCTCCTGCCCTCCTAATCATGAACTCGTGAAGATGAATTGAAGAGAGACAGTGTTTGGTTCCTGTTTACTGCCAACGTGCAGCATCAGCAGCTGTGTGTCCTGTTGAATCCTCCTCAGAGAGAGAGAGAGAGAGAGAGAGAGCAGAGGTGATATGCTCATAAAAGGAGAATATAAGTCAGAATGGATGTAAAGGAGCAATATGCTTGTACCAAAGTGATGCCTTTAAGTGTAGGAAGAACCACACATCAGAATCTGCAAGGTGAGGAAAAACGAAGGGCGTCTGCACAAAGAGTCAGCTGATGTTTCTCAATCTGCCACTAAGTGACATATCTGCAGGCCGTCTTTATAATGACTGTTCTGATGCCAAAATGTGAAGTCACAGCGGAAGAGATGATTACACTCACACCACCACAGGATGGGTCTCTGGGAAATGGAGTCAGAAGGGATCTCAGATATTTAAGTGCAGCTGATTACAGCCCAAAAAACAGCAGAGAAAACGTAACATTAGAAGATGTATTTGTTATCTAAGACGAAGCACAGCAGCCAAACCTTCATTGACTGTGACGTCTGAATCACTGCCCACGTCTGACTCCACACGAACACAACGTCAGACTGAATAATCAAGTACACGAACACACAACTCAGTCCAGTTATCAGGTGATGAGGGTGCAGAGGTCTGTTGATGTGCAGTAGCGCTAATGAGTCATGTATCTTGATCTGCTGCTGCTTTAGACATCAGTGCAACCATTTGAAGTCCGATTGTTACGCACAGTGAATCCCCTTTGTGGGTCATTACCTGAGCTTCATCAGCGTCTCTGATGTTTTAAAACTTGTTTTATAAACCGGGGATTTAACAGAGCGACTGTGCTTCAAATGTCAAGTTTTCATTGATAAAGGAGTTCAGAACTAATCTGTTTTCAGTCAGGTGTTAACCTTCATCAGGACAGTTCAGATTATATCATGTTTACCTGTTGTAGTCTCCTCCAGCCTGAATGATTGTCTTTATAACGTCACCCTGAGGTTCACCAACATCTGGAGAGTGAATCGTCTGGTTCAGAGGAGCTGAGTGACTGTAAATATCAGCTGCTGTCAGGGGAACAGCCTCCTCAACATTAATTTCTTTGCTCTGATATCTCATACTAAAGATACTAAAGATTTTTAAGGTGCATCATGAACACTGAAGTGTCCGAGGTAATCAGAGACAAACTGACACTATCATCTCTGCTCTAGTTTACTCTTTAAATCCAACAGAAGTGGTTGCAGATGTCTAAACAGATGAGCGCTTTCAGATCGCAGCATCGTCTTATTCATGAAATCATGTGACCAGGCTGTAATCAGAGAGGACCAGTGGAGAAATGTTATTTATGTGTGTTATTTGGTCCCTTTCACTTCTTGTCTCTCTTGTAAATAAGCTGAAATCAGAACTCGGAAACACAACCAGGTCTTGTAAAGGCTAAAACACATCTTTGCTGCACCCCTGTTTGTTTTATATCTTTTGCTGGGCAAAAAACCACTGTTAAAAAATCTGTTTTTCAGGACTTAAAGGGGGAAAAAAAATATGTTTTTGTGTTTGTCTGACATCCATTAACTTGACATTTAACAGGTTTCAAAAGCCCAAAGGTCACGAAACCTTTCATCAATGAACTTCACTTGAAGAGTAACAGTACTTGTGTTCAGCCTTTTAGTTTTACTGCAGCAGCAGTAATGCACTCCTCTGCCAGCTCAGTGTGTGTATATAAATGTGGAGTGTAAACTTAGAGAGCTTGTTACCTGCTGTATTTCACTGCACTGAGGCAGACACACACACACACACACACACACACAGAAACGAGTCCAGAGGAAGAATGAATCCCTTCTTTACTAATCTGTACAGCATTTTTCTTTCTTTCTTTTTTTTTTTTTTTGTTTTTTGTTTTTGCCGTTAGTCATTTTTAAATGTTTGTACAAGGCAATTTTTTTGTTTCCATTTTCTATAAGAAAAAGAAAAAAAATGAGCTGAAGTTTTGCTTTTGAAGAAAGAAAGTTAAAATTAAACAAATGAGGAACAGTTGAATTGCGGTATTTTTGTATTTCTACACTCCGTGTGTGTAAGAACATGTTAATTGTCGTTTATATAATGTTTGTGTGAGAGAAAGCGCATAAAAGAGAAAATACAGAACTACATTTAAAAGATGGTGCAAGATGAAAAGTCAGTCATTTCCTCGTCTGGGGAACATGTAAATTTCATGGAACTCTATCTCATAGTTAATATTTCAGTCTGGACCAGAATGACCGGTGCGCTAATACTGACATTTCTATCTCTGGAGCCATGTCACTGAAATAGCTAAAAGATATAAAGTTTGTCCAGAGGGTTGCGCCAGAGGGAAGGTCATGTTGGCTAAAACAAACCTGTGTGTGTGTGTGTGTGTGTGTGTGTGTGTGTGTGTGTGTGTGTGTGTGTGTGTGTGTGTGTGTGTGTGTGGCATCTCAAAGACTCAAATCGACATTGGACTTGTAAAGGTATTTTTTCACGTAAGCGTGATATTGAACACAAATCGCCATTGTGAATTAAGCCATCAAGAGAAATTGTTACAATTTACGATAGAAAACGACCGTTAATTAACCGTTAAAAGAACACACGTAGAGCGGAGTGACACATGCAGTTAAAAGTCTGTCTCGTCCAATCAAATTACTCGTTAGGAACTAACTGTTTTATAACACGATTTACAGGCCGGGGTTGCGCTGTAGCACCTGATGTTTCGTTTGGTATGTCTTGATAAATTTTACCTCTCGTCTAAAATTACATATTGCACCACATTGTAAATTCAATAATATTTCGATTAATTGTTCAGCTCTAGTTACATTACAAGACCCAAGTAAACTAGTCGGGATGGAGGACGTGACTCAGCTCAACTTCCGCCATTAGGCTGCACCTGCATGCTAGCATACCTACAGCTAGCATGGTGCTAGCATTACGAGTGCAGCACGTCCGTTCGTTCACTCACTTTGAACATTATCACGGCAGCACGTTGGCGTTAATCTTAAAGTTCGTTTGTGCTCGGTCATTATGTTTTAGAAGTGTTTTATTTATGTGTTGGGTAAGTGGGCATTTGACCTGTTAGCAGCACAAGATGGCAGCTATCACCTTACTGTAGTGCAGAGCAACGACATGTTTGAGGCTAGAAGTTTGTCCACCTGAAAACATTCACTACAACAATAATTAAAACATGTAAATTCATTACAAGTGTATTGGTACACGTCTTTGTCGTAGTTATATTTAGAGGATTCCTGTTTAAAAGTTTGTTTTGTAAAAGAGGAAAATCAGTGAAAATACAGAAATCTGATTTTTTTTTTTTTTTTTAAACTTAAATCCACATGTTGGTTCTGGCCTCAAAATCCAGTCACCTCTGTTCTAGTTTAGTTCCAAAAATGAAATTGTCATAGCAGCTGAACATAAAGACAGTAAAATGCAAAGATGAAAAATACACAGAAATTCCACAAGTATACAATGCAAATGAGAAAGTAGATAAATATAAATAAATAAGTATATGTACGTGGAACATTTCTAGCAGTAGCTGCGGTGGAGTTTCCCATGACTGTGTCATCCCAGAGTATCAATGTTGTGTGGCTGAGGGTGAGACTTTCTCACACTGCTCTGTTATAGTAAAGTGCTGATTTACTGATAAACCACCCTGAATTGTTTCCATCATCTGGAGCTGTGCAGGTTGATTTTCTCCGGACAAACACTGTGGATAAACTGACCATTTCTGAGGAAACCTCTCATTTTATCAGACACACTTACACATGTGATGTGTATGGCATGGAGCAATTTCCTGGCAACACCCCGAGACTCAGTCTGTGGAGGAGCATGCTGAGTTCAACTGCTGGTTTCCTCATCCACTGCTCAGATCTTTAAGTCATCAGAGGTGAATAGCACGATCACTGTATCTCACTGAGAGGGAAATGGATATTTTTAGATGTTTAGAATGAGCCTTATTTTGTAAATACACTGTGACTTTTAGCAGCTATGGTGGACATGTGGTCTCCTACATTGAACATTGGTACCTGGACATTGATGAGCCTCCTCAGTGTCTTTTCTTATGGTGAGTTGACCACAAACTTTTCTTCATAATTTAAGACATATATTGCATTTAGCTTAAATGTTAACCCTTGGCAGGCAGGGTTTGAGCTCAAATCTGGACGAAAGTGGTTTTTAGAATTTAAATGAACTTTGAATTATATGATATGTTTTAGTAAAGATCAACATTAGCTTTGAATTAACTGAAGTGATTTCCTAATGGAAAGTTAGAGTTACTTCAGGACTTTTGTTAAACAGGATAAGTGTAATTTCAGTCAATTTGTTGTCTGTAGTTTCATCAGTGGTCATTGTTTTTTTGGCTGTGGATTCTTGCAAACTGTCCTCAAGCAGAGGGTTTGATATTTTTGCTCCTCTGATGACCTTTTATTGATCTGTTCAAACACAAACCTTGTGCATACATTTCACTCTTACTAATGGGGTCAATTCAAGTCCTGGTCTGAACCTTTCTGGCTTGTGTCACCTTAAAGCAAATAAATCTACGAGTGACCTTCTGTCAAAACTTTAAATGGCTTTGTGTCAACAAAGTGATTTTCCCACTTAGACTATTAAATGTGAATTCAATATTAGAGGCTTGACGGGTAAAACACTCCCGTTAATGCTGACACACACAGACAAATAATCCACCTTTAATCACATTGTGTTTTAATGTACGTCTCGTCTGGATCCTATAATCTTAGAATAAAGATTTTTAGCAGTTTAGATTCTCAAAGACCTTCATGGTGATGCGTTTACATGCATGTGGGAAATTTTAGTGCATTTATTTGCAGATACTGATTTGCTGTGAGCTGAGTGACGGCATCTTGTGGACTGCAGAACAGAATCGTCATGTTTTCTGTGTGTTTGTGTGTCAGAGGTGACAGTCAAGAACTCGGATCTGAAGCGGTGTGAAGACGACAACATGGTGTGTGTGACCAACCTCAGAGACTGTGGCCCTCCACCGCCTTCATATATACAGAGTGAATACACACACACACACACACACACAATCTTTTTTTTAAAATGACGTTTAAAGTTTTAATGGTCATAACTTTTACATTATTTATTCTATTTTATTGACGTCTGGGTTTATGGGTGCGGTCTTTCATTAATACTGGATCCTCCTGTTGTTTTGCTGCAGAGACTCTGAACATGTCGTGTTACTGCAACGCGTCATACACATACCTGACTTGTGAGCTGAGTGAGATGAACAGCCTCATTGAGCCTGACATCGCTTTCATCTTCAGGAGGTAAACACTGACCAGAGGGAAACATTCATTTATAAAGTTACACTCTAGTCATACAGTTGATCTTGTATCTCGTAGGTATCTCATTTTTCTTTTTCTTCTTCAGTATGAAAAGAATCTTCTCCTGCAAGGGCATCTTCAACCCTTCAGGCGCCTTCAACATAACAGCCAGGATGAGGAACTACATAATGGGGACTGAGATCAGATCCCAGCCTCACACTGTGAATTTATATGAGTCAGGTTAGTGGCCCAGAGATGTGTCTGTTTGACCTGTGATCACTTCACTTCCCAGTAACAGCAGTAGTTGTCTCCTTGTCTCCTTGTGTCCTTGTCTCCTCAGTCAAACCCTCTGAGCCTGTGTTAACTGTGCTCGGCTCCGATGACGTCTCTGTTGCTGTGTCTTGGAAAAGCAGCAGTGACGGCAGCTGTCGGCTTCGCTACAGAGTCAACGACACTCAGACGTGGTCTCAGGTTAGCATCAAGGACTCATGAATGTTTGTAACTTATCAAGCTACAACCGTTAGCCCACATTAGCATTGCCATGATATGCTCCACAGCAGTGCTGACAGTTAGCCAGCCGCCAATAGCAACATTTGCCAAATAAATACATAGTAAGGGTAACAGCAAGTTAGCTAAGGTTGTCATGCTACTGTAGCCGGTCACTAATGATAACAGACATGATGTAGCTTCAAGTTACTTACACATGGAGTAAAAGAAAAGCCAGTTCTGAGTCAAGCTAGAGAATTGAGCAGCCTTTAGAAAGTCAGACCAGTACTGGCTCCATGGTCGGACTGGGAAAGAAATTCAGCCCTGGACTTATCCTTAGGGACCGGCTACACAAATGACACTGGCAGAGCCGGTCAAGACTCGTACAAGAACACACACATTTATTCATGAAAAGTAGGTCTGAGCTGAGCTTTCTTTTTTTTTTTTTTTTAGAAACTTAGACATAACAGCAGAGTTTTTTCTTTGTTTCAGTGTTGTCCTTGCTTTGGCCTCTGGAGCCATCTTTTTCTCGAGCTAAAGTTTTGTTGGGAGTCCTCAAAACCAAATACAATGATGAAAACGTTTCCTAATTTCCTATAAATGAAAGGAAACAACACAAAGTCCAGTCTTTCTCTCTGTCTTTTGTTTCTAGCCTCCAGATTTTCTCCGTGTGCCTCGAGATAAGGAGCTGGTCCACACGGTCAAAGACCTCCTGCCGTTCACCGTCTACAGAGCAGCTGTGGCCTGCAGGAGGGACGAGTCCGGCATCTGGAGCAACTGGAGCCCTGACGTCACCGTGACGACGCTGGAAAGAGGTAACGGGGATGAAAACTGAGAGGAAGACACAAATACTTTCCCACCATATGTGGCACTATGACAGACTAAACCAATGACATTTATTAGGTGTTTTTAAATGTTGTGAGCTCGGCTTTGATTTTAATTTCATGCTCCTTCTTTGCCAGTGCCCTCCAGGCCTCCAGAGGTGTGTTACAGAGTGGAGAGAAACGACTCTGGTGAATCTCTGCTCCTTCATCTCATGTGGAAGGTACACTGGAAATACTGCCATCTATCACATTGTCTCCTTTTCAGCGTATAAAGAAGAGTCATCTTCTATCAGTCCTGTCCTGTCTCGTCTTTGATGGTTTGTTGTCTACAGAGAATCACATAGTTCCAGATTTAACGTTTGCAGCAGCCGAAATGTCCAAGAAAATAAAATGTTTGTCGGAATATCACCAACAAAGCAGACATTCATCTCTTAAAGCTTTAGCTGTGTTTGCCTCTTCCTGTCTAAGAACTGCCCAAACCAATGTGGTTTAAACTTTCTCAACGTTTACACAAGCGTCTCGTCTCTCCCCAGGGTCTTGACCTCCATGAGGCCAGAGGTCGTATCCTTGGATACCAGGTGAGCTATGAGCCCGTGACAATGCGACATCTGCAGGACAGGTTGATTCGAAACGTCACAGGGGTGATGGACACCCTGGTGGTGGAGGAGGGGAACTACAGCGTCACCGTCACAGCCTTCAACGCGGCCGGCTACGGACCTGCTGCAAATCTCAGCATTGACACACACAGACAGAACAGTGAGTGGTGGTTATCACATGGTACCACTTTCACCATTCATTAAGGCTTTATAAGCTGTAATTAACGGCGTTATTAATGGTTAATAAATCATTTACATAAATCACATATATATATATATATATATATATACTTATACAGTTTTAAGCCATCAATGCAGGAGGAAGAACCCAAAAGCTTTTCTTATGAATGGCTTGTAACTGATCTTTAATGCATTAGTAAATGATTTATTAACCAGCAATAGAGCTGTTAATTACAGCTTCAAACACCCTTTGTAATTGCAGAGTTAGAGGGTTTCTGAGCAGTCCTGCAAAATCTGCATCTGCTGCATGATTAAACTAATAGATAATCGACTGCCCAGTATTTTAACAACACACCCTAACACACACACACGCAGAACTATATGTGGTAAATTGCTAATCATAATGATAAGGCTCCAGCTTTTAAACTGATATTAAAAGATTTAAAACTTGTGCTCTCCATTTATGCAACATCCTGTGCGTGCTTGTGTGTGTGTGTGTCTATGCTTGCATTTGTGTGCCTTCTCTTAGAGAAGGAAGCAGCAGAGCCGTCTCATGATGTTCAGATAAAACGTCTTGCAACATCAAATGTTCTTTTTAGTTTTTTGCCTTGTAAGAACATGAGCAGAAATGCAGCAGCTGAGTGATGCTTGTGTTTTTCTGTGAGTAGTGGTTTAAAACCTGCAGGGTGGAGGTTGTGTGACAGTGTTAGATGTCAGTTAAATCTTCCTCCTGACGAGTGATGGCTAAATCTGAATGATTTAATAGGGATGGATGCATGGAGAAATGCTGCGCTCTCCAAAATAACAGATTTAAAATTGGCAGCTAATGACATTATGTTGTTGCTGATGATGAAGATTCTTTATTATCACTGATAATCCTGTTGTTGGTTTCTGCAGATCTTCTGTCAGTCAGAAACTTGTGGGTTTCCAGTTCTTTCCCAGCTGTCAAAGGCCTTCAGGTCCAATGGGAGAGCCCCACAGCCCCGCCCTCTGTCTTACCTGTCAGTCATTTTGTTGTTCAGTGGCACTCTGAGACACGTCCCTCCACCAGCCGCTGGTCCCCAGGAGACCGCTTCAACACCTCCATAGAAGGTATTGTGCTGGAGTATTGAACTCCACATTTATTTGCTGCATTTAAAAATATCCAGTTAGACCAGAGAAGAAACTTATATAGTGCATTTTATAAGCTAAAGATGCATCAGTTAGTGTGTAGACGTCATAGATTCAGCTGGCAGATGCACTGTTGCAGGTCAGTATGTGTCTCTTTGGGGTTTACAAACAGCTTAAAAAGAAAAGTAAAAATGATAAAATATACAGTATGTTTTCATTCTTCTTCTTCTGTGGTTTATTTGAAGTGTTGATCCATAAGAAGATATATTTGTGGTTTTAAGAACCAAAAACCATCTCAGTGTAGTTTTACATCTCCTCTCTCAGGCTTCTCTCTGGAGCTCTAGTAACAACAGGTTGGTGAGCCAATCAGAAGAGAGGAGGCTCTGAGCCTCTCTTCTGATTGGCTGACTGTTTTCTGAGTGATCCAATAAAAATATAGCAGATTTCAGGTAAAAACACTCAGAGAAACCAAATCCTGCAAGGTTTGGATGGTGGGTCCAGGTGGGCGGGGCTTGGTGACTGCTTTGTTGTGACATCACAAAGTTCCAGAAGTCCTGACGGCTGGTTTTAAGGCTCAGTTTCTGAATACAGGCTGTGTGCATTTCTCTGTGGACTGAGGCTTTGATACTTTCACAGTATTAATATAGAAGCTAGACCTGATCTATAATCAAACAACACATGGACACAGACCTTTAGACTGGAGGAGCTTTAAGTTAAAAGGTCAGGAACTTACCAAACTTTAGATCAAGAATTAGATTAGATTTTGCTGATTTTCAATATTAACACATCAGTGAGTCACACTGTGTCACTGACTGACATGTTCCCGCATCTTTGTGAACACGCACACTGTGGTTTATTTTGACTTAGTCACACAGACCCTGCCCTCACTAAAGCAACACATGTAGATTAATCCTGTTGAAAGTAGTCCCCAAGAAATGCACTATTTCCTCTTTTTTTTATTGGCTAAAAACGACAGTGAGCAACTGTTTTTGGTAATTTAACATGAAGCTTTGAATGTAGCTTTGAGTCATGTACTGTTGCACACCTCAAAATGTTTCCCCTGTTATCTTACACCATCTAGAAAGTGGTGAAAGCCATGTGGTTATCATCAGCTCCTGTTTTTCTGTTTAGTTTCTGTTGGAAGCTGCTGCAGCTGCAAGTGCCAACAAAAAAAAAAAAAAAACTTTCTGCAGCTGCTTCACAGTAAAAGCCTCCCATAGGAGAAATGTGATTATTAGCAGCTAGGCTTTTACTCTGAAACAGCTGCAAGACAAAGAGGCTAATTCAAAATGTATCAGTGAAACAGTGGAAGCCTGTTTCCCTCTTCAGTATTTACAGCATGTGCTAACTGTGTGGTGTGTTTACAGATGTCGACCCTGATGACTCTTACATGATCAGTGTGTTCCCCATCTACAAGCAGCAGTGTGGATCCCCTCGGTCTCTGCCTGCCAGTCTGCAGCACGGAGGTAAATACGCTCACAGATAAGGTGACCCTACACAAACATGTATGTCCTTATATCAAGAGTGATGTTGCTATATATTCACCTATAGGGGATATAGTATTATTTTCGTTTTCTTCTAATCTGGATGTTCTCTTAACGTATGAACAAACTGTATGAACTGATCTCCGCAAATAATATACACTTAATGATTAAGCAAGATAAACATACTTTGTACCCTGGATGAAAGTTGAACTGTCTGCTTAAACATGTGTACATAATAGTGACTGTATAAAAGAGCCAAGTTTGAGATTGGAGGGTGTCCAGACTCTTGATACCGTTGTGGTTGAAAGACGCTGCACCCTATTTGGCCAAATAGTAATGTGTTGATCCTTGTCTCTGCTTATGATCATTGTGTTGATTGTTGGGTTGTTCATTTTAATTTGACATATTGTTCAGTAATAAATCTTTGAATCTTGACAGACTCATTGTTGTCTGCTTTCCTCACCTTAGAGCAAAATTGCCTCTACATATATATATTGAAAATATCTGTGAAGAATTTTTACATAGAAGGCATGTTTTTTATGTAAAAGTGATGTGTTAACATTATATTTTTAATTCATTAAGACAAGTTTATTAAAAGAACATACATGTTAAAAAATCTATATGTTTATATATGTTTTTCATGTATAATTTCACAGTCTGGGAAAGTGGTCTCAAACTTTTTGGACGGCACTGTTTATAATATCAACCCATTGTTGGGATGGATATATGTTTATGGAACATCTGTTTACAATATAAGCATATATACATAAATGTATATACTTGTATAGGCTAGATTTATATATGTCAATATACAAATAAAACCAAAACTATCTGCTGTGAAGTGAAAAAATATAGTATCTTTGTAACAAGGGTGAACTGCTCCTTTAATTAACTCACATCCATTATGGTTACCACTGAAATATCTGAGTACTGCAGCGTTTTAATGAACAGAACTCTTTTTAATTTAATCGTGAATAAAATGATGTGAACATGAACATCATCTACAGAGATGTCTGACTGGATATTATTATATTCTCTGGTGTTTTCTCAGCTCTGATGGCGGCCGTCGACCTGGACGTCGTTAAGGTGACCAAAACACTGGTGACAGTTGAGTGGTCGTGGCAGAGGAAGTCTGGAGTCAGAGTGAACAGATACAGTGTGATACTGAGGAAAAAGTCAGACAGACAAAGTAGGTGAACGGAGTTTTCTTCTGAAATGTGTTTCATTTGGTTTAATTGGTTTAATTGAACCAAAAGTTGTAGTTTTTTAAGAATATTTTGTGTTTTTAATCCCACTTCAATTTCATGTTAAAACATATTAAAAGTAACAATCTACTGTATCTGTAGATACAGAGACTGTTGGAGCTGTGACTCTGTGGCCGGACCAAAGGCAGCACACCTTTCCCAACCTGAAACCTCACACTGAGTATTCTCTTTTCCTATTGGCTGACAATTTTTCCAGCTACGACTTCTCCATCACAACAGATTTTGGTGAGTTTCTCTAACTGCTCTGGAGTATCATCTCATAATATCTAAATATAAAACCAACAGATACGTCTAGTGAATGAGATGGAATATCACCTAAGAAAATATAATCAAAAATATCCTTATCTCTACTTATAACTGTTTACAGTGTGTTATAAACCCTTCATGAAATATTTATATCCTGCTTATAAATGCTAAATAGGTGGCGTAAAGTAAAGAGTTGCCAGATTATCTCGTAAACAAATATTAAAATAAAAAAAGTATTTCCTTTTTGTTTTTACAACAGGACTTTTAACCTTTATAATTTTAATTTTATTATGATTGTGGATGTTGGTCTGGAAAATGATTTCTGACCCGAGGTGATCTCTATACCTTCAGTCACTGGTCAACGCAAAATAAAAAACTGGCATGAATAATTAACATGGGTGCAGAAATGAATCAGATGTAAGTGTAACATCACCTGTAGGTGTGATGTGTTGTCTCCACGGTTTCCTCCTCAGATGAGGTTCCAGTGGTGGCGACAGCCACTCCTCTGCTGCTGCTGCTGGCTGTCACTGTGTTAGTCATCAGCATCCTGTCCAGGACTGTGTGAGTCAACACACACTCTCACACACTCACACACTCACACACTCACACACTCACACACACACACACACTCTCACACTCTCACACACACACACACACTCTCACACACACACACACACTCTCACACACACACTCTCACACACACACACACTCTCACACACACACTCTCACACACACACACACACACTCTCACACACTCTCACACACACACACACACTCTCACACACACACACACACACTCTCACACACTCTCACACACACACACACACACACACACACACTCACACACTCACACACACACACACACTCTCACACACTCACACACACACACACACTCTCACACACACACACACACTCTCACACAACACACCCACACTCTACACACACAACTCTCACACACACACACACACTCTCTCACACACACACACCACACACACACTCACACACACACACACAACACACTCTCACCACACACCACACACACACACACCCACACACACCACATCTCTTCCCAAACAACACACTCACACACACCACACCACACACACACACACCACCTCTCTCACTCACACAACACACACACACTCACACACACACTCTCTCACACACACACACACACACACACACACACACACACACACACACACTCAGGAATTCACCTGCTGGTTATTTACCATGTTTTGCTACATCAGCACGTTTCGTTCCAGCGATCATCAGATCAGAAATATCCCCTGAAAAACTTTTTTCTCTGACTTTTTGTCACATTAAAATTCATCTGTACTGTGCAGGTACAAGTCGTACTTCTTCCCCTTCATCTCCAGCCCTCAGGACAGCACGACCGGCCAGTGGCTGATGGACCCCAACCACCAGGTGATCTGATTTTCACAGCTTTCACATTTGAGTTCTTACTGTAATTTACCTGCATGTCAGGGGTCCCTCTGCTCAATGCTGAGTCTCACACTCGGCCTTCGAGACATGTTTTTCCCCCAGAGCAGAGTCTCTTCTGTCAGGAACCTTCTACAACTGAGTCTCAGTATTTCACATCAAGACAGATGAAACTCTAAAATAAAGAAAATTACACTTTGTTTCAAGAAAATTCTTGAACAAATCAGTTTATATATAAAAAAAAAAGACTATAACAGTGTACTGTTTTGGGTCATTTCTGGAGTGAATTATAATAATGACTTAATATTATTTTTCAACCTTGCATGATATGGATTATTTTAGTGGTTATGTTCCCAACAGATTTAATTCATCCCACTAATGAGGCGTTATTAATATACGTCTTTATATTGCTTTACATTTAGACAACATGTAGAAAACAGAATAAAAAAAACTTCTTGTGTTTGTAAGTTTCCTCCTGGACTTTAAAATTCCAACTCAAAGTCACTTAATAGCTTTTTTCCAGAGCTGTTAACTGTATCACATGGACTTCATCAGTGTGAGACGCAGCTGAAAGCTCTTGAAAATGCTAAAAAATGGTCCTTGAGTTTGGATTGTCTCAGCATTGTTCTGTTTGTTTCATCTCCCCATCGAAGGTGTTTGATGTTGATGATGTCTGTGCCATGTTTATTTGTGCATCGGTGAATTAAATAGAACATTTTGTGTGACAGATTTGGTGTCTTTGTTGGGTCCTGTGTCGCACTGAGTCATGCACCATGTGTTTAATGACACCAGTACATCAGTCAGTTGCACTTTCACCACCACCATCAGTAAAACTTTTTTATCCATAAATAGGTTTTAAAATCCCATCATTTATTCTCTTGAACAGAAATATGCAGAGGGAAACATCCTGGATATCAAAGACTTCCAGGTGACGGACGTACTCGGAGAGAAAGGCATCATCGTGGTCAGACCAAACTCCGACCTGCATGAAGACACCTCTCTGCTGCCACTCAGTCACCTCATCGTCAAACTGTCCACCCTCGACCTGGACACGGAGTACGTCTCTGAGGCTGCGCTAACCACGGAGCACCAGCTCCAGTCCTTCCATCCTGACTACGCTGTGAACTGCCATCATCCTGAGGGAGGGGTCGTATCTGAGGAGAGGCAACAGCCCGACGCTGCTCTGCTGCATCAGGTGCATGAAACAGACGGTTGGTTTCCTCGTAAAGAGGAAGGGACCAGGCAGCATGACCTTTCTCAGAAGTTACATCAGAACACCGTGAAACATTCTTTTAGTGAATTCAGGGCCAACGCAGACAGTGGCGGTGTTAATCAGATGACCTGTGATGCAGATTATCTGATGAACTCTTCATTTCTGGGGAAAACTGGTGTTGAAAAAGTGACTGGACAGACAGACTCCTCTTATCTGATGTGTGAGACTGACTACATAGCAAGCAGCTGCTTTGCTGCAAAAATTCCAGATGTAGACAGAGCCAGTGTTGCATGCTAGGTCATCGACATCATTAGAAAAATAGGATCAAGAGGCTGTAGCTACGCTAGCGACCTCTTGTGGCTGTTAACATTCATTAACAGCCTCTAAAAGTGTCTTTGTATTTATCTGGACTCACTGTCAGTCTGATCAGACTCAGTTTTGCTTAGCGTAGGACGATAGAATAGGATGCTAACAAGCCTACAGTTAGCATGTTGTTGGTGTGTTAATGCTAAGATAATGTTGGATGCTAGCTTGTTAGCTTGACTATCATGGCATCTTGCATAAAGTGGACTAGAGTGAATCATCTATAATGTATACAGATTGCATGTCAACATGCTAATGTTAAGTATGTATTTTTTATCGTGTTAGCATGTTAACATGCATAGGCTTTATTTACTTCATCAACATGTTTGTCATAATGTTGCTATAAACAAGGAGAATTACAAATATTAGGCAACTTAAAAGGTCCAATTTTTTCTTCTTCTTCTGTGTTTTATTTTGAAGTGTTGATCCAGAAGAAGATATATTTGTGGTTTTAAGAACCAAAAACCATCTCAGTGTAGTTTTACCTCTCCTCTCTCAGGCTTCTCTCTGGAGCTCTAGTAACAACAGGACGGTGAGCCAATCAGAGGAGAGGAGGCTTTGAGGTCACTGTGACGTCACAAAACATGTTTTTGGCCATATCGCAACAATCCATATGCTAATTAACAAGATAAAACACACGTAATCCCTCTTATGAAATTCCTTCAAAGTCAAACTACCTGACACACAGATGAGGCAGTAATTCTAGTTTTGGTCTTACAGTCAATCAGTCGTCTTGAATACTGTTTAAACTCTTATTTACTAGACGTGTAGTATAACTATTCCCTATTATAGCAGTAGTAGGGAGCTGCTTTATGAGAACTTCAAGAAAAACAACAGAGCTGACTTACGGCCAAGTGTTTATTTTTTTTACATGTTAGTTTTGACACGATTGGAATGAGGCTTGGACAATAAACTGCTGCTCATGTTACATGATATCTGTCTGTGGCGTGTTCCTGGAACAAACAGGCTGCTGCTGTTTGTGGACGACAGCTCTCTGTATTTGTCTGGTATCATGACAAACATCGTGTTCACCGGTTTTTATTTGATCCATCATCACACGGCAAGTTCCCGAGTTCAAACCCGAGAGCTCAAGTGACTGCTGCTTTGTGTTTGAGTGTTTGAGAACTTTCTCATTTCATTCGCCTTCGTCTTTGCCTTGAACTGCACAGACTGTCTCTTTCACATACAGGCGGTGCGTTCAAATGAGTCATTTAACAGTAAGAACCATTAGACCGTCCGGAGGTCAAGGGTCACGGGTCACAGGCCGGAGGTTAGAGGTTAGAGTTCATGCCGATCCAGTGTCTGATCAGCTGGTGGGCGATGGTCTGTCTGGGAGGGATGGTGAAGGCGGGACGGGCTCCTCTGAACAAGGAGTCGATCACCTAAACGTTTTCATACAGATGTGTTCACATGAAAACAACTGGTCAGAAAACAGAAGCAAGTTTTTCATAGTAAACATCTGATGTGAAACCTGTTCTCCATCATCACTGACACTTTAATACTCTGCTCTCATCAAAGCATTTATATGTGATCATACAACTGGACAAGCAAAGAAAATAATTTGTGATTTTAATGGGTTAATTTTTTCTTCATTATAAATGATCATTTTTATTTTGCATTTAAAATAATACACTATTTATTAAACCAATATGTTTTACTCATGTTAATATTATTGTAGCATTTTACATCAAATTATCATTATTACTGTTTGTAAAGCAACTCATTGATTTCAACTCAACCATCTCCATGACAACCTGAGTCAACACCATGCACTGATGAAGACCATGAGATACAGCTGAAAGCTCCGGTCAGTTATGAAGCTTCAAGCTCTAATTATTATTTTCATGGTTGTCATCAGTGTCAGTGATACTGAAACTATCATCAGTGGTAGTTGCGCTAATAGTAGAATTTGTTATGGTTGTACCTGTTGCCGTGGGAACCATCGAGCCTCCTCGATCTCATTCTCGTCCACTCTGATGTCGGTCGATATGGCGACGGCGAGGCAGCCAATCATGAGGTTGGACGGCATCGGCCAGGGCTGGCAGGAGACGTACTGGACCGGTCCGACCTTCACGCCGCTCTCCTCCTCCACCTCCCGCCTCACCGCCTCCTCCACCGTCTCCCCTGCAGGAACACGAAGGCAGAGGAGGTCACGTGAGTGTGTGACGTTCACTACACAAAGTTTAAGCATTTAAGCGTGTGTGTGTGTGTGTGTGTGTGTGTGTGTGTGTGTGTGTGTGTGTGTGTGTTACCAGGCTCTATGAATCCAGCCAGACAGGAGAACATGCCAGCTGGGAAGATCTTCTTCCTTCCCAGTAAACACTGGTTTCCATCAGGGTGGATCACCAGCATGATGACGACAGGATCTGAAAACACACAGAGGCCAGAGAAGCTGTATTTACACACAAAAAATGTTGAATTAAAAGTTTACCTTTAAGATCAATTAGAGCTCCATATTTTCTTCTTCTTTGTTTTATTTGAAGAAGGTTTGAATAAGAAGATATATTTGTGGTTTTAAGCACCAAAAACCATGCACCATATTTTCTGAGTGGTCCAAGAATCCTGCAAGGTTTGGATGGTGGGTCTGGGTGGGCGGGGCTTGGTGACTGCTTTGTTGTGACATCACAAAGTTCCAGAAGTCCTGACAGCTGGTTTTAAGGCTCAGTTTCTGAATACAGGCTGTGTGCATTTCTCTGTGGACTGAGGCTTTGATACTTTCACAGTATTAATATAGAAGCTAGAGCTGATCTATAATCACACTACACATGGATATCTATTTTTATATGATATAATTAAGGACCTTTAAGTTGATTTACATTTATGTGTTACGGCTCTGCTGATTGATGACTAATTGATTAACTATCTGTCAAATAATCGGTTGATTGGCTAATTGTTTTAGCACTATTTAGGTAGGAACTGAACTAAAACCTACAAACGACCTACAAACCGCCTGGTTTTTAAACACAGCTAACAACCTGCAGGTATCTCCACTCAGCATTAACAGCCTTTATCAGGAGCAGACGGGGAACAGAAGGTGGGTGGTGCTTCGTACCGACTCGTGGGTAGCAGGTGTTGTGAACCCCCTGCAGGCTCCTGCAGTCGGCGTTCAGGCAGCTCCTCTTGTAGCCTCCCTCCTCCAGCTTGGTGCTGCTGCCACATGTTGGACAGAAGCTGTAGCGGCTGTGCCAGGCCAACACCGACCGAGCCTGGGCCACCACTCCTGCAGGGGCAAGAGAGGGGGACCAAGTCAGTTATAAAATATGGAAGTTATATCAAATCAGTTGTTCTGGTTGAGATAGAAGAGAGAGAGAGATGTTAAAAAGTAGCTCTGCGTCTGGGAAATGTTTGTATAAATGACGACAAATGAACAATAACAACAAAGAGAATCCTGAATCTTCCTCACCGGCCTCGTCCTCGTTGAGTTTCAGCAGGTCTCTGTTGGGCGTCTTTGGGAAGGAGCAGTTCTGCTCTCTGCAGCGTTTAAGAAGCTCAGCTGCATCTTCATCTGTGCTGATGGCAAACCAAGCTGGAGGCTCCTGAACACCCTCCTCCGTCGGAGGGGAGGAGCTGGTGGTGGAGGAGGGGTTTTTCCTCCTCTCCACTCCGAGGAAGATGAGCACAGTGGCGGGTTTCTGGAGAAGGTCTTTCACTGCGTCGTATCTGAAGCGACACAGCTTGGTCTCGCCCTGTTTGGGTCACAATCACAGTAAACAAAAACAAAAAAGTCAGACTGAGCAACCACGTCGCTTCCGACGAGCTGCTGGCTGCAGGCTAACAACATCTCCACACTTCCTGTTCTGTTCGGTGGTGACTTTCAATATTCCAGAAATCCTGCAAGTGACAATGAAATGGATGTCTTCTCTTTGTGCGTGCTCAGAAATTACAAATCTCTTTTGACTCTTTTGTTAATAAATTCCTCATCAATCACAAATACGAGCCTGCTCCTTTTTGCTGATGATACAGTACTTTGGGGGTGTAAGGCAACGTCTCTAAGACAACTGATTTAGGCATGCCAGCATTTGATTCGTGTCTTACTATACTATGACTTTTTATGCCACGTACCCCTGTGCTGCCGTCTTCCTGGGAGCTGCTGACCATGGGGCTGAGGTTGGAGAACAGGAGGTAGACTGTGTCAGGGTCGCTCTGTTTGGCCTCCAACCACACCTTGTCTGTCCTCTTACCGCTCAGTCGATCCAGCGTCTCTCTGCTGAAGTAGTTTCCCTGCTGGCTGAGGTCAGAGCCCGGCAGGATTCGCTGGCAGCCGTCGTCAGTCCGGCCCAGCAGGTTGGAGATGTGCCTGTGGCCCCAGAACTTGGCGATATCGAAGGCGGTCTGTGACGAACTGTTCACTGAGAACTTGTCACAACTTGAAGAAGGAAGAAGGAAGACGGAAAAGAGGTTAGATGTTTCAGGAGTCCAACTATCCGAGGGTGTGTGTTAGGTTTTCTTTCAAAAATGGGGGAAGACAATGAAGTCTGGTTAATCTTCACCATTTTCCCTTTGTATGTGGTTTTAGATTTTCATTATTTAAACTGCCTCCAATATTTTTTATATTCAAACTGAACAAATCACCTTATGTAATATATAAAGGGTCACCTGTAGAAAATTATCACCCACTCTGCAGCTCCACAGAACTTTTTAACTCCTAGTCTTAGCCTCTTTTAGCACATAGCTTTAGGCTTTCAGTTCCTGGTTTCGCCTGTAGTTTTAGCCTCATTTCATTTTCTGGTATAGCCTCTTCAGCCTGCATTTCTTGCCTATTTCTTTTGCCTATTTAGCCTCTTTTTATTTTACATTCACTTCCATTATTTACATTTACAGCGCTGCATGTCTGTCTGCTTGTGTTGGAGTTCTTCTGCCCCTAGTGGCTGAAACTGATTAATGCAGCTTTAAAGTATTACTCTAACCAAGTCCATCTTATAACTCACATACTGATGTCTTGAAAGATTGATTTAAAAAAAAAAAATGTTCATTAAAAATTAAGCAGAAATGTAGCTCTGTGTTTACCAAAAAAAAATGCATGTACCCATGTGATACCAGTGTCTTCACCACATCATAGTGTCCATTGCGAGCTGCGAGCATCAGCGCCGTCCAGCCGCTGTACCCCGCCTGGTTGATGAGCGAGGGGACCTGGGACAGCAGCGTGGACACCTGGGGCAGATCTCCTCTGGCTGCAGCGTCCAGAAACCTCTCCACCATCTCCTCCTTCGCACTCAGCTGGAGGCTCGTCATTGTGACCGCCTGCACGAGAATGAACCTCGTGGTAACACACAATCAAACAAAGACAGGTGTGGGAGCAACTTCAATTTATGACCTCACTATTTTTTTTTTTAAATCACGGTTATGGCCATGAATGTGGCAATTTTTGATTTCAGAAATCAAAGGTGTGCTCGTGTTTGTACCTGTGCTCAACAGTTTATACAAGTACAGCTGACTGATAGCAATTGACTGATACTACAGAAAATTAATTGGCCGCTATTTTGATAATTGTTTAAAGCCATTATTCATTAAAAAAAAAGCTTAACATTTCATGCCTCCTGCTTCTAAAATGTGAGGATTTGCTGCATGTTTCTTGTAATTATCTTAACAATTAAAACTACAAAACTATTGGTTGACAAAACAAGACACTTGAATGTGTCACTCTGGGTAACGCTGATGTGCATTTCTCACTATTTTCAACATCAAACAAAAAATCATCAGCAGAGTCTTTAGTTTCAGCCTTATATCAAACAGTTAACAACCAAGTGCAACAGTAAAATGCTGTTTGGACATGAATGCATTAGTAATAATAATCTACATATAATAATATTATAACACTCACATGGGACGTTTTTCTGCATTGAGAACTTTTACTTTTGATACTTAAAGCACATTTACTTACACACTTTTATTTACAACAAATACATATATATACTATATTATAACATTTTCAATTCATGCCTTTAACGTGTACTGGAGTATTTTTACAGTGTGGTATTAGTACTTCTATTTAATTAAAGTATCTGAGGAACACTGTAATTAACTCGGTGCCTTTATATTGCTTCTCCCCGGGGAAGGGTCCCTCCCTCTGATTGGTGCAAACAACTGTCAATCACTCTTGGGCTCTGCCTATCAAATCACACACTGCTACAAAACGCAACTTGCATAAAACACCTTGGGAAACACGTGTGTTTCGCTTTAACCTTCCCGTAATGATGAAGTATGAGTCCAGCAGCTTTCCGTACAGAGTAACATGGCGATGTGTTATCAGTTACCGTGTCGGTAACCAGGCCGAACAGACAGCCGAAACAGCCGGTCAGTGGTCACTGTAGCTGCAGGTAGTTACCGTTGGAGCAGTCACACCTGGAGACAAAACTGTCACCTGTGTCTCTGCCGACAGTAAACTGCACAGGACTGACTAGTTAACGGGTCTCACGGTTTCTGACTGTCCCAGAAGTGACGACACGACCCGGGAGAAACTTTAGCGTCTGTCCGAGACTTAAATACGATGAAAGCAGAAGATTTAAGCAGTAGCTTCAGGTGAAATATTATTAAAGTCTCACCTGACTTCCGCTCCGTGCTGACTCCGGGTCGCAGTTGGTCTGTTATGTTGAATAAAGCGTGACGAGCTGCGTTCAAGAGCAACGACGACGCTCACCAGAACTGTGCTGCCTTCAAGTGCTCCTCACGCGAACGGGTTCCCGAAACTTTCAAAAATAATATATTTTTTTGTCTTTCCTCATTTAAGTTATCGTTGCACAATGTTTTAAAAAAAACAAAACAAAACAAACAAAAGAAGAAGAATCAAAAAAAGCGAAGAAAACGTTCCCAGTATTTCACACCAAAACAGCTTGAAATTAAAAATTCAGTTATTAATACATCTATTCTGTAACTCTTTAACATTTCTGCTTAACTTTTGAAACGATTTATAGGAATATTTAGGTGATTTACAGCAACATAACAAATCCAAATTAGATATATAATTATTAATATAATTATATTGTTAGACAGATCCCACAAGTCTTTTTTTTTAATTCCTCACAAATGTTATTAATTTAATAACTTTATATATGAATTTGTTTATTTTTTAGCACATATTTCTATAATCTTTTGTCTTGCTTTTGCACTAGTTGTTTTGTATTTATTGTATAAACTGTGAAGGGTATTCGAACATGTAATTCCACTGCTGTTGCACATTACTTTTGTTGATAAAAATAGTTTAAAAAACTACAACAACAAAAAAAAACCCTGTTGAGACTCCAAATGCAACACTTCCTCTTCTGTCTGCTGTTGTTGAACGCAGCTTGCAGCATTTCTACTTTCACTGTTTCTTCCATTCTGTGTTCATAAAGAGCAGAATAACAGTTTATCTGGAAACACCAGTGTGGTTCCACGTGATTATAGTGATTAAACAACTGGAGACACAGAGATTAACACAAATAAAATACTGATGATTCTGTAAATCACCTGTTAAAAAAACGTATTTTGAAGAAACTAAATGATAAAACATAGAAAGTGATGATCCATAAACAATTTAAAAAAGCTGCTGAGACACAAGCTCGACAGAAACGTGTGGTTTAGTTAATATTTTAATAAAATATGTACAAAATAATGTTATCAGTGCTTCGCTTCTTGAAACCCAGTGAAAACAAATAACTCCTTCATCACCACGTCACCTGAAAAACAACACACACTCTGGAATCATGATTTTTACCATGATAAATAAACTCGGACATAATAAGTTAATATTTACTGTAGTAAAACACACAGAACATACAGCCTGTTACTGCTGAGGAGAAAAGAAACAGACGTCTAAATGTTGATTGATTAATCTGTGAATGAGGAGCGACACATTTACTCCAATTAATCTGAATGGAAACAGAATTAGACTTCAACACTTTTTCTTTTCACAGCAGGAGAGTTTCACATCTGTCAATCTGTGACACTAAACTTTAAGCATGACACTAATATCCGTGTGTGTGTGTGTGTGTGTGTGTGTGTGTGTGTGTGTGTGTGTGTGTGTGTGTGTGTGTGTGTGTGTGTTAGGAGTAAAAGGTGAGGACACTCTGGTGGTTTCCTCGGACCAGCAGCAGAGGTGGGAGGTCTTTGGACAGAGTTTCCATCCAGCACATGTAGAGAGCGCTCGACACGGTGCCCTTCCTGGCCAGAGGCATGCTCCTGCGCACAGAGAGGAGGAGCTGATGAGTATCAGTCTATAGATTTAGTATCAGCGACGGCTGCATGTGCAGGTAGAGAAGAAAAAACAAATCGGGACGAGGAGGAAAACGACGGTACAGTTCATTCATATTGCTGCTCAGGAGTCGACGAAACATCAAGAGAAACTGACTTTTATAGCTGATGAAATATATAAATATTATTTCTATTATTATAATTTACAGTAAGTGTCCAACTGTGTTTGTGTTTGAGCTGTGAGTTTCCATCATTATCACTTTGATTACATTAAGAAGAGTCGAGATAAACTGTTTCTTACATGACGATGAGTTTGGCGTTGCTGGAGTGTTCCTTCAGCAGCTCGTTCAGCCTGATCTGACGGTTGGTCTGAAAGTCACACACACACACACAGCACGTTGACACACACACACACACACACACACACACATGTCTGCTTGTCGAACATGACTCTGACCACACACCTGAGTTAAGGCGGGCTGCAGGTTCTGACCTTGGCCTTGTAGAGCTCCAGCTCGTTGTCGGTGATCCTCCACGGCTCCTGGGCCTTCAGCCTCTCCGCCGCCTCCTGCTCCATGTCGTCTTCCTTCAGCCTGTACGGCTCGATCAGCTCCTTAAAACTCAGCTTACTGCAAAACAGGTCGTACACTAGTTTATTACTATTGTTGTTGTTATTATTATTATTTTCACCCATGTCTCTTTATTCGTCAGCAGGATTACGCAGAAGGTCCTGAACCCATCTGCACTGAACGTGGTGGACAGATGGGGAAGAACTTTACATTTTGGGGCAGATCCGAATCATTTCTTGTGAATTTGATATATTTTTTCGTCAGTCAGCTGTATGTTGTTTGACACTGGGAGCGAGTCGTGCTCGTACTTGTGTTTCTTGGGTTTGGTGTTGATGTCTCCGAGGACGTTGATGTCAGAGAAGTCGATCCTGAACCTGCTGAGCAGCGTGGCCATCCTGACGGGACAGAGGGACGACAACAGCATCAAAGACATGTAGAGACGTACAACTTCAGCCCCCCCTCCGTTTGCTTCAGTCAGTGTACAGAGAAAAACTGCAGCTTGTATATTGGTGTCGAGCAGAAGCTGTGGGAAACAGCTGTCGCCTCACACTCGGCGGTCGTGGTCGATGCGGTTGATCTTTCCGCCGATGAAGACGCGGATCCTGCAGTCGCCCCATTTACTCCTGTTGGTCAGCAGGTAGGGGATCAGCAGAGTCAGACCTGCACACACACACACACACACACACACACACACACACTGATGTTGTGCTTTCTTTTACTTTAATATTTGTTCAAATTCACATAAAACATAAAACATCCGATGCTGATAGAGTGTCCATGTTTGTGCTCTGGAGAAAAGAAGGTTCACACAAGGTTTTCAGTTTGGTGTCTTCTTCTCGGCATCTGAACTGACCTCCGTCATCAAACAGCCACCAGACGTCTATGGTTCCTTTGCCCTGTTTCTTCTTGAACTGCTGGCTGGACTCCAGCAGACGCTGGTCAGTCAGGCTCAGAGGAGACTTGGTCTCTGGAGCAGACGACAACACAGACGGTCACATGATACGACACGAGGTTAAAGAAGCACTTTCACATTTATCTCTGTCCTCCCGGGTGTCGGTGCAGACGGACGCTGATCAGAAACACACAGCTTGAACTTACAGTTACAGTTTCCCCTGTTTCAGAAGACAGGAAGTGGTTATCAATAAATAAGCAGCGGATGTTACCTCTCATGATGAGCGGGCTGCTCTGACTGCTGGTGGTTTTTGAAGGACAGGAGTCCGAGTCCGAGTCTTTGGCCAGACTGACAGAAATCACCACGTCCTTGCTGCCGACCGGTGGCTTCTCGTGGGACGACAGCAGCTCGTCTGTGGGGACACACAGAGACACACACAGAGACACACAGAGAGACACACAGGGACACACAGGGACACAGAGACACACAGACACACAGGGACACACAGGGACACACACAGAGACACACAGGGACACACACAGAGACCCACACAGAGACACACAGACACACACAGAGACACACAGAGACACACAGGGACACAGAGACACACAGAGAGACACACAGGGACACACAGGGACACAGAGACACACAGACACACAGGGACACACAGGGACACACACAGAGACACACAGGGACACACACAGAGACCCACACAGAGACACACAGACACACACAGAGACACACAGAGACACACAGGGACACAGAGACACACAGAGAGACACACAGGGACACACAGGGACACAGAGACACACAGACACACAGGGACACACAGGGACACACACAGAGACACACAGGGACACACACAGAGACCCACACAGAGACACACAGACACACACAGAGACACACAGAGACACACAGGGACACAGAGACACACAGAGAGACACACAGGGACACACAGGGACACAGAGACACACAGACACACAGGGACACACAGGGACACACACAGAGACACACAGGGACACACACAGAGACCCACACAGAGACACACAGACACACACAGAGACACACAGAGACACACAGGGACACAGAGACACACAGAGAGACACACAGGGACACACAGGGACACAGAGACACACAGACACACAGGGACACACAGGGACACACACAGAGACACACAGGGACACACACAGAGACCCACACAGAGACACACAGACACACACAGAGACACACAGAGACACACAGGGACACAGAGACACACAGAGAGACACACAGGGACACACAGGGACACAGAGACACACAGACACACAGGGACACACAGGGACACACACAGAGACACACAGGGACACACACAGAGACCCACACAGAGACACACAGACACACACAGAGACACACAGAGACACACAGGGACACAGAGACACACAGAGAGACACACAGGGACACACAGGGACACAGAGACACACAGACACACAGGGACACACAGGGACACACACAGAGACACACAGGGACACACACAGAGACCCACACAGAGACACACAGACACACACAGAGACACACAGAGACACACAGGGACACAGAGACACACAGAGAGACACACAGGGACACACAGGGACACAGAGACACACAGACACACAGGGACACACAGGGACACACACAGAGACACACAGGGACACACACAGAGACCCACACAGAGACACACAGACACACACAGAGACACACAGAGACACACAGGGACACAGAGACACACAGAGAGACACACAGGGACACACAGGGACACAGAGACACACAGACACACAGGGACACACAGGGACACACACAGAGACACACAGGGACACACACAGAGACACACAGAGACACACAGAGAGACACACAGGGACACACAGGGACACAGAGACACACAGACACACAGGGACACACAGGGACACACACAGAGACACACAGGGACACACACAGAGACACACAGAGACACACAGGGACACAGAGACACACAGAGACACACACAGGGACACAGAGGGACACACAGGGACACACAGGGACACACAGGGACACAGAGACACACAGGGACAGACACAGTTCATACAGATACTACTATACGCAGATGGACTGATGGATGTGCAGACAGAGACAGACGCACCTTGTCCATGGATGTGAGAGATGTCCAGTCCTTCCTGCAGTCGGAGGATCACCACTCCAAACTGCAGGTCGAAGGCATCGCTGCAAATAAAACACAACTGAATTAAAACATGTCGCTCCTGCAGTGAATCTGGTCTGTAGATAACATGTACATTTGTATATACTGTATATAAAACGTATATTATTATCACATATATACATCCTCTGGATATATGAAGATGTAAGTTTATAACATATATTAAATAACCATAGTACAATTTGTATCTCTATGATGAATTTTTAAATGGTATAACATATTTGTTGAGGATATATTTTTTATTTCTAAACGAGTTTATTAAAACAACACCAGCTTTATAACTTCTAATATAAATCTACAATCTAATCTAAAAAAAATAGTGTTTTTATTAATTTTACAGATTCTATCTTTTGTATTTACTGTTTATATATTAAATCAACTTATATTGGTGGATATACAGCATGAATACTTAAACATACATATTTGCATGACTTTTATGTAAATATATGAAATTGTTCAATTTTTTAACAGGTTTGATATTTAATTTTTAGATGTATGTACATATATTTCATGATGGTAATTTGATATATGTGTATATATATATATATATATATATTACATTTGCATATGGGGCCTGATGTTTAACGTCCCTGACAACCTTGCCTCAATGTTGCCTCCATTAGACACTTGTTATCAACCATCTTTTTTAAGATAATTAAAAGCATAAAAAAAATCAGGACCGACGTATTTTATGTCGTAGAATTAAACGTAGAAAAGTCTCGAGCTTGTGTTTTAACCACAGACCTTAGACACCAGACGAGGGAACCGGGAGTGTTAAAATGCCAATCAATTTCTGGGTTTTAGGACTCGCCTTGGGTTCACCTGTCAGATCCCAGGAATATTCTCAATGCACAACCTGCTGCTGCCACAAGAGGGCAGAAAACTACCTGATGGACGTAAACAGGTAAAACCAGATACTTTACGGGCCTGAACACGAGAACACTAATGTAAAACATATTGTCAATAGTGGCTCTTTTATAAAGACGCATCCACCCTTACTGTATAGTGTTGATGTAAAGCTCCACGTCTCTCATGTCTCCGTCGCTCCAGTTGTTCTTGAAACCCATGACCAGCGTATTGGGCTTCAGACGACCCAAACCAACTGACTGAAGATCAGAGGACAGGATGTGACAGAGCTGGGACATGATACTGTGCAGTTATTTGTGACTTTAATTTGGACGGTTTATTACATGAAATGAGGAGGAAATTATTTGTAAGCAAAGTCAGATGATGAAAAGAACAGAGAACATGGTGGAAAATTAAGGATGTTTAAGGAGAGATTAATAGAGTTTCAGAAGGAAATGTAAACCCGCTATTACTCTCACTCTGAGATGTTCTCAATAATCAATCCACCTGATCCACAAACCAGCGGCAGAGGAAAAGATATCTGCGAGTTAAAGTGTTGACCGTGTGTTTCTACCTGCAGGAGGAACTGCGTCCCGTGTCTCAGGTTGTCGGAGAACACCGGAGTGTAAAAGGCCTTGATGCGTTTTTCATTGAGCCAGCGCTGAGAGCGGGCGTGGTCCTGGAACAACTCCTTAAAGTTCGGCCGGCGGGACACCTGGAGCGGAGCAGGGACACAGGTCATAGGTCGCGGTCAGAGACAGAGAGACGAGGTCGTGAAATGCAGCGCGACGATCATCTGTACGTACGGTCTTGACGTGACCGCAGACCATGAGGCCGACGTTCTTGGTGAAAGAATGAACCAGTTGAAGCAGCGCGGGACGAGAGTTGGGATAACCAGTCAGCACCAAACACTGCGGCCTGGAAACACGGAAGTTATTCAGTTCCTTAAACTTTACAATCAAGTTCACAACGACTGATTTTCTGAAACTGTTTCAAATGTTGATCCAAAAACTGAATAAGCTGTGGTTCACTGCTTTTTAACACAACAATGGATGTTTGCAAGGTCATCTATTAATGTTGAAAACCCTCCAAAGCTTCTATAATGTCTCTACAGGAAGTTCTCAGCTGGGCACTTTTATTCTGAAACGAAACCAGCATCAGTGGGTTCAGGTTTAAGCCTCAGAGGTGTGAGTTGGTATTAAAAAACTTAACGCCGCCACGTCTGAAATCTAACCAACGAGCCGACCTGAAGTTTTTAACGTGGTCCTCGACCCCGGTGAGGTTCAGACAGTGAGTCAGAGCCTGGTTGTAGATCAGAGCCTGAGTGGACGAACCCCAGTTCACATCTGCAGGAACAAAACACACGTCAATACTGTGATTTTTCAAGGCATCCAGCATCTAGTGGCCATTAGAGGAACTGCAGTTTAGGGCACTTTGCTGTTGGTTTATGGATCTTACCAGGTTTCTTGTAGCTGACGTAGATGTAGAGAGCCAGGACGATGAGCAGAGTGACCAGCGCCGCCCACCAGTTGATGACGAACATCACCACGCAGCACAGGATCGCCCCCGCAAGAGACACCCACATGTTGTAGTATTTGAAGCTGGGGCGCCACCCTGTGGTGAGAGAGGAGAATGAAACTAAAGCAGAGCAGGATGACGACACATCACAGGTAATATTTACAGACCATGAAGAAATAACAGTTTGTAAACTGGACAAAATCAATGAGGATAACCAGAGTTTGAGTTACGCAAATATTTACTTATTGCCATTTGCTCCTAATTAAGTTTTATTTTACAACATAGACATGAAACATTGCTGGTAAACTTCAACATACATGCAAGTGTTATCATATTCTGAAAGCAAGGCACTTTCGGAAGACATCAAGTAATATTTTACTTATTTCTTTGAACTTCTTTTATACTTGTCTCACTTTATGGGGAAGTGTATTGAGGTTTCCTCGTGTTTTATTTAAGATAGTTACATGTGAGAGTCTAGGCAGACTGGAGACAAAGGCAATTTCGAAAGAGTTTCAAGATTTGAAACAGAAGTCCTGAATGTAAATGTGAAATTTCAACTTTCTATTTACTTAAAGAAATGATTTTGAGATAGGATGAAGTTGTAAATTTGTAACTTTAATAAGCTTCAAACCTTTTTAAAACCACAAAAGACAGAGTCAAGTATAATGCCGCTAGAACCAAAGAGAAGGAAGAAGAAGAGAAGGAAACTACGGCAATCAAAGGTTAATATGAAATTGTCATACATCAAGACTCAATCAAGAGTCGAGTTAATGGAGCTCCCCACCTCCGAGGACAGAGTTTACCTGGAGAGTTGGCCAGAGACGCGTGGAAGACGGAGAAGTTGATGAGGGCGTAGGAGGCCAGGAAGAAGTTGGAGATGATGGGAGCGATGATGTTCAACTCGGCTAGCAGGCAGCAACAGAAAGAGTCAAGATTCAAGACCAGTTGTTTGCTTCATTTCTTATTAAGGAGTTGGACATTTAGACTAAGTAAGACTTTTAAACTGAAGTTTTAACTGTAAAATGTAAGTCTGTGTGTAGATGGAGCAGTAGTGATGCGTACAGCCGCCTACCAATGAGGATGAACGCCAGGCCAATGCAGAAGGTCAGGACATAACCACGGAGAGGCTCGTTGTTCTTCCCATAACCCTTTGCAAAGACACCCAGCCCTGGATAGATGTTGTCTTTACACAGAGCCTAGAATCAGAGAGATTTAATTCATTCATTCATTCATTAACTCATTCATTCATTTATTCATCCAGTTTCTGAAGTTGAAAATGGATTAATTCAGTTGTTCAGAGAGAGAAATCTGTCATTAAAACATTCGCTTTGCTGGATCGGACTGGATCGGGTTGGATCGGCCTGGATCGGGCTGGATCGGGCTGGATCGGCCTGGATCGGGCTGGATCGGCCTGGATCGGCCTGGATCGGGTTGGATCGGCCTGGATCGGGTTGGATCGGGCTGGATCGGGTTGGATCGGGCTGGATCGGGTTGGATCGGGCTGGATCGGGCTGGATCGGGCTGGATCGGCCTGGATCAGGCTGGATCAGGCTGATACAGTTGATTCTACATTGTCCAGATTTGAATCTACCATAATTTAGACTGTTCAGTTTTATTCTCTGATCTTAGAAGTTGTAGTTTGACAATAAAAATAAGACTCACTTAATAATTTCTTCCAGTGCTTTCAGCTACATGTTATGGTCTTGATCACTGGATACAGTCTGCTCAGTTGACGATGTGAAAGAAAAAAGCTAATGAGCGGAGCTTGGGTTACGTTTTTATTTTTTGTCAAATCATAACTTAATTCAAATTTACTTACCTTCCTTTAAATTATTTTTCCTTTTTGGAAAAACTATCAATACAAAGTCCATCTGCAGCTGTTCTGGAGCTTTCAGTGGATGAAGTCCACCCAGTTTTCTTGGAAGATTTTTCTGAACACTTCAAGGATTCTTGTCACCTGAAAGTTATTTCCTGACCTCTTACTTCTTCAATAACTGAGTATTTTTGGTGGTGGCGTTCAGTTTGTAGTTATCAATAAGGAGTCTCCTTTTTCTGTGTGTAGAGTGGTTGACGTTAGTTATCTGTAAAAATAGAATAACATAAAACTTGCTGGTTTCTGACCTGGAAGACTTTGGGCGCACTGACCAACGAGGCCAGAGCCGAGGACAGAGTGGCTGAGAAAATCCCCGCAGTGATCAGAGGACCGAAGCCCGACACCAGACTCATCACCTGGACGACACAACAAGCACACGATCTTCCTTCACACAGGTGCACGGTTACAACACGTTCAGGGTTTGTACACAACTAAACGTGACTCACAGACGCAGCAGTCCTGCTCTCTTTAGGTTTGGTTGTTGATGATACCAGTTAATGAACACATGGGCCCCGCTCCTGTGTTCGCTCTGAGACTTTTGATTTCATGCACTGTTGCTGACCCAACAGCAGCAGCACATTCAGACACTCACTGTAATCTCCTTTAAAATTGACAAGCAAAAATGAACATTAACAATTCTTCTCACTAACTGAATTTGAAAATCACCTCATGACAAAATCCTTCTTTTACAGACTGAGCTGAAGGACGGAGGACAGCTGCCAAACCTCGACACCTACCGACGTCTGTTAGTTGTTAGTGCTGCGGAAAGCTCGTCAGTGACGTCTGAGGAAACAGCAGCGTGTAAGAGACGAGAAACACACACAGGTTAGATTCTTTCACATCTGCTTCAACCTTAGATTTCATTTACGGACACTTTACTAAGCAATTTAAATTAAGTAAAATAAAAACAAGAGCAATGGACGAGACTGTGCACCATGTCAGCGATATCAGTGTCAGTGAGCTGTGTGTGTGTGTGTGTGTGTGTGTGTGTGTGTGTGTGTGTGTGTGTGTAGGTGGATATTGTCAATGCTCTCATTCAGCTCTGTCTCCAACCAGCGAGAATCTTGTGACTCAAAACAACAGTCACTATTATCACTGCTGCACTTTGTTTGGGAGCAGCTTCGACACACACACACACACACACACACACACACACACACACACACAAACACACACACACACACACACACACACGTGGTGCAGCCATCTATGACCACATGCAGTCTGTTAAAGCCAGTAATCGGTCTTGATTTATAAACCTGATTTCCATTTTTGCCGTCAAAGTAGAAATATACTGTTCACCCAGCGACAGGAAGTGCTCGGTGTTCCATCAATATCAATATTGTTCGGAAACGAAATATCCCAAGACTTCAGATTAAGAAAAACATATTACAAACACATACACAAAATAATCTTAATATAAACAACATAAATCAGAACTGTAAAAAATGCTGAGACACAATAGTTGTAAATAAAGTGAAGAGAGAAGTTAGAAGATTAAAACAAAGGGTGTAAAGTGTGTGTCTTATAATGCAACAACAGCTAATCATATATTAATAATAAAGATATCATGATTAGTTTAATGAGTCACTGCATTCAGGGTAAGAGATAATGTCCATGTAACACATCATCCCTCTACAGACGAGTCATGGAGGAGAACGTGATCATATTTCTGTCGTTGTGGTCCGTCGACGTGACATGGCATCACCGCCAGCGTGTAGGCTTCCAGAGAAAACAACAACTGTGGGCGCTTTGATGCACGTCACACTCTGCCAGTGTGTGTGTGTGTGTGTGTGTGTCTTTATGTAACTCAGATTCCACAGTTTACAAGTGTTTTGAGCGAGATGAGCGATAAACTCCTCGACCTGACGAACCGTCACATCAACAGTACAAATTATAATACTGTTACTATTATTACTATTACAGTGCCATGTGCTGTGACTGCAACGTCCTCAGTCTGAATCCTTCCATGCACGTCACTCCCCTCCTGTGTCCCTTTACTTCCTGTCACCTCTCTGTCAGTGGCGGTAAAAAATGCCTCCAAAATCCACATTGTCATATGATATCAATATATTTCTACAACTCTATCTATCTATCTATCTATCTATCTATCTATCTATCTATCTATCTATCCAAAATGTCAATAAAGGCATAAATGGGCCTCAGGCTGCAACTAATGATGATTTTTAATATTGATTAATCTCCCAGTTGTTTCACAGGTAGATGTTCCTCTAATCAATAGATCTTCAGCCCATACACACGTCTGAAGTCTGAGGTGATGTGTTGAAACTCAAATATATTCATTTTACAGTTAGAATTAAATCCAGAAGCTGAAACCAAAAAAACGTTTTTTTTTTTTTTTGTCAAATCAATGACTCTAATCATTAATCGATTATCAAAGTTTTGTGTCGGCACTAAATGGACCCAGTGTATCTGCACTGAGAAGAACGTCAGCATGAGCCCAGTGTGTGTCGGTCACCTGGAAGTCGTTCATCAGGCCGAACTGGCAGCCCCCCTCCTTGCAGATGGAGAAGTCGTAGCCCAGCGTGCACGCGGCGTCCGTGCAGTTCACCGTGTCGCTCACCGTGTCGTTGTGGTCTCCAGTTGCGTCCCTCACGATGCAGGCTCCTGCCGGAGGAGGAGGAGGAGGAGGAGGAGGAGGAAGACAACACACTCTGCGTCATTTATCATCCCCACATGTGTTGTAGCCGCGGACACGACCTGCACAGTTCTAGAGGACGAGCGTCACCTGCAGGTCGATCAGTGTTAACATGAAGCTCTGTGCAGAGACGCTCACCTGTAGAGATGGCGACTCCCACGTAGGTGATTCCTGTGATGACGATGGCCAACAGGGTTCCTTTAGGGATCGCTGACTGAGGGTCCTAAAGGCGGAGACACGATCAGAGTCAACTTAGTCATTTTCTTATGACATCATTGAACAGACTGGCGGCAGCGCAGAGGTATTCCCCTCTAGCCAATCAGAGGTGACCAAGGTAATAGGTGGGAACTCATGACATCACAAGGATACACCGCACACCTAAACGCACGTTTCACCCAGTGTCACAGATTATCAGATGCTCTGTGAAAGGAGAGCTGAACTCACAGTGAGGTCTCCAGAGATGTTGGCTCCAGCCAGGATCCCAGTGGCTGCTGGGAAGAAGATGGCGAACACGGAGAAGAACGTCTCCTCCTCCCTGAAGTCAGGACCCAGGTTCTCTAAGAAGATGGCCGCTGTGAAGAGCCAAAAACAGAGGAACGTGTCGGCTGGACTTTTAATTTGAAACTCTAACACTACAGTCGTAACAACGCAGACTGACTGTGGTAGCCGAAGAATCCTTTGGGCTCTTTGCTTTCTGATGGCATGAAGGTTCCTATGAAGTAGTTAGCGATGGCTGCCAGCAGGATGACCAGGAGGACGATCTGAGCCTGAGGGACAGAGGGACGGGAGGACAGGAAAAGAAAGAGAGAGGGTGGAAACAAGATTAAAAGTCTACCGTCACACCTGCAGCTCTGTGAGAGCTAAATGCTAATATCAGGTATAATTTTCAATAGTTCCACCATGTTACTTCTGCTTGTTACAATACTTTCATTTTCTAATTAGCACTGAACACAAAGTTTGTTGTTAGTTTTTAGAGAGTGATCATCATTGATCAGGAACATCAGCACAGAATTTCATGACAATCCACCAGAGAGCTGTTGGGATATTTCAGTTTCTTCTTCTTCTGTGGTTCTCCTCCAACACTGGGCTTTTTTAGTTGTTGACGGAAACACTATCTCATGTGAAACATCAGCATCAGCATCAGCATCTGCATCTGCATCTGCATCAGCATCAGCATCAGCATCTGCATCAGCATCTGCATCTGCATCAGCATCTGCATCTGCATCTGCATCAGCAGTCAGGAGTCAGGATTAATGGCTGCTCATGCTCTCGGTGTGATGGTGGCCGTTGCACCCTGCGAGGTGAACTGCAGGAACCGCAGTATCTTCCCATGAGTCTTTGGGGTGTCAGGGTTCACTGGGGATTCACGGTCCTACCTTGGCTTCCCACTCCATCCCCGCCACAGAGATTCCCAGCAGCAGGATGACGGTCAGAGTCCCGACGATGCGGATGTCATTTAGTTCGTCGGTCATCAGGGCGTCAACATCCTGCAAACCAACAACCAGAGCCGGAGCAAAGGTCAGCATCGGGATTAGCGCTCTGCAGACGGGCGGTTTGAACAATACACCAGAGTATTTCTCACGTTGAGCATCTCGACGACCGTCTCGGCGAAGCCCACGACGTACATGGCCACAGCCACGGCGTTGGCGAAGGCGAAGATCAGGCCGATGGAGCCTCCGAACTCCGGGCCCAGACTCCTGGAGATCAGGTAGTACGCCCCACCTGGACAGAGGAGACACAGAGGTAATCACAGTTTCATCATGGTGAGCTGAGAGCGGTTCAGTGGCTTGTTTTCTAATGCAACTCTTCAACGTGTTCAAAAGCTCTATTTTGTTTCCCTAACAGACCGTGAAATCTCCTCACTAGCCAGACAGCTTTTTCAAAATAAAAGCATCATGTGCAGTTGCTGTCTCACCTCCTCGTACGAAGCCATTGGTCGCTATGGCGGAGGTAGACAGACCGGTGATGGTGGTGACCAGAGTGGCCATCAGAATGATCGCGATGGTGAGTCCTGTTACACATGAACACGTGGAGACAAACCACAAAGAGTCCGCCATGTTAAACAGGAAGTACAACACTTTACAGTTCAGAATCACATCACCACCAACTCTTCCTCCAACATGACGCAGCTGCTCAGCCCATTAGGTGGAAGTGTTAAGATACAAATAGATTATGAATCTCGTTTTCAAGCTAGCAAGGAGGCAAAGGTGAAAACACCATCATCACACTACTATCACTTATATAATCTAACGGCTTCGTCACTGAACGGTTACATTTAGGTGTATTTTATGGTATATGTTTGATATTTATCTTTCACGTAACAAATCCCATTAAAAGACCAAATATCAACAAAGTGCTGGACCTTCATTACGTCTGCTCTCAGCTCCAGCCCCGTTGGTTCCTATAGAAACCTTCAAAAACACCTCACAAATATATTATATAATATAAACATATAATTCCTAAAACAGCTGGACACAACAGGAAAATTATGCATTTTTTAGGGACTATTTTCATCTGCGGATTAATCCACATTAGGTGCTGTAGTGATTACTTGGGGCAGCAGGACGCTACCTGTTAGTCAGATACATTCGTTGTCTGTTTGGATCTTTTTCATGGGACTTGTTGAATGAGGAAAAACAACACAGAGTCTTTTCCTTTCAGCACAGCAGCTGCCAAATGATCCGCGGACTGAGGGAAGCTTCACTCTGCTGGAGCTCCGTGAAGGAGCCTGAACTCTGCTCCTGATGTCAGAGTCACGTTTGATTTACTCGTACGTACCGATCCCAGCCTGCCCCACAATCCAGGACATTCTGATGAAGAGCATCACACCCCAGATGTTCAGCATGCAGCGGATCTGCAGCGCACACACACACACACACACACACACACACACACTTGGAGAGGTGTTGCTGATAAAACTACAGTAGAAAAGACAGTGTGATCTCCCTCCTGATTAATTACATGTATTTGACGAGGTCACAGTAAATGACACTAACCAGGACTCCCTTCACCCAACCAAACTTGACAGTTCCTCCTTTCGCCTCCTTCGCTGCCAACGCCGCCGCCTCCTCAGCTGCTGAAGGCTCCTCTCCATTGGCCAGACCGTCCTCAAACGGCTCCTGACAGCCAATCACAGCCGAGACGGCGGGGGGGAGAGTGACAGGTGAGCAACAGGTTATAGAGCGTTACACACTGTGCATCGTTATGAGTTCTCTATGCAAATACAGCAGGTTCGGCTGTTGAATTATTAAAAATATATGTAAACAGTGAATTAATTTTTGACACTTTAATAACTTAAATAAACTTTAACAACCCTGATATGAACCTGAACTCAACAAAAACTCTCTGAGACCCAGTTACAGTCACTTCCTATATATTATATATATTATAGCATATTTAAACTATGTAAATATAGCACAATAATAAGAACATGTTAGTACTCATTTTGCCAACCGCATAGTTGTATTTAACTCAGTGGAGTCACGTGGTGAAAGTGTCATCAATCCATCTGACAGTTGTGTTCAGAGTCTGGTGACGTCTATGTTTAGATTTTGGCTCCGTGAAACGAAGGGAAATGTAGTTTCTTAACTCTGTTTCCACACTTGGACGTAAAGAGAGCTCAGACGTCACGCAGCGTCCCGCGGTCTGAATTCTTTAACTGTTAATGTACAATGTGCGTCTATGTCACAGATACCTAGTGGTGTGGGAGGAGTGGGAGCACGGCCGGGGATGCCTGCTGGGTCATGAGAGGCTGCATTGTAGTGTGTGTCTGTGTGTGTGTGTGTGTGTGTGTGTGTGTGTTGGGGTCATGCCTCCAGTGATGTCACTGAGCCCACTCAGAGGTGTCAGGTGGGAGTGAAGGGAATGTTTTCTGTTCACTGGATGAGACTGACTCCTGTCAGGTGCACGGGACGGAGAGGAGAAGTTCACATTCACCCCTCGTGTGGAAAACTGAACTCAGGAGCAGCTGCTGCAGCTGGATGCGGTATTATATAATATTACATCCCTGTCACTGCTGCTCAGTGTGCGCGCAGTTTAGTGTCAGTTTCACACTTTTCACATTCTTGACATTCTTTCTAGGAACTCATCTTACTGCAAAGATCAATATTTGCGGCCTAACATTCAGATTTTATGTACATTTAGCAGATGGAACGTGTTATATAAATAATAAAAATATTAAGTACAACTTGAATTTGAATTTTTACCAGTAGCTGTGCGTTTTAAATAAAGTAAATTTACAATTAAGTAAATTTCTCGTGCATCATTGTACAATCCTGACAGGCTAAACACTGACATGCTTTTATTGTGAAATCTGATATTAAGTTATACTAGGTGATAAACGGAATAAAACGTGGTTTAACGTCGTTACTTTGTCGAGCTCATCGTGCAGCTCCGACAGCGAGGGTCTGGTCAGCTTCTCCCCGAAAGGCGCAGCAGTCTGCCGGTAGAACTCGATGTTGGGCACGGCGTCTATGGTGTTGTGTCCGAAGGTCCTCATGTAGTAGGTGTTGGAGTGGGAGTCGGAGATGTGCGTCTGTCCCGTGCCCGTTGAGTGGAGGCTGACCGAGTCGCTCTTCGCCGTGTCCGGCTCGTGGAAGACATCAGGCGGGGGGCCGATGTCCGAATCCGTGAACCCCACCACCCGGAACCGACCTTTGGACTCATCGGGCGGCTTGGATCCATCGGCGGGGGCAGGAGCAGAGGCCGGGGCCGGGGATGGCGCAGCGGATTCTGACACCACATCCACCTGGAAGCGGCCGCCGCTCCTCAAGGACGGCTTCTGTCCCGACATGTTGACTTAAAAACCCGCCCAAAGAGTCACTGATGCACCGAGAGACAAACGGTTACCGTGAGACAAACACCTGCTCCAAAACCACGGTGAGGACCAGGCAGCAGCGCCGCAGCATTTAGTACCGAGCGGCCGGAGAGGAGCCACAGACCCGCAGAGCCACAGACAGAAAACAGTCCCGACACAACATTTAGAAGAAAGTTACACAAACAGTCATTTACTCCTCTGCTGCCCTCTGGAAAACTCTTGGTTCTGGATGCGCCAGGACGCAAGGCGATGACCTGTGTGTGGTGTGCGTAACGGACACCAACTCTCTCTCTCTCTCTCTCTCTCTCTCTCGCTCTCTCGCTCTCTCTCTCTCTCTCCCCCTCTCCCTCTGTTTCCCAAAGTGTCTCTCGTATCGTCCCCTCAGATGGTGACTCAAACGGTTTATTGTCATCGCTCTCTTTCTCTCTCTCCTCCTCTCTCTGGAGCATCGAGACATCCCAGCGTGTCAGGAACACGGCGGAGGAGAGGAGAAGGAAAGGACGGATTGGTGTCCATTACGCACCGAGCTTTGGCACGCGTCCTGGCGCATCCAAGTGGAGAGAAAAAGAGAGGAAGAAACAGAGAGAGAGAGAGCGAGAGAGAGAGAGGGAGGGTGACACTTGAAAAGATGAGAGAGCATCAGAGATTTTACCTCTTAAGGTTTAGAAAACATTAGTCTGTTTATCTGTTCAGTGAACCAAAGCCCGCACCTTCCCTCACAATGAAACAATAACATGGTACACTTCCCATAAAACCACGTGTGTGCGTGTGTGTGCGCGTGTGTGTGCGCGCGCGTGTGTGTGCGTGTGGTGGCATAAAAGAAAGACATTTGTCATCTCTGCTGGTGACACACTGAGACATGCACACAGAGGCCTAGACACGCAGGGAAGAGTGCGCGCGCGCGTGCAGCAGCAGCATCATTAGCATAGGGAACAACAGCTGCTTTCTCTGTCAAAGATCTTGATGCTGAAGCCAAACACTGGACAATAACTGCAGGGACAGAACAACGAGAACCAGTTTAACCAATTTAACCAGTTTAACTTTGCTCCAATTAAAAGTTAAGATCACACGATCACATGACATCATCACTCAACAGTTCCAATTACTTTAAAGTACTATTACTTCAAATTGCTGTTAATTTGTACTTCTTTAAATTACTACTACTTTAAATTAGTCAACGTTTAATTAATCAATTTATAATAAAAAATAATACATTCACTATAATTAAACACAGAAATTTAATGAGATACTATTTATTATTTACAACACATACAAAAAAAAAGGATTTTAATATATTTGTATTTATTTAGTATAAATCATTGATGGAAATTATAAACTTTACCTGGCAACAAGTTGCTCTAAAAAGATTAAAGCAACAACACTGAGACTGTGGAAATAATCCTGATTTAAGAGATTATTAAATCTGTCTGTTCCTGCTCACCTGACACCAGACACCTGACACCAGACACCTGACACCTGACACCAGACACCTGACACCTGACACCAGACACCAGACACCTGACACCTGACACCAGACACCTGACACCTGACACCAGACACCTGACACCAGACACCTGACACCAGACACCTGACACCTGACACCTGACACCGACACCAGACACCTGACACCAGACACCTGACACCAGACACCTGACACCAGACACCTGACACCTGACACCTGACACCTGACACCGACACCAGACACCTGACACTGACACCGACACCAGACACCTGACACCAGACACCTGACACCAGACACCTGACACCAGACACCTGACACCTGACACCTGACACCGACACCAGACACCTGACACTGACACCGACACCAGACACCTGACACCAGACACCAGACACCTGACACCTGACACCGACACTAGACACCAGACACCTGAGGCTCCTGTGATGGGTTACATTTACAGACACTGACACCCTGTGGTGAACATGAGAACAACACATTCATGTGAAAATACTCCATTACAGCTAAAAAGTTACGTGTTAAACATTGTGCTTGAATGAAAGTAGAGAAGTATCATCAGAGCTTAGAGAACAGTTAACGATGCATAGTCTGTTGTTCAGCATTATACACTCAAATAAAATCAACCACGGCTCATCAGCAATATAACAGCAGAACTGTGAAATTTACATTCTTATCCTTGGCAGAAAGCAGCCATAGAATCCGACTAAAATCTCAGCCGAGGAGTTTCTCTTTCTCAGAGAAGAGACCAAGAATTCAAAATCCAATTGAAGAGTTGACATCTGTTTTTATTTAAAGCTTAACAATGAGGAAACTGGAGGCTGCGGCCGCCTGTTCCACCCTCCACTTCCTGTACCAGATTCAGGCTGTGACAGACTTCCTGTTTTAATTCTTTACATTTTTAGTTTATTTGATTATTCCCCTTATATTCTCAAGCTCAATGAGGCCGTTTAAATAAACAATCAAAACGGATTCTTTCATCAGCCTTCATCAGAATCCTATTTGAAGAAAAATACTGGTTAACGTATATACAGGACTTTGCCTGACGTACGGCTTTCAGGGTTTCAGGGTTTTATCTCATAGGTCAGTATATGAAGACATAACTCAAAGGATATATATGTATATGAACTCCTGTGCTCTTTAACCTCAGTATAATTACAGTTCTCTGATAAATGCAATGAAGTAAAAACAGGGGGCCTGTTTTCTCCCCTGGATCTGGACGCAGCAGCTCGGACCCTCGGTGGTTTTGCTCATGAGATGTGACAGGGTCCCTGCTTCTCTGGGGCCAGAAGTTTCTCTTTCAGTTCATTCATTTCTCTTTCATGTTTCTTCTGCAGGTCCTCCAGTTCTTCACCGTCACCGTCTTCATCTGCGGTCGTGATTTGCTGTTTCAACTCTTTTATCTCTGCCTCGTGTTTCTTCTGCAGCTCGTCCATTTTTTCTTTCTCGTTTCTTTTATTTTCTTCCACAAGTTTCTGTTTGAATTTATTCAGTTTCTGCTCATGTTCTTTCTGTAGTTCGTCCACTTCTTCCTTCTGCTTTTGATGCTGTTGGTTCATAATTATCAGTCTCCACTCATTGATTTCTTGGTCATGTTCGATGGACAGCAAAGTCCTTCTCCTCTTCTGCTCTTCTTTACTTTGGTTCTGAAGTTCTCTGTCCAAGGATTTCATTTCTTCTTTGTGTCTTTTCTTGAATTCGTCCAGTTGTTCCTTCTCTTGTCTCCAGTTTTCGATTGAAAGCTCTTTCATAAGGTTCTCCATCTCTTTCCTGTGTGTTTTCTGCATTGAACTTATTTTGCTCCTGTTTTCTTTCTTTCGGGTCAGAAGAAGCAGAATCAAGTCGGTCATCTCTTGTTTGTGTTTGTCCTGCAGTTCGTCCATGACTTGTTTCAGAGTCTTTTCTTTGTGTTCTGAGAGATCCATTAAGTTTTTATATTCCTCCTGTTTCTCCTGCATGTGTTTCTCATGTTGTTGCTTCAGATCCATCACTTCCTTCATGTGTTTGTCTATCAGAGCTGCAAAGTCCTCCTCCGTTTTCTCTCTGAACTCATTGAATTCTTCAGCTTGTGTTTCTGCCCTCCTCCTCATACTTCTTCTTCATTTTCTCTATTTCTGTTTTATATTTTCTGTCTATCTCTTTAAGTTTTCTCTTCCTGCTCTCTTTCTCATTCTGTCCTCTTCTTCTCTCTTGTTTTCAGATCTAACTCTCTCTCGCTCATATTCTTCTTGGAGCTTTCTAAGTCTTTGTTCCTCCGTCGTCTCTGTTCATCTTCTTGTTTTCGTTTTTCCCACCACTCATTTCGTTCCTTCTCCCAGTCTCCTCCTGTTGTGTTTTCATCACCTCTTTAGTCTCCTTCAGCTTTCTGTCAAAGATTTCCTTTGATTCTGATTCTGATTTTATTTGCTCTTCAGGTCTTTAATTTTTTTGTTCCCACTCCTGTCGTTGAGTTTCTTCCTGTTGTTTTCTTTCCTGTCTTCTTTCTTCTCTCTTCTTCTGTTCTTTCTGTGTCTGCTCACGCTCCTTCTTTATCTTCTCCTGCATTTCCTTGAGTTGTTTCATTCTCAGTTTTCTCTCTTGTTCAGTTTTTGCTCTCTCTTCTTCCATCTTCTTTTCATGTCTTCCTTTTCTTCCTCATGTTTTCTTTCTAGTTCCTCCCTCTCTCTCTTCATCTCCTCCTTCTCCTTCAGGATCCTCTTCATTTCCTTCTGTATCGCTGCTTCGGCCTCTTGCAGCATCTCATTAGTGTAGCAGCTGCCTCCATTTCTCTTCAGCATGGTGTCGATCCTGTTTATCAGCTGACTGACTTGTGTACGATTGTGTTTTTCATAGTTGTTAAACACATGGTATCTTCCTCCACAGTCAGAGATCAGCTTCTTAAAGGAATCATCGCAGTTGTTGATGTATTCTTCAATCTTCAGATTCTCACGTTCCAGTGAATCTCCTCTTGTGAAAAGAATGATGGTGAACGACTCTGAATTCTTCCCAAAGACTTCCTTGATGAGTTTCAGCGTCTCCTTCTCCTCTGGTGTGAATCTGCCGATCTGTAACACCAACAGGAAGACATGTGGTCCCGGAGCCAGAAGACTGATGCACTTCACCATCTCCTCATTAACCTGTTCATGAGACAAGGTCGTATCAAACAGACCGGGAGTGTCGACCACAACAACAGGACGACCGTCCACTTCACCCTGTTCTTTCTGACACCATTTGGTGACTGATGTTTGACTCAGTGCAGATTTGAACTCCTCTCTTCCCAGAATGGTGTTTCCTGAAGAGCTCTTTCCACTTCCAGTCTTCCCTATCAGCACAATCCTGAGACGCTCTGGGCTCTGAGTCTCATCTACACCTGTGAAATGAGAAGACGTGGAGTTACTTTAAGCGCTGACAGTTTGAACTCTACACAGACTGCACGATAAGGTGCGTTCAGAAAGTGTTTAGATCCCTTTCATTTCCACCTGGGCTCCTGCTCACAGTCGTTTGACTGAGTGTAATATAAAAACCAGCCACGACTGTCGGCCACCTGCCTGTTACCTTTATAAATAAACCTGTAAAGACCGGCCACTTCTCCTGGTGTCTCATTGACACCACAACACCACACTAGTAATACTGTATGTACCTCATTAACACGTGTAACGCATGTAGAATCAATAACATGGAGCACTGAAGCTGTTGTGGAGACACATGGTGGCCCTCACCTTACTCAGACACTTTATGTTGGTTTTTCCTTTAGTTTGTCACCCACATACAGTATATATACATTTCTACAGTACTTACAAGTGACTGTTTCTTTTGTGTCCCGGGCCTCGAGTTCAGTGATGTGTGTCTCTTGTTGTATGATCTTCTCTATTTGGGCAAGTGCAAATGTCTCAGTTGTGTAGCCGGATGATTCGTCTGTATAGAGTCTTATTTTTTGCAATCTATCCAACAGCTCAGAGATCTGCTGCTTGTCCTTGATGTTGAGAACAACAGATCTTCCTCCACAGCTCTGAAGCAGCTCCTGGATGTCTCTGTTCTTTCTTATAAAGTCATCAACAGCTGGAGCTGCAGGATCTGACTCCACAATGAACAGAATCATGGTGAAGTCATTGACTCGAGAGCTGAATGAGTTCTGGATGGTCTCTAACTCTCCCTTGTCTTCATCAGTGAGGGGACCCACAGGTAGGACCAGGATGAAGGCATGGACGCCCTCAGGATCACAGAGGGAGATACACCTGAGTGATTCCTTCATCACTTCCTCCTGAGGTTTTCCATACAAGGCAGGAAGCTCCACCAGGGAAACCTGACGTCCTCTCACCTCTCCCTGATGTTTAACACACTCTGATGAGCTGGAGACTGAATGAAGCTCTGTCTGACCTAAAATGGCCTCGGCTGCTGAAGTCTTCCCTGCTCCTCTCCTCCCACACAGAACCAGGTTTAAAGCTGGTTTCATGTGTTCAGGCTCTTCAGAGAAGGTGAGGAAGGTTTCTTTGTTTTCACGCACAATGTTCTCAATCTTCTCCATCAACAGTTGGTGTTTATCTTGAAACATGTTGTAGAGTCTTCCTCCACAGTCTTGAAGCAGCTGGTTGACAGTGGATGGTGTTCCACTCTTCTTCTCTGTCATGACGACCATCGAGTGTTTAAAAGCATCTGGACCAAACAGACTCAGGATGAACTTCAGTGTTCGTCTGTTCTCCTCAGTGAAATCAGAAGGTTTCACTAACAGCAGCAGAACATTTGGTCCAGGAGAACAAAGAGTCTCACACTTCTTCACCTCTTCTATCAGTGTCTCCACAGACAGACTGAACATGTCTGGAGCTTTCACCACTGTTAATGGTTTTCCTCTCCACTCTCCACTGGCAGCCTCACACTGCTTTAGTGGTTTGACTGTTAAAGATCTAAACTGTTTGCTGCCAGTGATGAAGTTGCATAGCGTTTTCTTTTTGACCTCACTTCTCCCGACCATCACGATCCTGAATTCACCTGCAATGAAATCACAAAATCATTGTCATCGCTCCTCAATTCATCACATTCACTGTAATCCATCACTCTGATTAATGATTGCCTCTTATTGTGTAAGAGTCTATGCGGCATTTTTTCCATATTACAGTCTCTTCAAACAGCACACCTGTAAATCTGTTAGTTTGATCTTTTCAGTCAGCGACATCAGCGATTCCCTCAAAATCAGGTTTCCTGATCTGTTTACTTTTTTTGTAGCGCAACATTTATATATCATCACATTTTTATATCAATGTACTGTATATATCTTAGTGTTATACAGTACCAGCCAGAAGTTTGGACACACATACCCAGACTTAGGTTTGTCTTTATTTTCAATATTTTACTATTAACTATTAAAATTACACATATGGAATTATGTAGTGAACAATAAAGTGTTGTTTCGTATTTTAAATTCTTTAAAGTGGCCACCGAGGAAAGGAAGACCAAGACGGAGGAGAAGACGGAGGAGAAGTTCATCAGCGTTATCGGCCACCAATTAACAGCAGCTCAGGTTCAAGTCATCCTCAACTGTCCAGAGGAGACAGGCATCCGCAGTCGAATCGCTGCTGAGGGAGGATGATGAGAAGAAGGATCATAAGGAATGGACATTAGACCAGTGGAAATCAGTACTTTGGTCTGATGAGTCCAGATTTGAAGATATGTCTTTGTGAGACTGTCTGCATTAAGCAGGGAGGAGGAGGTGCTGTCGGCGATTTATTCAAAACCGAAGGCAAACTTAACCAGCAGCACAACCACCGCATTGTGCAGCGACACGCCGTCTCATCTTGTTGGACCGCAGAGCGAAAGAAAAGCAGCCAACAACAGCTCAGTGGATATGGGAAACCAACCCGGGTGACGAACTCGTGAAGAGAGAGCGCCGAGTGCAAAGGTGGCTTCTTGGAAGAATTTTCTGAATTCTAAAACATTTTGTTTTGTTTACGTTATTATTATAATTCCATCTGTGTTATTTCAAAGTTTCTCTACAATGTAGAAAATAACAATAAAGAAAAAACATTGAAGTAGAAGGTGTGTCCAAACCTTTGACTGGTACTGTGAAGTGCCACAGTAAAGACGTGATTTACTTACACCGGCTGGACAGCGTATATTCCCTGACAGCTTTCCACTCTGTAGAAGACACAAGGACAACAGTGTGATTCTACAGTCACTGCTGCTTATTTCTAAAAGTTGTAATTTACTGAGTGATTGTCCTGCACTCACCAACGGCTTTTGTAGCAGCCAGTTTAAAACTAGTTCCTTCCCCTTGTTTCAGGTTTTCCTGATCACAAGTTAAACCTGGTGCCGCATCCTCAAAAACATCACAGCTCAGGTGTCCATTGTTCTCCTTTACGATTTGACCCAAGCGTGTTAACAGCTCTGGATGTTCGAGGCTCTCTCGCTTCAAGTGTCTGTATCTACACCTTCTGATCATGTCTTTTATGGGCTGATCTGGTGCATCTCTCTCCGTGAAGCCCGTCCTCTCCTCTCTGGCTGTTGATATCAGAACCAGTGAATGATCAAATGATTGATCACTGAGGAGTTGAAGGACTCTGCAGAGCTTCAGTTCTGTGTTCCTCAGTGAAGTCTTCGGGCTGTAGAACCAGCAGGAACACATGAGGTCCAGGATCAGAGAGATCCACACAGTAATCCAGATGCTCTGTCAGTTTGTGTTCAGAGATGTTGGGGTGAAGCAGATCCGGGGTGTTGACGAGGACAACGTGTTTCCCCTTCAGCTGTCCACTGAATCTCTGACAGCGGTCTGGTTCTACCTCAGCGCTGAACCCAGTCTCTCCCAGTATGAAGTTCCCCACTGAACTCCTCTCAGACCAGCTGTTCCCCAGCAGAACAACCCTCAGCTCAGACACTGAAATCAAAACATTAGTTTAATCATTTAAATCTTTTTGAGGGAGTAAAGTGTAAGTATAGTTCATTACCTTTATTATGCTATCAAGTGATTCTGGTCCAAGTCTCTTAAAACACAAAGTAATGGACTCCACGGATCTCAGCACTATGTCTGATGTTGACTTCTACAACCCCCACCCCCCCACCCCCCAGTGTGTTTACTGCTGCTGTTCATGTTCCTTCAGATGCAAGAAATGCACTGTCTGCCATGGAAGGACTACATGTGTACTTTTGTTGTGCAATCTTTGTGTTGCACAACGATAATAATGAATCATTAAAATCTCTCTAATCATTGTCCTGTTACTGTCCAGCTGCCCAAATCCAGTAATAATGCAGATACAGCATACTGGTGCACTAATATCACTGTCATTTAAATGGTATTTTCACACCTTTGGAAGGATGAAACACTGTAAGCTCAAATCTACTTCTACACAAGACGCTGGTTCAGTTCAGGTGGACTCACTCTGAGGCGGCAGCCATTCGTAGCTGCTGCTCCGCTTCAGGGGTCGAGCTTCTTCTGTAACTGCAGAGATGCAGAAATATACACATTAATTCATTCATTCTTTATTTCTTTTTCATGTAATCTCTAATATTAGGAATAGTATCATGCAATTCTAAAATGACTGTGGGTTACTGCACTAAGAACTATGATTCACCACTGCTCCACAGCTTCTTCTCTCCTGTGACTGTTTGAATATTAAGTCCGGCAACAGCATATAATAAAGGTTAACTTATTGATCAGATTGATTGTCTCATTCAGTTTGACTCACAGTCAGGGCGGATCAGTTTAGGGCTGCTGCGGAGCTTCTGGGAGTTTAAATCCTCATCATCATCTATAAAGAAATACAGAAAATTACAGATTAAGCCTCAGACATCTAAAAGCCCTTTAGGTTAATGAGTAATGATCTGCACACTATCATGACAGTATGGGTCGTAGTGGTAATAGGTTCACCTGGGTTGGATTTTACAGGTCCTAGTTACAGAGTCAGTTCATGAGCTCATTGAACGGATCGGATCATTTCCCAGTTAAACGTGTAAACACATCTAAGGAGGGACAGGTTGAGATCTGACTGCACATTTTATCCAGATGTTGAAAAGATGTAAATGCAGCTGTTTCTAGAGGATGCATGTGTAATTTGTTCTCCAACTGTAAATAAAAGGTCTCAAAGAATAAACTCGTACAGCTCATGTCTCCTGTGAGATACAAAACAAATAATTAAACAGAAAGTGTAATGATCTGTGACAATACTAACTGTATCCTGCTGTTTCTAAATTTGCTTCTTTCATTCTTTCCATGTTTGTCTTAATCTTCTCCAGGTGTTTGTAGCAGGAACCAGTGTATGAGGAAGGGCCTCCGATTCAGGCCTGAGGAGAACTCAACATGCTGCATCATGTGGTTCAGATCACAGGATTTTCCATCCAACTGCGAGTATGAAATAAAATACGACGCTTCACTGACTCACCTGGTGCCGCAGCCGCCATCGTGAACTCTGCTGAGAACATCGGAGACTAACTGAGCTGGAGGGAAGAGGAAATAGAGTTTAGCTTCTCTCACACTAAACTCAGACCATAACTAACTCATCATCAAGTGTTTAGTTAATGTCTCTGCAGTGAAGAGTGTTTCTGCTCTGTAACACGTCATCATCATCAGACGAAGACACAAACATCAAGATGCAGCTACAGATCAGTTCAGGTTGTATCCGGGCAGATCAGTGAGTAAAAATGTTTGAAGGATTTCATTTGGCTGCTCTTTAAAATCTAAAATAAATGTTCAGCAGTTAGTTCAGTAATTGAAAAATAAAACTTGGTTAACTCTTAAACATATGTAGCACCGGGACACCAGACACCATGTTGGGGACATTAGCCAATCAGGTGAGATGCACGGGTTAATACGTAGGCTGGTGGCCAGCAGGTGTGCCGACTGCAGGTTGCCACTACAGACTGGTTCTCTGTTTGCTCTCTCCAAGTGTCGGCAACCTTTCTGTACACGTGTGGCTCTGGTAAACTAAACCTTTGATTCATTAACTATGTTTTACAGTCATTTTTACATTCATTTTAGTATTTTATTGTTTTGAGTACTGTCCAGGTACAAGCACCATGAGGTATTATAATTCTTAATCATTGACAAAGTCTGCCATAACTTTAATTGTTGGTAGAAAAGCTGAAAGGAGACATATGATTGGTGCAGAGGTAGGTAATGCATTAACTCAGTTGTCAATTTGTGACAGCGCTCTGTTCACAGGCAGAGCGTTGACTGCCATTTATTTTAGATATTTTACTTATTATTTATCTTACAGGTTATTGTAGCATTAATTTTTTAATATATTTTGGGGTTTTGATTCTGTTTCTATGGTTCTAGAGCTGAGGCTGCTGATGGCCTCCAGTCCAGGGAGTGGTTGAGGCGGGAGTTCACTCACTTTTGACGTGGTGTTTCATTTCATGGTTGGTGTCATATTGCTCACATAATGCACCACACCCACAGACACTCCCAATGCTCCATCAGTGGGGGGGGGGGCTTCCTGGCACTGGTACCCACTTCCTTGAAATTTGAAAACTTAGTAAATACTTTATTAAGTTGTGACAGATTTACTGAAGAACCTGTGTGTCAAGTCACTTATGCTCCACACATTTAACTCTTCAAATAAAACATTTAACTTTTCATACAGGAACTGACTCGGCACAAAACTTTCCTGACCCAGATCCCACTTCTAACCACTGTCATGCGAAACGGCGGAATCACCACTGACATCAATGCAGGAAAAAAAAGCCAATTTAAGCTTGAACTTTGTCAGGATGGCACAAAAATCACTCTTAAATATTTTTCAGTTTTAACACGGATTCTAACGGAACATCTCAGAGGCAAATGTGGACTACTTTATAACGGTCGCTATTTCCTCCTGTTTTCCTTCCTCATTTTTATTTCTAGGGAGTCGCAGTGAATTAATTACAGTAATTAACCAGAGGAAATAATTGAAGCGTTTCTGAACTGACCATTCACTTTGATCTCAACTTCTCACCTGTTGAGCTTCGTGACCGTCTCGTGCAAGTTGTGACCCACGGTGACAAAATCAGTCCAGAGACAGAGACATATTCTAACCTGCCCGAGTAATCAGTCAGAGATATGACGTCATCAAAATGATCTGAACAGACACTCACCTGCGGATGATCAATAACCAGTTTTTGACGTCAGTTGGCGTTCTCCTGCTTTCAAATAATCAATACTCCTGATCGGACCGATGAAGTTTTTCGGGTCTTTTTGAGTTCCGTCGACAGCTGAAACTCTTGCTGCGCCAGCGGCCAAAGTCCATTCTGAAATACTGAAAGTGAAAGTCATTTCTGGGGGAAAAAAACCTTTTCAGAATAGATTTGATTAATTTTTACAAGATTATTTTTATTTTCAAAAGTTTTTATATTATTTACATCTCGTATTCATTCTTAAACATTTCCATTCCTCTGGTGCGCTGATGATGTGTGTTGTTTAGTTTTGTTATTAATATTTGCTGTTATATCTGTGCAGTTTTGAGTGGAAGACAAACTGTTTTTATTCATTTTATTGCAGAGATGTTTCAAACATGTTCTTCCTCACATCCACAATTATCATTGATGACCTCAGAATATCTGCAGAAACAAGGATCCCTGTTAAATCTGGCAGAATTATTATGATGGACAGACTTTAGTTTCTTTATTACACATAAAACACTAAAAACTGAGATTTACATCAGTGGAGTTTCAACAAATAAAATATTATGTATCAAATGGTGACAGATATTGTTTGATTATGATTTGAACTCACTGAATTTAAGTTGGTCCTAACACAGCCACAAACCATCTTTAAGTATTTAACAATCAGGAAATTCCTCAAATAACACAGGCATTTTCGAGAATAGGTGGAGTAAATAAAAATAAACAAAAACTGCAGCAAGCAGTGATGTGTGGAGCTCCTCTCATTATGTTACAGCTCCACCTGCTGGTGCACTGACACCACTCAACCAGATATGGAAAAATAATTTCAGAAAAACTATATTTTTACACCTGTACACACCTGGCCAATCATAGTAGAGAGGGGTGTGGATTTCAGAGTGTTACAGAAAGGATGATAAGGGAATTAAATTATATTTCCAGTCCTGATTCCTTTCTCATCTAGGTGCTGTGATGTTTATGGTCTGAACTTTAGTTTTATATCTACACTTTTTAAAAGAGGATCAAACTGTAGGCAACTGACTAAATAAATTAGTTTGCTCTTACCTTCATTAGCATGGATGGATTATAGAGAGAAACAAGCAGAAGCCCAGAGGCCCAAAGGGTCACAGGGCCCCGGGCTTCAGCTGCAAAATGTCTGAAAGAGACACATTCACCCACAAAGAGACTCGAAGCAGCTACAAAGAGCCTGAAAGAGAAGAAGTAGAATGACCACACAGCAATGCAAAGTGACAACTAAACAAATCACAACAACCACAAAGTGACAAAACCACAGGGAGACAGAAAGTACTACAAAGAAAAGCAAAACAACTACAAACAGACATGGCAGCCAAGAGACTGAAAACTGCATTTAATGATTACAAAGTGACAACAAGAGTCAAAATAACCCCAGAGAGAACACAAACACAACACAGAGAGATAAATAATAAAACTTAAACGTGTCACAGTGCTTGAAGTGGGCCGGTACGCACCGTTTGTACGGGGGCGGGGCTAAGGGGGAAACGGACCTCGGTAGGGGAACAGACTTGGACCGGCACTTCTTTATGGTACTCATTAGCGTACCGTTACTTGCCGACCGGCACTTCTCACTAGCTGTCGGTACTCTTCTGCCCCTTTCCATTTCCGGTTCTGGGTGATTTGGCTTTATAAACTCAACAAAAGTGTATCGCGGTGTCCCGCTCACAGCACCGTCTCGTTGGTTCTACGTCACGAGTATCGGCCTATCACAGGGAAGGCTGCTGTGTACAGGGACGGTCTCGGATCAGAGCGGCTCATGTTAGCCAGTGGAGCTACGTGTCTAAGGTAAGACAGCAGTCATCACTGAAGGTGTAATAAACATCACAATCTTCTACAGTGAAGTTACAACAACACCACACTCTGATGTACACGTTCATCTGCTGGTTCGAGACACACCGAGCGAGAGAGAGAGAAGCTAGCGCTAACTGCTAAGCTAAATTAGCTAGCTGATCCGAACATCATGTAAACAACAACTCAATAACTGAAAGTCATTAAGAGGAGCAGAAAGCTCTTATTGCTAGAGCAGAACTAGTGTAAGTTTAAATGTACAGCAGGTAGTTAGTCACTGCGATGAAGAAAAGAGCAACATTAACTGTGCTCAGACAGATCAGCAATAAAACACCAGAGACGAGATGAGACGCTACACTGACGTCAGCACGTCAACGGTCATTAACTACTGTTACTGAAATGACATTTTCACTACATTAGGAGTAAAATCACAGTGTAAAAATGTTCTCAGATAAAAGTACAAAATAAGTCGTAGTAAAAAAAAAAATCACCCAGTACTTAACTAAATTTAGCTATAGAGACTTTTGTGCCAGGCTGTAAACATGTTTATTTCTGTTGATATAATTTGTTAAGTTATATTCACAAAGTCTTGTTTTTCTTGCAGAAATTAGGTTTAAATGGATGATTGATAAATCTTTTATGTTCTAAGGTCCTTAGAGTGCATCAAAAATATTTCATAGTCAAAAGAAAAGCTGCTTAAAATTTTCCTTGTTTGTCCTACAATGGAAAGTTATTGTATTTAATACAATTACCATTATGCGTTTTCATAGGGATGTCAGAATCCAACTCAGGCCAGAACGCTGTCCCCAACAACAGGCAATAAATGGTAAGTCATGCGTATGACTCCACCCCATACTTATATGGGTTCAAATTAGGGTCCAAAGGATTTTGAACTTGTAAAGTGGTGTTCACACATAATTCCAATGTTTGTTTTTGTAAATCAACCTTTGTAAACCTTTCAAACTAAATTTACATGAGAAATTCAAGTTTCTACTCCAGTTTCTGACTGGATATTGTGGCTTTAGAGGCAGTTGCAAGCAAAACTTCATTAAGTTTCGTTGAACACAATTCAGCTACTGAGGAGACCAAGATAAAACCAAACTGATTGCTGACTGTGCTGTCTGTAATAAATCTTTAATCAGTAAACAATTCCAGCCTCTGTTCCATCTGACTATAACTTACGAAGAACGTATAAAACATTAAAGGAATCAGAGGAAGTAAAAAGAATAAATAAGGCATCACCTTTGGAAGGCAGATCATTTTTGTTTTTAAGCCAATTCAGCTCCATTATCAACAGGTGAGTCATATCAGGCTGTGGGTGTCTGTTTGAGCCTGACTTTTGGTTTCGTTTGGTGTATCTATGTAAAGGTCAGTCGAAATAATGCAGAAATAATGGCGATATTAGAGATACTAATATGGTTTTGTCAATTTTATTTCAATCTGAATAGTAAAAACACACTCTAACCATGAACGTTCTCATTCACGAGACTCAATCACGAGGGAATAATGATCGTTGTGGAGTTTGTGAAGGTTCACTAACATCTCTTACCAACCGAAACAACCCGATCAGTGCAGAAATTAAGTGTTTGGCGACGCTGCGCTAGTTTGCAACAGAGAAAAGCCGATCTATTCACCAAACAACAAATGCGCTGTGACCCCGCATCATAGGACAATTCATACGATTTCTTCTAGATGTTCAACAGCTACAGAGAAATAAAGCAGCTTCATGGTCGGTTTGATCGGTGTGATTGGTGCCAGAGATGGAACGCATGTAAAAATGATTGCACCACCACAAGACGAGGAGGTATTTGTAAACAGGAAAACAAAATCCCACCATCAACACACAGGTTGTATTCAGTGCTACCTATATAGTTGTACACGTTGTTGTACAGTGTCCAGGATCTATGATCACACGAGTCATGTATCTGAATGGAGAGTGACCTGATCAGCTGTCTGAAAGGATCAACTTCCAGCAGGATGTCACCTGGTGGGCGACAGGGGAAATCCTTTCACACACCTCAACCCACAGCTGGGACCACAGCTGCATTACAACAGGTACAGCTACAGTATTTACAGTAAAATTAAATTCTCCCGGGTCGACACAAACCTGATCATACCGATGCATTTTGGAGAATGCACTACTTTTGTGAACAGCACCTAATCCGTTATTATTACATTTGTATTTGTTTATTTCTCACTGGTTTTTTTTATTATTACTGTGGGATGTTAATCATGCGTTTTCACCGGCACAGACGGTCTTTCATCAACCAATCGCTGTGGTTCTTCCAAGGGAGCTCGGGCATGAAAATTGAGCCACAGCAACCGAGTCGCACTCTTAGCTCAGGAGTTGTTGCTTTTACTTAGTAAAAGTTGGTCTCAGCAGGTTTGTGAATAGGGCTTAGAAGAAACTTTTAGTTAAAAACTTTTAGCATGACTTAGGAGTACTCTTTGTGGTAAGATAAAATGCTTTGGGAATATGAGCCCAGGTCATTATACGCTATATAGTTCACAAACTGAACATAATATATTGCTTCCTGTAAAGCCTAAACATGTGCATGGTCCACCTACACAGGTGTTTTCCCCTTTTTACAACCGCTGTGCAATAAATCCTCATTTCATGACGGTTGTAATGTTCAATTTCTATTGAAGCTGTTTTATAGAGATTCAACAGTGACGGTCGTTTCGGAGGCTGCAGTGTATGGTGCTGTTGGATTGTATTGCATCATGCTCAGAGTTAGTGTTTCTGATGTTTTTCCCATATTGATGAGGTCAGGTAAATATTAAAAACACCTCTTAGCCTTATATTGACCATGAGCAATTATATGTAGAAGTTAGTGTTTCACACAGTCTTGCATCCTGTTACACTGAGAACAACAAACCTACCTCTGCACTCAAGGTTCCCTCCATGGGAAAATAATGATTTTTAACCATCTTCATAATGTGTTTGATAATGTTGATTGTCTCAGAGGCAAGAGAGGAATAAATAAAACAGGTTAGATTACAAATAAACACAGGGTGGCTGCAGGCCTGGGGAAAAATACCCAAACTTAACAGGGTTTCATTAGCCAGCAGAATAATGTTGGCTCATTTATTTTATTAATTTATTTTTCTATTTATGTATACGTTTTAGGCTGTTTTACTTTTATTCTATTTTTATTTCATCTTTATTATTTTTTCTGATTTTTATTTGGTTTTTAATACCCTATCTTTTTATGTCTGGTTTTACTCACTTCAATACATGTTTGTGTGTTCGTGTATTATTTTATCTTTATCACTCCATCTTTAGCATTTTGTCATTTCCTGATTGTATACAAATAACATCTGATTGATTGATTGATTGATTGATTGATTGATTGATTGATTGATTGATTGATTGATTGATACACTCAGAAGGTTCACACTTTTATGATAGTAAGAAGTCATATCTCGTAGTTTCTCTTTTGATAAGTTTAATACTCCCTGATCTTTAACTTGCTGGCTGTGTTTTTATACAGACTGTTGTGACCATCAGGGAAGGGAGGAGTCTACAAAAACATATTCTGTTTGATTATCAAGTGACACGTGAGTTTATTTTGAAAGGACAATAACCCAGTTATTGAGGAGGCCAGGGTAAAAACTGATTACTGATTGAATAAATCTTTATCTTTAATCAGTGAACCATTCCAGCCTTTGTTTCATCCCCCTTTAACTTTAAAGGCCCGCTTTCCTCTTTTAAGGAAGTAGAAGCTTGTTTACATTTAGATTTGATCATTTATGATCATGTTTTCATCCTTTCTGTGAAGGTCTTAAAATTCAAATGGCAACGTTTTCCTGTCATGTATGTGGATTTCACCATATACTGTATGCTACTGTTACTATGAATGATTTCATCGTGCTGCATGTTTTGGGAGGATTTATTTGTCATTTTCCCCTTGCACAAATATTTCTGGAGCTGGATTATGTTGATTCAAACCAGTGACCTCCCAGTCATAAGCCCCCGAATGAACTGACGTGAAGTCTGATTAACGTCTTCAGGACATTTGTTTGGCTTATGTATTTATTTGATTATTTTAGGGACAATCCAGGGTATGAAGCTAATGTGCTGCACAAAAAGTTTATAGCTGTTGCTAATTCTCGACTCCTATCCTTAGTCGGGCTTTTACATGTGTAATAAAATTAAAATGGTCAATAGCAAAAACAACATAATAAAACAACACAATTTATCCTACAATTAACCAAACATATAGAGATGTGCAGTCTTAAAAAGAGACAACAGCACAACAAGCTACAAATAGTCAAACAAAGACAATTAACAAAAGATACAATTATCTATATGAGTACAGCTCTGATTTGCTTTAAGAAGCATTTACCTTTTGTTGTAAAGGAATTTATATCTGGAGTAAATTCGATTTCAGTTGGTCACATGTTCCACTGCCCTTTGTGTCCAAAAACGTTGTATTTTGCAGTTGCATTCACGGCGTTCCAGGTTACTCTGTTACTGTCTTACCTTTGGATATATCTGGAGAGAGACTCTGTTGATACATTTATAAACTAATTTGAGAAAGATGAATAAAGCTCAGAACTAAGTAGTGAAAAAAACATATAGAGTGTATAAATAACTGTGCTGCCTGAGCGAGTATGTACTGTCTAATTAATTTGAAGCAATTAGGGTTGGTCTTTACTGTGTTTGAGACCTTCTTTATATGTTTATCAAATTTGAGTTGTGGATCTAAGATTATTCTTAAGAACTTGAAATCATTGACTTCCTCTGTTTTTTCATTCTGTGTCTTGGTTTCAAAGTTGAGTTAAATGTCAGGTGAGTCAGCGGCAGTTATATTTCTGAACACTACAAGTTGGAGAAGTAAAAGATTTGACAATTTCACTTTTCCCCATACTGAGTCTTCATCATTCAAATATGCTCAAAGTCTGCTTTAGTTGCATGTAACATGTACAGCACATTACATGACAGGAAGAGAAAGAAAACCATGTTCATTATTTATGTGACTTTTCAGAATCCAGGTTGCTAAGAGCTGAAACTAATCAAATGTTTATTTTATTCTTTTATTTTCATTCATTTTCCCATTTCCGTCCACTTTGTAACAGCCAAGCCATATCTGTGTGTTATCTTAGATATCCTGTTGGCAGACACACAAACAGATAAGAAAGAAGGGTAAAATAAAAATGTCCTCGATGGACAGGTGTTAGGGACTCTCATTGGACCAGTTAGTGATTAGTGGTAAAGGTCAGGCACAAAGTGAAACCATTTGCCTCACGCAGACATATATATTTGGAGTCAACCGGAGCTGGACCAGTTGAAGCTTACTAAGATGGTGAGTACATTTCACTGCATTTTTTTTCCCCTAAATTTATTTAATTTATTAAGTATTAAATCTGGTTTAATGAATATATCAAAGTGTGAACCAATACTGTCACATTATTAATGCTTCTGTGGGTTAAACATTTTTCTCAATAGAGGATTTGAAAATGTATTGAATTTAAGTTTATCAGAGAAATCAAATCTGAATTGAACAAGCGTAAGAAACAGTTAACTCATCAAATTAAAAAAGCCACAGTTAGCAGTAGAAAAGTGATTTTACTCTCTGATATCAGATTCTTCTTTTTCTTAATGTAACCACATTTTTAGATGATGAGGTTACACATGTAAACTGACACTGTTACAAAGCTTAGATGTGTCTGCATAGTAGTAATTTATAGTACTAATATTTGAATCTGTAGAATATATTTTTGAACTAGGATCACTGTTAAAGTGTCAATTTATTTTATCTACTGTTACTTTCCAGGAGCATAAAAAACTAATGCATGTAAAATTACACTCTTTTTCAAATTTGCTCTTCCCTTTTTCCTGCTATTTTATCACCACACTGAGTCAAAAAGCGATGCAGAGGTCTTTTGCATTATGGTCAACATGTCAGTTAAGCCACTGAATTACTCACCAGTACTGGTTTAATCGTTTATTATAAATTAGGGATAACTAACTTTTATTTTGTTTCATTTCATCTCCAGATGAAGAAGTCATTGTTGTTGCTGGTGGCCCTGCTGGCTCTGTCCTCGGCCAGTCTACTTGACACTGTGAACATCACAGAGCTGACTGATGGTAATTATTGGTCATTAATTTCTCTTGTTCATTTATCTTCAGTCAATACTTTTTATATGTTTATTGGTACCACTTTACAATAATATAACTAACCCATATCATCAATCACCTACTTCATTAAATACCCACAAAATTAATGAAATGTCAACATCAGTTGTACTTTGCGTTTAGTAAATGTTAGCATGCTAACATGCTAAACTAAAATGGTAAACATGGTACCTAAACATTACACTTGCTAAAAATCAACATGTGAGAACTGTCATTGTGAGTATGTTTTAAATGCTGATGTTAGTATTTAGCTTTAAAGTGTCACTGTCATAAAGTACAACCTCAGAGCTGCTAGCAAAGCCGCAGATTCTTGTTTTTTTATTTTTGATTACACCAAATCACAAAACAGATTTTTCTTGTAGTAACTGTAGTTTCACTTTCTGTTGTCTTGTCTTTCTCTTTCATACAGTCCCATTCCTGGACCCAGAGCTAGGAGAAAGGATTCTTGAAATCAATGATAACGACTCCATGCCATCAGATGAACCCCTTCTCCATCCGCCCATGGAGCTTGCGAGCAGGCGCAGTCACGCGCAGCCCTCAAACTTTGCAGGCACTAACCTGGAATGGGTGACCTGGCGTGGCTTTCTTCCCAACGGAGCCGTTTCAATATATAATCGTCGTTCTCGACGCTATGACTATGTTTGCAAATTCGAGTGTGAAGCTGGTTTATACAGCCCCAATTTGGGTCGTTACTGCTATTTTCCCTCAGGAAAAAAGGAGTACATTTCCTCTTCATTTCAGATTCTGGTGAATAAGGATAACTTTGAGTTTCTTGAGTGGAAGAGTAGTTCCTTTGGTTCAGTGCCCGCGAATTCTGTTGGGACCTGCTCAGGGTCGGGTGTATATGTAGGGAGGAACAAGTATGGTCTTGGGAAGGTAGTTCCTAAGCAAAAGGCCTTCTTCCTTCCCTGGAGAGGTAAATCATATTGGTACAAAAGGAGGTATGAGGTCCTGACCATGAACAGGGGTGTGGCCAGTGAGTACATCTCTGACATCAAGTATAAAATTGAAAGCAGTAATATCTTCTATTTTCCTCCAGTGACCATACGAATCTCTTCCATCACCAACAATGCATGTACCGATGTTGTAAAAGTAGCTATGCTTTCAAAAACAAGCTTGGTGGAGCACAGGTGGGACATCAGTTTTTCCATCACTTTAGGTGCCAAAAACACCATCAAGACTGCCATCCCCTCTGTCACAGATAGAAAAATTGAGTTTGGTCCTGAGATAACACTAGAGTTCTCAAATGGGCAATCGAAGTCAGAAGAAATCTCACACTCTGTTTCTGTGGAGGTCAATGTTCCATCCAACCACCACTGCAGAGTCCGACTGGTGGGACATAGGTACAAGGCAGACATCCCATTTACAGCCCAACTTACGCGCACCTACCGCAGCGGACGGATCAACAAGACCATCGTCACTGGAACGTTTCACGGTATTCAGATTGGAGAAGTCAGTGCTGTAGTGGATCGCTGTCAAAGTGTACCATTCGCCAAGCCTTGCCACTGAAATGTAGGTGTCAGGATCTCCACAAAGGAACTTTTGTCTAATCTTTGTCATTTATCTAATGAATTACTGGATGTTTTTACCTATTGTGGCCTCTATGAAATTGACAAAATAGAAAAATAGAAGTTTAATTATGATTGATTGCAACTGGTGAGCCTGTGACAAGTAGTTCCAAGAAGATATTGCTATGTTTTAAAGATATTTATGCCAAAAAGGTTGGGAATTCCTTGGGCCTGTCCTGACAGTTTTGTTACAAATTGCAACATGAGATAATTTCCTCTCACCAATTTTGACACCTGTCAGCAATCAAAACAAAGGCTATACTTACGACTAATACATGAGTTACAACAGCCACGATCAGTTTGCAGTCTTATGTGAGTAGTGCATTTCTTTTTTAAACTGTATAGGATCAAAATAAAATATAAAGTGATGTTTACAAATAATTCCAATGTTTGTAGTTTTAAATCAACCTTTGTAAACCTGTAAAACAAATCTGCATGAGAAATTCAAGTGTGTACATATGTAAAAAGATTTTTACTGCGTGGATAAAAACTGTGGTGAGGTTACACAAAGACACTGGAAAAAAAGAAGGTTTTTGTCATTTATCTGTTTGACCCTAATTTCATATCGATTCCCTGATAACATTGGGACAGTTTTCTTTTTTTTAATGCAAATGTTTTTATTAGGAATTGAGTTTTGTATATCTTGTTGTTTGGTTTGTTTTCTTTCTGCTTATGTAAGCTCTGCCTCATTGAAAATGAGGGTCACCCCTCAATGTATCCCCGAGAAAATTAATAAAAGTTGATGACGATGTTGCATGTCGTCACTGGCACTCACTCCTCGTTTCCTGTCTTATCATCTACTATTGATAAAGTACGGTGGCCCTGAGAGCTCAACACACTACAGCAAAACACAAACAAATTTATAAAACATCTTCATCAGTTTGACAACACGTGTGCTGCAAATACTCACAACACAACAGAAGTGTTTCCAGCGGACACATGTTTGTGTTTTCTCTATTTGCATGTGTTTTATTAAGCTGTAGTGCATTGAGCTCTCAGGGCCACTGTAATTAAAACCTCAAAATAATCTAAAATATATCTTTAAAATATGTGAAATATGTTAGAGCCTATGAAATTTAGAAAAGATTAATAAGTGTCTTGTATACTAACAAAAAGTCATGTTTACATTCAGTGTCCCCATTTCTTTCCCTATGCCCCCAGTATAACCACCTCTAAAGTCCCTGAGGTCTGGACCTCAGCAATCTTTTCAGGCTAACGTTTTGCATTATATTCGTGTGTGAATGAACGTGATTTTATTTTGTGAATGACTGTTGACAGTGACAGCTTTATAAATCCCCCTGCTGTTGGAGAATGTATAGGCAGCAAAACAATCAGTCAATTCTCCACTAAATAAGTTTCATTTCAGCCAATTACAATGTATTCCACAGTTTGTTTTTACAACGAGAGCCTACCTGTCCTGAATAAAATTTTAGAAAAGCCAAAATACTTCACCCAGCTCAGTGAAATAAGACCTGAGCTGAAATATCTATTAAATCCAGCAGATGGCGCTGAGAGATCACTAAATGCTCACCACACATTGCAGAAGGCATGATGGTCCCCAGCTCATTATCTTCTACAGCTGCAGGAAAGATCAAGTGTAAATCATTGAACTCTAATCATGCAAATTACATATTGCATATATTAGATTCTTCTGCATGTTTATACATCAATTTAAATTATAAATCCAAACAACAAATGACCAGTTTTGTGTTAGTTGAAAGACAAGAGAAATTAGAATACATTTTTTGCTAAGAAATCGATATGTACTGTAGGTGGGGAGTTGGGTTGGGGTCAGGCAGGTCATCATGTGACGCCATTTTGACAGTGACTGAGCATGAAGACCGTGAGATGCTGTTGAAGGCTTCAGAAAAATCTTGTCATAATTGTAGCTGCTGGGAATCCAGGCAGACTGAGCCACCGTCTTTTTTTTTATTCCTATAAAGATTTGCTTAATGTTAAAAGCCTGAGTCAATAAAAAGAATTGGCAAGTTCAATTTAACATTTAAATTTTCTTTATGTGAGGAGCTTCATTAGAGACACTATCAAGTTCTGCTATGAGTGCCTGATACACTGCAGCTCATTGATATGGTATGATAGTTTGGAGGACGGAGCTAACTGATAACTCACCTCCTTATCAGTCTGTTTTCTTTTGCATGTTAATAATCCTGAATCTTATCCTGGATTTATCTGCACTCATTTCATAATGGGTCAAGAGATCAGCATGAACACAACAGCAGGGTTGTTGTAATTGAAAGAAGATGCTAATAGACTCTCATAGTCTCTATTTTATGCCAATTCAACCTTCACATTAATAATACTACAGGAAACCTCCAATTTAAAGTGATCAGTAATATAAACCAACTATGGTGTGGACTTCCTCTTTTGCTGCACTCCCCAGTAGTTCAACAGAAGCAGTTGCAGACTTAGCAGGGATTAAAACCAACAACCTTCCAACCACAAGTCCACAGCATCATATTTAATATATATATTCTTTTCTTTTTTTTCCTGGTTTATCTTTTGTTTTAGTGCTAAAAAAAAAGCATTAACTTAATGTTTATTTGTTTATTTGTTGTCTATCTACCAAGGTATTTGAGTTTTATAATTTGGAAAATGACCAAAATAAACTAAACTAAACTTGGTCTTGGTTGTTTTGCATCAGCTGCCAATTGAAGAACATGGTGTGACATCACTGTTTGGGGTGTGGCCAGAGATGCCGCACACCTAAAGACTTGCAATTTTCTTACGTTTTAGCATTTATATGTGTATATATTTATTTATATAGGCTATTTGTAAAGTTCCACAGGTGCATATTAAGACACTAAAAACCCAAACTCCAACTTATTGCGACAGCTAAAGACATCCATCCTTTATTTAAAATTAGAATTGTAACTGATTTCTTGACTGCAGAAACCACCGCTATGCTGACGACACCCAGCTATTCCTCTCTTTCCCCTCCACAGGTGGGGGCATCACTGTTTGTGATATGTTGAAGATCTTGATTATGTTCCCTAAAATGTATTTATCTATATCAACAAGACACTTAAAAATGTGTTAATGGATTTCCATTAAAGGTGCACTGTGTAGGGATTTAGTGGCATCTGGTGATGAGGTTGCAGATTGAAACCAAACGAATACCCCTCCCTTCACCCTTCCCTTTCCAAGTGTATAGGAGAACCTACGGTGACCTTTAGGTAATGTTAAAATGTGAAAGGGTCCTCTCTGGAGCTAGTGTTTGGTTTGTCCGTTCTGGGCTACTGTAGAAACATGGCAGTGCAACATGGCGGCTCCATAGAAGAGAACCCGCTCCCTGTGTCGATATGAAGGGCTCATTCTGATCACTCTCATGAAAACACACAATTCTTAGTTCCAGGTGATTAGACACCAATGAAAACATAATTATGGAGATTATAATCAGTTTCTACCTTAATCCTACACACTGGTCCTTTAAATGTAGTACCTGGATTGGTCTTTGGCGGACACATTGGCAGATCTAGATCAATGATTTCTGTCAACAGAGAATTACTGGGTCTTTTTACTGTAACTAATAAACTTACATACTTGATTGCATTCCCTTGTAATAATTCCGCAGATGCATTTGTCCAAATAGACTTACAATAAGTACATTCAGTCTCTGTAGGAACAAGAGCTAGATGTCATCAAAGAAACCGCCGTAATGGACAGGTCTCAGAGTGTCCTCATCAGCTGTTAACAAACCCACTGCACCAGTTTGTTTTTATTGGTCAAAGTTAGATCCGAAACAGAGGGAAAGTGCAGAGTGTGTTTTATGATTCAGCCATAAAAGCAGTCTATATAAAGCAGGAGGTGACTGCAGGAGGACTCAGTGGGGGAGCGACTCTAAAGGGTGAGTGCTGCTCAGTCTCTTTTCACCTTCAGTCAGTCAGACTCAGGACAATCAATAGTGATCAAGATCGTTAATTGGATATAGTGTTATTGTAATATGATTTAATATTTCCACTTTTGTCTTGTCACGTAAGGACTTGACTTTATCAACTGTCTCCCAGAGAACATCATCTCTTTCAGTGTCTCTGGTTATTTAACAATACTTAAATGTGAATGTGTGCTCTGCTGCATATGGTAGGCTACTTATTAATTGACCCAGTACCAATTAATTAAGCTGTTGATTTGAACTTAATTGAACTTAAACAATAAATCAAATAATTATTAATATAATAAAATAAAATACAAATAATAAATATAAGAAAAAAATACTAAATATATGTACAAATGTGCAAATATTCAGCTATTGCAGCTTACAGTATTTATAGTTACAGTATAGTAAATTCCAAGTGGATACTGACAGTATAAATGCTTTAAAATTTTGATATATAAGTATCATTTCAGACTGTTGTGTGTTGCAACAGAGATAAAGGTTGTATAAAGGTTGTGTTTCAGTGTAAAATGCTGAAAAGACAGAGTTTTTACTGTAGTGTCCCAAAAGATTTGGGCCCATCTGGTATTTGGACGGTAGGTTTGTCTGGAAATGATGGAATAATCCAGTCTAATGTCTAAAATCAGAATCCAAATGGAAGAGATGTTTGCATTCTGTTGTTATCAGGGTGAAATGTTACTTACAAACATATTTATTTATATTTCACATGTTAAGTTTAAAGGGTTTTAACTGAAAACCTTCCGTGTTTTATCTCCAGATGAAGGTGTCGGTGTTGCTGCTGTCGGCCCTGCTGGCTTTGTCCTCAGCCAGTCTACAGGACATCGTGAAGAAGAGCTCACAGCTCAGAAAAGGTCCACAGTTCATATAGTTCATAGTTTAGTTTTGAAGTTTTCAAGAGATAATTTTCAGTTTTTCAGATTTTTTTACCTAATGGCATTTGAAGAAAAGTACTACATGGTTTAATATGTAAACTCTCTGTCTGATTCTTTTACACAGTTTCCTTACTGAACCCAGAGCTGGAGGACCTGGTG